CCCTCTCTCTCTCTCTCTCTCTGTGCATCCGTACCGTGAAAATGCTCGTACTCGCCTGCACACACACACACACACACACACGTATGCACAGGATTGTGTGTGTGCGGTGCTCTCTGCCCCACCGACCGCTCATCAGGGCTGCCCTGGCCGGCGAGCACAGCGGTTCGGTCACGAACGTATTCTCAAAGAACACGCCTTCCCTGCAATCATTGATTGATTGCAGCACACACACACATCCTCTGCCTCTGTATGTGTATGCGTCCTGACTTGATCATGCGGTCCATCTGGGGGGTCTCGCTCATGAAGAAGGGAAACAGACGATCTTCATCAGACAGCCGCTGCTGGACCAGACCTGCACACAGACACACACACGTCCACCCATCCATCCACCGACCCACCCACCCACATAGTTAGGTGTGTGTCCGTACCGACAGCATCCCATCTTTGGTCGTCGGAAAACATGATGATGAAGTTAGGAGGTTCGTTCTTCTTCTTTTTCTTGCCCTTTTTCCACTTTTTCTGGCGCGCCTTCCTGTTGGCCGCAATCTCTTCCTCGAGCTCCTTCCTCTCCTCGTCAGTGAGCATCAGCTCGTCCGTGTCAGCCTGGTAGAGGACGGCCATGTCTGTCTGTCTGTCTGTCTGTCTGTCTGTTTGTGTGCACGTGGGTGGGTGGATGGGTGTGTACCTACCTGTTGCAGCAGTATCTGTTCCTGCTCTTCCTCCGTCTTGTTGAAAAAGGAAATGGGGTACCCACCCTCCCATGGGTCCTCCTCAACGTCATCTGTGTCTTCTTCTGTGGCTTGGTCGTCTGACTCCGAGTCGATGTCCTCCTTCTCTCCTTGCTCCCTGTCTTTGCCTGCACTCACACGCATGTGGATGGATGGGCACACACGCATTGCACCTGTTGCGTACCAGCGGTGTCTTCGGATTCTCCCTTCACCTTGAGAGCCGTCAAGAACTCCTTAAACTGCCACACAGAACGCCGGTCTGTCTGTCCGTGTGTCCGTGTGTCTGGCTGGCTGCGCGTCTGTATACCTCCTGCTTGAGGGTATCGATAGGGCCGCCACTGCCATCTGCAGCCCGACGCTCATGGATGGTTTGCGCCACATCTGCAGCAGCCGCGCGGGAGAAAAGAGGCCAGCGACAGGGCAAATACCATCGTTCGCTGCCACTTGGAATCGTACACGATGCCTGTACGACCGTTGTGAAACGGTTTTGAGAAGAATCCTTTGATATATAGAAAATGGCGATGCCCGGTTTTCGTTGCCCCGTGAAGCTTCACACGCTTGACGCGGCGGAACCCGTCAACGAATCCGACTTCAAAGTGCGCGGCACAGGTGCGTCCACCATCTGTTGTGTGGATCTGATCTATGATCTGATCTGATCTGACCTATGCTACTGTACCGGCTGCAGGTCAGTATCGCCACCCGTGCTTCCTCCCGCCAGAGTGTTTCGTCGGCAATGGGGAGGAGGACAGATCTCACGACGGGCGCGCGAGGGATGTGTGGGGTCTGGGCGTCACGGCGGCCGTGCTGCTCTACGGACGCATCCCCTGGATGTCAGTGAGCCGGGGACAAAAATGGATGGATGGATGGATGGATGGTTTGGTTCGGTTTGGCTGTTGGTGGTGGACTGCAGGGAGCTGTCGAGGTCTGATTACGAGCTGCAGTGCTACCGAGGGGACCTGCGGGTCGCCCTCCCTCCCGAACCGGCCATCTCAACCGACATGCGAAACCTACTCGAGTACAGCACACACACACACATGGATGGATGGATGGATGGATGGATGAAGCGGTCTGTTTGCGTCTGTGTTGTGTGTGGTTGGTGCAGAGGCATGCTGCACCCCGACACTTCGCAGCGTCTGACGCTGCCCGATGTTTTCGCACACCCGGCGGTGGCACACCTGCGGCCGCTAATGCAGTAACTGACACACGTACACACACATGCCGCTTCCTCTCTATTGTATCTTTCATCCGTCCACTTGTCCATGTGTGCAGATCTGTTGTCGGTTCTTCGGCGTACGGCGGGGATGACGCCGCCATGATGAGTGTAGAGGAAGAGAATAGCCCCGCCGCCACAGCAAGACGGTATAGATCGATCCACAGATGCATCTCTACGTGTGTGTCATATTCGTGTGTGATGTGTGCAGCAGCATCGCCTCCATCTGGCAGGCCATGCACGGCGAGAGCTTCACCGAGTCGCCGTCTGCGGGCTCTCTGCTCGACGAGTGGCTCGCCCAGGCCAACAACTGGGGCCTGCCTCTCGACGAGCAGGGCCGGCCAGACCAGCAAGAGGGGGAGAGGGAGGGGGAGGACGGCCAGGGCGAGCGTAGCATCTGTGGTAGCGTGGGTGTGGGTGTGGGGGGCGTGGTGGACGACAAGTATCGAGTAGTGTGTGAGCTGGGCCGCACCAAGCGCTCCAAGACGCTGCTCGTGCAGGATACCGAGGGTGGAGGACAGATGGCCGCACGGGTCAGAGATTGGACTGATCCCACCACCCCCCACACGCACATCCAATGGCGAAAGACCTTGTGTGTCTTCCCTTTGTGTTGTTTCCTTCTTATTGTGCGCAGTATGTGGCGTGTGAGGGTCTGTGGCGCGAGGCGGCGGCCTTAGCGAGTGGCGAGACGGAGACCAAACTCATGCAGGTCGGTGGGTGGCCGGGGAGGGAGGGATGGAGGGAGGGATGCATTGCATGTGTGTGTGTGTGTGTGGCTGCAGATGTTGCGTTCGCTGACCCTCCATGCACTGGTCCACCACCCACACGTCACTGACGTCAAACAGGCAAGCGACCCGACCCACCAAAGAACACACCCGCCTCCCCTCCCCTCTCCCTACTTGTGTGTACCAAACAGATCATAGCCGACGTGCCGTCCCGCAGCCTTACGGCCATCACCGAGCTCTCCCCCGGCGGGCAGGCCATGAAGTACAAGCGGCAACTCGCCTCATACACCATCCGCCAACTCCACACCGGCACCGGCCAGGGCGAGGGCCGCGACATCGAGGACGACAACAACCTACAGGCACCCAGACCACCCGCAGCGGACCCTCCCCTGCACCCGCCCCCAGCCCCTCCTGCTGCTGGTGGTGGTGTCGTGCGGACGGCGGTGGACACAACTCCTCCGGCTGTGTCGGTGCGGCCCGAGGGGTCCCGGCTGAGTGCGGCGTCGGCCAGTATGGTGTCGTCAATGCTCAGGTGGGCGCATGGATGGATGGATGGATGGCGGGATGTTGGTTGCCATGCAGTCCGGCTCGGTTCTCGCAGCCGCGGCGGCATCGCATCTTCGTGTACACAGAGGACATAGTCAAGGACATCGTTGTGCAGGTGGGGAGGAAGGAGTGATGCTCGGCTGCGTGTTTGCCTGTATGCCTGTGTGTGTGTGACCACCCACCCACCCGGGCCCACCCACCCACAGGTTGGGATGGCCCTGTCGCATCTGCACTCGGTCGGCATCGCGCACAAGCAGGTGCTGCCCGAGAACATCGTCCTCACCCACCACATCCAACACAACAGAGGTAGGTAAACAAACTTCAGCAGCCGCCCGGCTAATCAATGACATGCGCGATGTCTCTGTCTGTCTCTCTGTCTCTGTGCTCGCTGGATGAGCTCATCAGCTTCGTGGGTGCGGGAGCGCGCGGTGTCGGTGTCGGTGCCCGACGCCATTGGGCAAGCCATGGCACCAGTTAGGCCCGACGCAGAGCCCGTATTCACTAGCAGATTCAACTTCAATTAAGGGTGGCTGATGGTCGGCTGAGGTAGTGCAGATGGATGCATTGCAAGTATCGGTGCAGTGCGTAGCTTCTTGATTGCAGAACACAAACCGGGGGGGTGGGAATGGTTCGTGTGCTGTGTACGCAATGGTCCGTCCCATCCCACCCAGCCGTTCACCCACACACACATCACGTCATGTCATCTCATGTCATGTGTGGGGAGAAAGTCACTGTCTGAGGGTGGATGTAAAGCATCCAAGTGCAGGACTGCAACAGGGAATGAGTGAATGATCATTGTTGGCTCCCGCGCCGGCCCGCTGACGGGCCAGGCACTCACATACCATCCATGTACGTCACAGTAGAAACTCTACAACAAGGCTCGCTTAAACAAGGTCGTAACGACAGCTCCCATAGCCCTTCCTCCCTCCCCTGTGGGCACGTATGAACAGAAGAGAGAGAAATGTGCACACACACACACAGCCGCAGCAAAGCGATAGATTGGCTCGACAGACAGACACCCCCATCAGCAGCCAGCCATTCCTCATCCCTTGGCAGCACTGCTGCTGCTGCCAGTCCCGCCCCCACCACCCCCCGCACTGATAGTCTTCATAAGGTTGACAATGCGCTCCTGGTGGGCAGCGTCGACATCCGACCGCCGCTTGCGAAAGTCGGCGTCCTTGGAGAAGGCGGCATTGGCGGCCGCGAACATCATCTTCTCGCCCAGGACGGCCGCGTGCTTGACAATCATCTCGGCCTCGACGGCCTCGCTGGCGTCCTTGAGCTTCATCGTCAGCTCGCTCGACGGCAGGGCGCCGGCCTCCCGCGACGCCGGGCTGGTGGCCTTGCTGCTGTCGCTCCTCATCTCGCTCAGGATGGGCCGGAACCGCTTGAGCTTCTCGTTGTTGATGTCCTCGAGGATCTCGAAGTACTTGTCCTTGGTGAGGGTGTCGGGCAGCTGGAGGCCGGGGAACATCGGAAGGTCTCCCTTGATGGCCTCGCTGTACATGACCTTGAGGCCCTTGACGTACTTCTGCACCTCGGGGTCGTCCTCGTGCTTCTTGGTGGCGGTTTCCACGTCGCCCTCGCTGACCTTGTGGCGGTCGAAGACGGCCAGCTGGGTGTCCTTGAACTTCTGCTGCATGCCCTGCATCATCAGCATGCCCTCGAGCTGCTCGCTGTCCAGCTGCTTGTCAAGCCCCTTGGACACCAGCTGGCGGTGGATGCTCTGCGACACCTGCGCCAGGTCGGTGAAGACCACATACATGTCCTTGGACAGGTCCAACAGGATGTTGACCAGCTCCTCGCGCTTCAGGGTGCGCCGCCGAGGCCGTCGCTCCGACGTGAGGTAGAAGACCAGACCCACAGCTGCTGCCAGACCTGCATACTGCGCGATGGACTTCCACGGCCACGCGGACGATGACGAAAACGAATAAGACGAAGAGAAACTCATCTCAACTTCCTTTCCGCGAAGCTTAGCTCGAATAGTCGAAGCTCGCAGAGTTTCAGAACGGTTCTCCCTCGGAACAGACGCTCGAGGCTCTTGTGGTGGTGCAGATCTGCCTGCCCTCTTGTATTTTCGCTTTTCTTCCGCTGCTCAAGGGGGATCTGAGCGAAGATGTCGGCCCGCAGACTCATCGCTCCGCTGACGCGTTTGACACATGAGTTGCCTGCTACAGGGGTGCTGCAGCCATCAGCGCGATGGACCTCAGCCTTGCAGACACCCGCTGCATCATCACCTATGAGGCGGCTGCCCTCTCATGTGCCAAGATGCAGGCACTTCTCGTCATCGGCAGCGGCAGCCGGAATGCCGGATGTGACCATCTTCCAGTACGAAGGTCAGCAAACACAACACAGGATCCTCACTGAACTGCACTGCATGCCGTTGTATGTTGAGTGGCGGTCGGTGTTTCAGTGTGTCCGTATTGCTGTGGATTAAAGGCTTTGCTCGACCACAACAAGATGCCCTACACAGCCATCGAGGTACAGTACACATCAAGTCCTTCGTCAGCCATACATCGATGCTCCTCCATCTGTGTCTGTCTGTGTGTCTGTCAGGTCAACCCCCTGACCAAGGATGAGATCAAGAAGCACCCCTTGATCGACCAGAGCCCCGACAAGAAGTACCGAAAGGTGCCCATCGCCCTGGTCAACAGCGAGCAAGTCAACGACAGCAAGAACATCATTGACAGGCTGGCCGACCTCAGGGGCTCGGCATCCCCCACGCTCAAGAGCCTCGACAAGTGCAGCGAGGAGGAGAAGGCCGACATCGACTGGGCTTACGACAAGCTGGTCATCCTCTTCCCACCAAACATCTACAGGACGCTCTCGGAGAGGTCGGCACGGTTGCGACAGATCAGAAGGCACCACCCACCAGCAAGGCAGGCAGGCAGGCTGGTACGTGTGCGTGTGGTGTGTTTCAGTTACGAGGCTTTCGAGTACATGTCCAAGAGTGCGAGCACCTGGACGGCATGGCAGAAGCTGGTCCTCAGGACCACCGGCTCCCTCTTCATGTGGCTCGGTGGGTCGGTCAGTCGGCACACACCACACCAACCACACAGAGGGAGGGAGGGAGGGAGGGAGGGTCGCACAGCATCGTGTGTCTGTGTCTGTGTCTGTTGGCGACTGCGTGAATGATGGATGGATGCACTGCAGTGTCGCCCAAGCTCAAGAAGAAGTACAACATCACCGACGAGAGGCAGGAGCTGCTCGACGCCATCGCTGACTGGATGAAGCGCGTCAGCGACAAGGGCGGCAAATTCAGGTGCGTACCGTACACTCACTCGCACGACACAAACGAACATTGCCGGATGGATGGCTGGATGGATGGCGGTGACGCAATCAATCAACGCAGGGGGGGTGAGAGTCCCAACATGGCCGACCTGATCATCTACGGGCAGCTGAGCGCCATGCGTGACATGACCACCCTGAAGGTCCTGCAGGACAGCAATGCGGAGTTCAAAGCATGGTATGGTGAGCTCAGCTCGTCCATCCAGGGAGAGAAGAGAACATAGATAGCATGGGCAGACAGCGGGCGATGTGATGCTTACTGTTTCTTTCGTGCTGTTTGATGCTCCCTCCTTCAGGTACGCTAGGTGCAGGGAGGCCGTCGGCCCATCTCAGAGGAGATCATGATGGTCCCTCTCTGGTTTCGATGTGCGAGGGATTGATTTGTCAGCCAGGCCGAGGAAAGGCACTTATCTGTCTGTCAATCGCTGCGGTGCGGCGGGAGGGGAGGCGTGCTAGGTGAGGTGCCGATGGTTGAGTGAGTGGATGGATGGATGGACGGATATGATGGACCAATGCTCAATTTATGTGCGGTTAACTTAAGCCTATGAAGAAAACGTTGGCTGACACGCAGGAAACTAATTGCATGTTTGTATGCACACAGGCAGGCAGTGTCCACCCATATCCATTCATCCCGCCTCGCGCCCGCACTCTACATAAAAGCAAGCGAGGCATACGTGCAGCTTTGGGCGGCACGCTCAGCCAGTCAGTCGATAAGGACACAACTCAATCAGCCAACCAAGCAACGACGTCGAGGCAGGCAGGCAGGCAGGCACCAGCCTGGCTGCAGGCTGGTCATGTCAGGTCAGCCTCGCCGCTTCTTCTTCTTCTGTGCCCTCCCGCCAGCGGCTGCCGCTGCCTCGCCTGACTCTGCAAGCGACACAGACAGACAACATGACAATCACAGGACAGACACATTTGGGCAGACTGCGGCTCTCCTGGTGGTCCTTGTGTTGTGTCAGTCCGTCCGTCCGTCCCTCTGTGTGTGTGTTTGTGTGTTTGTGTACCTTCAAGCTCTGTGGGTAGTTGGTCGGCCTTCTGTACGTCCTTGAACGTGGTCCATCGCATGAAGAGGACAGTGAGGCGCTCTATCCGCCGCATGTCAGTCAGCTGGTCCGTCTTGTACTTCAAACACTGGGGGAACACACACAGTCACAGTCACAGTCACCCCCACGCACACAGAGAGACCGCTGGCTGGCTGACTGCCTTGGTTGGTGCGTGGCAGGCACTGGCTGACCACTCGGTCGTCAGTGACCTTGAGGACCACCTTGCCGTCGCAGTGGCGATACTTGACCTGATAACGTACCTGAACAAGCCAAGCCAAGCCAGGCCAGGCAGCACAGAGTTGTGTCTGGCGGCAGACGCTGTGAGTGCGTTCGTTCACCTGTCTGTGTCCCGAGTTCTTGGCGAAGAGCTCCTGCGCTGCGCTCTGGAACTCATCGAAGTCCTCAAGATACACCATCCTGCAGGCGCCTGGCAGATCTTGCCAGATCTCGCCGTCAGCTGCTAGCTGCCGTCAACACGAGCAGCTGAGCCGCGTTCATTTGCTCCTTCTCCCTTTGTCGGCTGAGCTGTTGTATTCGCTGAGCTTGCAAGATCGCCTCTTTTTCCTTCTTTCGCTGTAGAGAGCCTGTGTGAGCACCACCGACACACGTGAGTGTAGCTGCATCCGACCATGGTGAGCAACAAAGCCGGTGGCCACATGCATGAACGAATGCGTTCGCATCTGAATGCGTTGTGATGATGGTTCATGGTGTGTGTGCTGTGGCTGGCTGCAGTTGCGGAAGAATGCGCCTCAGCGGCCGACGGGCCGCGGCAAGAGGATGGAGTTGACGGACGAGCAGAAGCAGGAGATCAAGGAGGCTTTCGACCTCTTCGACACCGATGGATCAGGTAGGTGGGCGGGGCGGGACAGCACTCACTCATGAATGCATGAGCATTGGAGGGAGGATGGATGGGCACGTTGCCACACTCACTTGATCACACATTTCATATATAACACATTTGGTGTGTGGTGAATGTGAATGTGGGTGTGGTGTGCTGCAGGTACGATAGACGCCAAGGAGTTGAAGGTCGCCATGCGGGCACTCGGCTTCGAACCCAAAAAGGAGGAGGTTCACACACACACACACACACACAGATAGACAGACAGACAGACGCACACAACGATCGGCAGGCAGAGAAGAGAGCAGAGCGGGGCTCATCCCATCCGCTGCTCTGTGTGTGAATGCAATGCCTGTGATGTGTGTGTCCTTCCGTCGTATGCAGGTTCGCAAGATGATCGCTGACATCGATAAGGACGGTTCGGGAACCATCGATTTCAACGAGTTCCTCGACATGATGACACTCAAAATGGTATGGTGTGCAGGGGGGAGGATACGCACACCAACTCGATCACTGTCTGTGTGGCCTGGCCATCCATCCATCCATCCATCCATCCATCCCCGCATCTGTCTCTACGTGTGCAGAGTGAGAGGGATCCCAAGGAGGAGATTCTGAAGGCGTTCAGGCTCTTCGACGACGACGAAACCGGCAAGATCTCCTTCAAGGTCCCTTCCTTGTGTTGTGTTTGTGTGTGGATGAATGGATGGATGAATGGATGGATGGATGGATGGAAGCAGCCAGAGAGCCCTCTCTCCGATATATGTCGGTCGGTCGTGAGTGTATGTCATTCCTTGTCCCTGTGTGTGCACAGAACCTGAAGCGTGTTGCCAAGGAGTTAGGCGAGAACATGACCGATGAGGAACTGCAGGAGGTGGGCACCAACCTACCAGACACCGACACACTCGTGTGTGAGTGTGTGTCGATGTGTGTGTCGGTGTGTGTGTGTGTAGATGATAGACGAGGCTGACCGCGACGGCGATGGCGAGATCAACGAGGAGGAGTTCATGCGCATCATGAAGAAGACAAACCTCTTCTAGACATAGACAAACTACATGCCCACCGCCCACACACCCCCTGGTACACTCACAGTGGACCCCATGAGAACAGCCCATGTGTGTGAGATGTGTGTGTGTGTGTGATTGTGCAGCTGGCGGGCCGTGGTGCGTTATTGGCGCGTGAGTGGGCCGGGCCGCATGGTAGCTGCTGCAGTGGATGGCTTCATGAACGACGGACAGTGCGTAGGTGTAGCTAGCTAGGCTGGACAGGACAGGCCAGGCAGGGCGCTTCGCCTCCTTGGTTGCGGGCAGCCTGGCCTGCATTACATTGCATGCCTCGGGGGCTTGCATACAGACCGACGTACGCAGGACGGGCTCGCGCTTATCCATCCTTTCCCCCTTTCTCTGCCTTGTAAATATGTGTGTCGTTTATCCGACTGATGGCAGACTGGCTGGTATCTCTACGTCTGTCTGTCTGTGTGCCTGGCGTGGCGTGTGAGTGTGTGGTTTGTGCGTGACCTCTGAAAGGATTGTCCATGGTTTGAGCCGGCACACGCAGACACGGAGGTGTATGTCTGTCGACATCACACAACACCACACACACAGGCAGACAGGCAGAGGCACACACACACACGGATGGTCACACCACACCACACGACACACACAGGCAGACAGCACAACGCACCACGGCGTACCACATGACGGGTGTAGAGCATTAAACGACCGACAAAGCGAGACAGAGACAGAGCCAGTGGATGGATGGATGGATGGTCGATGAGGCCAGCCAGCCAGCCAGCCACTCACTGCCCCACTCATGTGACCGCGCACGCACTCACACATCAACACACACATACAAGACACCACACACGGATGGTCACACCACAACACATCAACAACCACATACACACCAACGAGGAACACGCGGACGGGCCGGGCGGAGATGGACACATGCGTTGCGTTGCGTGTAAGTGTCGGCTGGCTAGGCACACCAGGCAAGGAAGGCACCCACCCCAACAACACCACACCACAAGACAACAACATAAAAAGCATCGAGGATGTCTGTCTCTTTGTTTCTCTGTCTGGTGCACGCGCCAAGCCCAGCGCGCACACACACACACACACGGCACATATGGAATGCATGACAGACAAGTGACAAAAACGGAGGGAGGGTCGGACAATGACAATGAATGGTGAAAGGTGGTGATGACGGTCAATGCGGCCACACACACACACACTCTCTGAGAGCCAGCTGAGCTGCGCAGCAGCTCTCTCATTGTCAGACAACGAACGAACGGCAACAAACATCAAAAAGCACAGGGAAAAACACACACACGATCGCGCCGCGCCGCGCCATGCACATTCACATCGCATCAATGAATGCCAGCCAGAGACACGTGGATAGGATATATAGATGCACAAACACATCACGTCACATCACATCACATCAATCGCTGTCGAGCGGTGGTTTGACGGAAAAAGTCGCACTTGAGCGGGCGGGCGGGCGGGTCGCAGGCGGGCCGTTCAAAGGCGGCCCGGCCCCCCTGTCTGTCCCGCTGGCCTAATGGCTTTGAAAAGCCCGCTCTCGCTCCTACCGAACACACGCGCGGGATATATAGCATGCACACACGCCCACACACGTGTTGAAGCTCACAGCCGTCTCCTTGCCCTGCCTTCCCCTCCCATGTGGGCCCTGTGTGGGTGAGTGGTTTCCTCCTGCCTGCTGTAGACAGACAGGCAGGATGTGGCTGCCAGGAGCATGGACAAACCAGCAAAACCACCGCACAGCATGGGAGAGAGAGACAGAGGCACGGTCGGCACAGAGCGATTGATACATATCATTCTACGGTACAGAAGAAAGTTGAGTTGACGGACACAGCTAGCTGCAGCCACTCTCACACTCACTCAGACACACACATGAATATAGATAAAGCAACCACACACACAGACACACATTTCGCACATTCTTGACGTGAATGACATCGGGATCGGACGGAGCATTAGGTACGAAAAATCCGACAGGGGATTTTGATTGACACTCTCGCTTTCACCCCTGACGAAACGACACGACTCACGACACGACACGACAGGCTACGTCGTCACGGCACTCACTCACTCGCGCACTGCACTCGGTTGAAAGAGCTTTTAGCTTTCCAATCAATGGATCCATCGGATGGATGGATACGTACAGAGAAAGAGCAAAACAATACGTACGTGCGTGCAGCTAAAGCCTTTCCTTCACAGCTGGGACCGACCGACCAGCCGACCGCACAAACCCTCCCTCCCTCCCTCCCTCCCTCCCCCGACCCACCTGCTGGCATGCATGGCACAGATGAAAACACACATGAATGTCTGTCTCTATAACATAGCCCTCGCGTCCGTACGCGCAGGTGGCAGGATCATCTACAGCTCTCAGCCAGGCCAGGCCAGGCCAGTCAGGGGGCTCGGGCTCTCATCACACGCACTGAGAAATCCGCCCTCCCGCCCGGCATAGGTAGGTGGGCACGATTAACCAGTTAGCCAGGCATGTGTTGTGTTGTGTTGTGTTGACAGACCGCTCCAAAAATGAAGAACCCTTGTCCCGCCGGATCACGCAGAGGAGCGGGTGGGGTGAGATCGGCACACACGCCAGGACACGCCACCCAACGGACAGACAGACAGAGACATCGATGAGTGCCCCCAGCAATCGCCATTCCCCTCCCTGGAAAAACTGAGCCAGCTGCGTGTACGGTCACAGTCACCTCCGTGCGTGGAGGTGGCCGCATCCGTACACACACCCCGTCGAATTCTTCCAGGACGAGTCGGCGAAAAGGAAAGCCACACGCGAGAAGCTAGCTAGCTGGATTGTCGTGTCGTGTCGTGTGTGCGTCTCAGTGAATGAAGTCGAGGGAGTCAGTCAGTAGTGAATGAGCGGCGGTCTGCACATGATGTAATCCCGCAGGTATGCATGTCAGGGCTGCCTTTGGCAGCACACACGGCCCACACATACACCACACCACACCACACAACAGGCCAGGCCAGCAACACGTCAAGCGTCCTCCTGCCAGGCTGAGGCAGTCTGACTAACCAATCACCCGACCGAACCAAAAAACAACACACACGCTGGCGCGGCGAGGCGGGGCGGGCTGAGGTGTGTGGTGTGGTGTGTGGAGCGGGTCATGTGTGACTGACAAGCGACGCGAAAAATACCGCCACATCCGTCTGCGCGTGGCGGCGCTGCCTCCGTCCCTCCCTCCGGCCCGGCCGTCGACTGCTGGCCAGATGGCATGTACTAGACAGACATATGGATGGCATGTGGGAAGTGAGTGTGTCTGTGTGTATTGTGTTGCGCGTTCGTGTCAGGCAATCACCTCAACTCACCCAGTGTGTGTATGTGGTATGTATAGTGAGTGGTTGGTTGGTTGAGTAAGTCCATCCATCCATCCATCCATTGTGTGTTCTCACGAACCAGTCAATGCACCCATCCCATCCCATCAACCAAAAAGGACAACCAGGCAGGGGCCATCCCATCCCAGCCACACCCGCACCCTCGCTGCACAGCCAGCTCCCTTTACCTATCCACCCCTCCGGCCACCCATCCATCCGCCCATCCGCCGTCCGTTCGTCCGACTGACTTGCTACATAAAAAGCAGAGCACACCAACGCAAAAACGCCGCAACCAACAAGCCATCCAGCCATCCAGCGAACGGGTCTAAGCAAGTGCTATAGACAGCCCGACAGGCAGCCAAAGTGGCAGGTCCCTCCCACCCACCATCCACCCACCCATCCACCGACCAAAAATCGGCCCGTCACAGACAAAATGACGAGTCAATCTTTGTGTGAGGGGTTTGGTTTGTCCACTGACCCACCACCACCACCACCAGCCACAGCAGCAACAGCAACAACAGCACACACATACGACAGACAGACACCGCGAGGGCCGGGCCACTTACTCCTTCTACCTACCGAAATGGCCAGCTGTGGTTGTGTTGGCAAGTAAGGCAAAAAGGGCGGGGTAGGTGACACTTATTCACTGACGACTGACTGAGACAAAGATAAAGGCAACCAAGTGAAAGATGTACATGGACGCATCACATCACATCAACCAACTCACTCACACACGATAAAGAAAAGAGCCGCCACACACGCATGCAGAGACAGACCCATTGCATGTCCCTCCCTCCCACCCACCGATGGATGCCATGCCGCCCCTTCCCTCAATCAAAGCAATCTGCATTCATTCGGGAATGCCGAGAAGAGGGCGATAGATACCTACCAACAACAGTGACGATTGACGCAAAAAGCAGCCAGCCAGCCAGCCAGCCTCCGACCTCGTGTGTGCCCCTCCCCGCCCTCAGCCCTCTCCCTCTCATCTCAACAACACCACACACGGCACCGCAGCTGCCAGCACACAGGCCGCACACACAGGCTCATTCATGCAATGGAGGGAGGCGTGTGTGTCAATGAGCGCATTGAATGGATGGACTCCCAAGACTGTTTGTTTCTTTGAAAGAAACGAGACGTCACGCGACGCAGGAAGGAAGGCTACCGGAGAAAACTCACTGGCATGGCAACGACAGACAGACGCGTGGCAGGGCATCAGGCAGGTCATCAAAGCATGCAGTCAGTGGATGGGTACGTGCCGTGGGATGCAGTCAATGGCCACTGCGTCTCCCCTCCCCCCACCCTTTTCACAGCGTGTGTTGCGAGGGAGTGTGTGTGTGTGTCATGCCATGGGTATGGGCGTATCCTGCATTAAACCCGGGCCAACAGCGTCAACCGCACCGTTCGCCCGCTATGCATCCACCCCTTCGCTAGTCATGACGGGACAGAAGAGAAAGAAGAGGGGCGACCCAGCCGAGCGCCGACCACGGCCGGCAGTTGCTTGAGTTGGGGATATCGACACAGCTAGCGAGCTACGACAGGGAAAGGTCGAGGCGGAGAAAGAAGGAGCAGATGAGACATCGAGGCCCACTCCCACAGCAGGCAGGCAAACGAGAAGCCAGACAGACAGACAGACAGCCAAGCAGGTGCCCGTCTGCCGCGGATCGAAAAATCGCTCAGATTCCCTCCCTCCCTCCCTTCACCGCTCTCCCGCCAACTTGCCAGCTGCTAGCCACCCAAACGGAAAACACCTCTTCCGCCACACAGGATCTCACGAATAAAGAAAGAAAGACAGAGGAACAGACGGACAGACCCCTGCGCACACGCGAGCGAGCCCGGCACACAGGCAACCCGCCCCCTCCCTCACCTCTCTCTGCTCCCTCGGCATTCTAGTGCGATGGTATCAAAGCAAAGCAAAGGCGGCGGCGTAGCCCCATCCATCCATCCATCCATCCAATGCAGCGTAGATATGAATGCCCGACGTGTTTGCACCCGAGCGAGGGTGGCGATCGATAGGACGCGATCGATAGAATGATCGCCATTGAGCGATCAGATGAAGAAAAGAAAGGTACAACGACGAGAGGACATTGCACGGGACAATCAATTGGACAGGGAGAGAGTAGCTGAGTTGAGCTTGCCATCGTGCCTGCCTGTCTGTCTGCTGTCGGTCCACCCATCCATCCATCCATGCTGCATGCGTGGATCTCTTTCTGTCTGCCTGCCTGCCCTGCCTCACGCGAGCGCAACGAACACACAAAAACAAACTACGATAAATCACCTGGCAGCCACTGCACAGAGAAAAGTCGACGCACATCCATCCACATCAATGTAGTGAGTGAAAGGAAGCACCATGACACAAAGGACGGGCCACCGCGCCCCCCTCCCTCCCTCCCTCCCTCCCTTCCTCTAGTCAATGTCATCATTGATCCACCCATCCATCCATCCCATGAAACACTCTCTCTCTCTGCAGGCAGCGATAGATAGAAAGCCGTACCATAGCATAAGCATACCATACCATATGACCATACCATACACACACACACCGGCCCTTGAAATATCACACCACACACACATATACACACACAACACACACACACGCGTACCTGTATATCCCCCCTCTCTCTCTCCGCTGCTATGCCGTCCGCCCAGCAGCAAGCCAAGCGAGCCAACCCCCAACGGCTGAGAAAAAAACAAAGGCTGGGCAGCTGACCGGTCTCTGTCTACGCGAGTATGTGTGTGTACCCCTCCCTCCCTCCCTCCCGCGAGTCAGCCTTGCAGATTAAAGCTGTACACGTACGTACGCCACTCTCAGTCGGCAAAAGCACTCATCACTCTCTCTCTCTCTCCACCCAGTACGCCAACACACACACACACACACACACTCACAGACACACACGACGAGCAAGAAAGAGGCAGGCAGGCAGTCAGGCACGAGTCAGGACGCGACAAAGGATCCACCACCCACCCCCGGCAACAAGTCACTCACCAAAAACAGGGCGAGGCGGCATCTGGTGTGACACCTCCCGCCCATCCCTAGCCCGTCCGTCCGTCCGTCCACCTGCCCCCGTCCCTTCTCACCCTCACCTGCACTAGCCACCCACCCAGGCACTCATGTGTCTGTATGTCTGTCGCTGCCTCCCTCAACCCATCCAGCCCCATCCCCCCGCCTAGCTATCGATCTACATGTCTGTGTGTGTCAGCTTAGTTAGTTCTGGGCGTCGATGCCCTTAACGAGTTCCTGCCCGATGGCGTCGAAGTGCTTGAAGTGCCGCTCGTGGTCCTCGTCGTGCTCGGGCGTCTCGGCGCTGGTCTCCTCCGTGCCCTCCCCAACCGGGGTCCCGTTGGGGGTGGCACCGTCGACCGTGGTGTCGTCGCTGCCGCTCTTGGCGTGCCCGCCCACACCGCCCAGGAAGGTGGGGAAGCTCTTGTTGGCCGGGAAGATCTCGGGCAGCAACACGCTGTTGAACGTCAGGCCACCGCGGTTGATGGGCGAGCCCTCGGACGATGGGGAGGTGGAGATGTGCCCGGACACCGAGTGCGGCACGCCCCCTCCCGGCCCGTTGGGGGGGTGGGCGGGGTACTGCACCGTCGAGGTGCGCGACGGCGATCCGTTGTTGGTGTCCGTCCCGTCCTCGCCGCCCTTGTTGGTGCCGTCCGAGTAGGACCGGTCGGTGGTGGTGCCGTTGGTCCACCCGCCGCCCGACATGGGTGTGACGGTAGAGCCCTGGTGTGCGCTCCAGCTGGTGTGCTGGGGGGGCATCCCGTACCCGCTATGCTGTGCGGGGTAGCCCGTGTGGTACGAGGGCACGTAGCCGTTGGCCGTGGGGGTACCCTCCTGCTGCGGGACCACGCCGTTGGTGGCGGCGTAGGTCGAGTGCTGCGACTTGAATGAGGCCTCGAGGGCGTTCTGCAGTATGGTCTGCCCCTGGTGGGCCCCCATCCAGCTCTGCGTCAGGTCCGGCAGCTGGAACATCCCCGCACCCTCAGGCACCTGCTGCCCACCCACGCCGGCGAAGAACGGCACCAGGGGCGACTTGTGCGGCGTCTGGCCGCCCTTGGCCGCCTCCGATGGGCTGGTGCCTTGGTGCGCGCCCTGCTGCTGCGACAGGGCGGCTGCCAGCTGCTCGGGGCCGGGGAGGGGGTACTGTGGCACGTAGTTCTGCAGGCCGGGGATGGTGGTCTGGCCGCTCAGAAGCAGAGGTGCATTCCCGTTGGGCTGCCCGTTGATGATGACCGGCGGGTTGGGAGTGGCGTTGGGCTGCCCGTTGAGCAGCAGGCCTGGGTTGGCCTGGTATGCCGCTGCCGCTGCGGTGAGTGCGGCCGCCTGTGCCTGGGCCTGGCTGGTGTTGGGATTGGTGTAGGTGCCAGCCTGCAGCTGGCTGAGGGTGTTGTTGGCGACGGCGGCGTTCTGCAGCATGAGCTTGGCGTACTGCTGTAGCTGCTGCTGGTAGAGCTGGTTGGTCATGAGGGCGGCCTGTGCCTGCTGCTGGGTGGTCATGGTGTGTGGATTGTGCTGCGGCGGGGGGATGCAGTTGCTGAGGGAGAGGTTGAGGTTCATGAGGCTCGCCAGGCTGTTAACGTTGAGCGACTGCAGGTTCTGCTGGATCGCCAGCAGGTTGTTGCTGGAACCCTCCGGGTCCTTCAAAGGCACCTCGCGGTGCTTCGGGGACACGTCGTTGCTCGGACTACTGCTGCACCACACACACACACACACACACACACACAGACCAGAGAGGGATGTGTGCGGGTGGGGTATGGTGGTGTGTGGTGGAGCTAGCGTACTTTTTCCTGAGTTCCTCAGCTCCGTGAGCGAATCTGCAGCGGATGCCCGAGGGACAGCTACCACTCAACCACATCTGACACATCGACGTCTTCAGGAAATGCCTGAACGCAACAACAAACAAACAACACAACCACACACACGAAGCGGGAAGCGGTGAGCGGCACGGTGTGTGTGCATTCCATTCCCCTCTGCAAGGAGGGAGGGAATCAGCTCACTTGGTCGCCCGCAGCTCCTTCTGGCTATGCGCGTAGGGGCACGTGGGCTCGTCACACCAACCAACCTAACACACAACACACCACACCACACCACACCACATCATCAACTCGTGTCTCTCAACCATCCGCACAACCAGCCCGCACCCATGTGCACTGATCTGTCCGGTGTCTCCCCTCCCTCAGCGCATCTGAGCGGACCTTCATGAGTCTAGGGCAGAAGGCCGTCCTCGACAGGTCAGGAGGCGCCCGCAGCTCCGACTCGTCATGCGCAAACCTGACCAAACCAACGGAACCCAACGAACGCAACGACACCCGTCATGATGCTGACGCGTCCATGATTCCATCCAGGGTCATCTGCAGTCCTTACCGGCATGTGAGGGGTCTGTTGCACCGCCCCTGCTTGTACCAGGGGCACAGCTGACACACACACACACACACGGACACGCGCACGCAGGAGACCGCCATATATCCCATGAAATGGATAGATCGGCATCTGGCCGGGTGCTGGGGTGGGTACCTGTGTCTTGAGGAACTGGTCCTTGTACCTGGCACCCATCTTCCTATCGGCTGAACACCTCATACAAGTCAGGCCGGGAGGGGCAGCTTCCTGCGCAAGGCGAGCGAGAGTGGTGGGGGGAGCGAGATCACAAAGAGGGAGGCTACAAGGGCGTTACAAAGGGAGAGGATGGGAGCGAGGGGGATGGGATGGATGTGCGAGCTGAGAGCAGTTTGGACACGTTTCACGCGCAATTATTGCTCTAGCTCAAAAAACGCATGCCGCAACCAAGAACTCCTTCGATCTGCCTTCCTCTGCAATCACTGCCAGCTTCGCTGTCATCTGGCGTCGTTAGTGTCGAGCAGCGTCAAGTCAGGAAGTCAGACTGCAGGAAGCGCAAGAGGACTTATTGCGAAGAGCCCGGCCCGCTGGCGGTCCGCCCCATGCTCAGCGGGGTATTTGTGTTTGTGTGAGCCCGACGTACAACAAAGGAGAAACAGTGGACTGTTGGAGGGCAAGGAGGGAGGTCAGCTCGGTGTACCAATGCGGCAACAGTCCGGAGTGCTTCAAGATCTTCGACCCTGCCGACGAAGCCAACGGAAGGGCCGGAAGCGGGGTGACGTTCTTGATAATAGGGGGAGTGTTTATTGGTATGGCCGTCCTGGTGTGTGCCTGTGTGTTTTTGACCCTCTTCTGTCGTAAGTAGAGCCGATGGGCGATGCATCCACACATCCATCAATCAGATGGAGGGTGTGGTGTGGTCTAGTGTGGCGTGTTCTGAGCTGAACTGTGTATTGTCTCAAGAACTGTGTGTTTGTCCTACGTAGTACGTACGTCTGAGTGGTGTTCTGTCTTCCGTTTGTGTACTCCTCTCCCTTCGATTGAGATACACTGTGCATATGCATTCTTTTCTGTACATAACTGAGACTACCTTGTGCGATTGGGGTGACAGATAATCTGATGGCCGACTGTCCGTTCATGTGTCTTTGTTTAGTCAAGTGACAAAGGGTCTATAGACCCATCATTCAACCCATCCCACTTCCATCCCATCCCAATGCACACCTTGCAGACACACACCGTCTCTCAAAGGCATTTGATCGCCATCAGTGGCTGTCCGCTAGCCATTCACGACACGTCTGCCCGCCCGTCGAAGTTGCGCCTGTAGTGTCTGAGCCTTATCAAGATCTTTCACGTAATGCCATTGCAAGTCACACACTGATAGACACGCTCTCACCCGCCCGTCCCACTCATCATCCACACAGACTCTCAAACACCTGCAACCCACACACACAGCAGGAGGACGACGCACAGAAAGTGACTGCACTAACGCCTCCCTGGCTGACTTCTGGCTCGCCTCTCCGAGCTCGCTGATGACATCCGGCGCCGTCATGCCTGCGGAAAAAACAGACACAGCGCGTCCACAGAACGGTTGAAGACAGCTGCAGGTTGCTCACTTCTCCTCTTCTTTGCGAAGGCCGCGGCAGCACTCGCCCGCGTCAACGCACACGCACTGAGAGGAGGCACAGAGGCGGCATGTGTGTGTGCATGCATGAAGCAGGGAATGCCATCCTCCAAGGCCACCCACCCGTAGCAGGCAAGAAGGTGCCTCGGCGGGCCTTCCGCTTCGTCTGTGCCTCTCATCGCCCACGACACAAACGTCGCTGCGCTGCCAGATAGGACGTCGCCCTGGCCACCTGAAAGACAACAGACAGGTGTGGTCGGCGAGTCTGTTCAGTCAGCCAGGTACCTGCTCGTTTGCTGGCCCCGGTGACAGCGCAAACCATGCCAACGCGCCCATCGGATATGCAGTCGGACGGGCCCTTGCGGACAATGGTGACGCCGTCAAGGGCGCGGCACAGCGCGCTCGTCAAAGACAACGCCTCCTCTGCACACACCCACCCACCCATACAGCACCAGATCTGCCGTTTGCGAGGGACTGGGGGAGCGGGCGTATGAATGTACCCACCTGTTATTTTTGGTAGTGGGTGTTGAGGGTTCTCTTTGACGACGCTGAGGGGCTGACCAGCAGCAGCAGGGTCCGTCTTGTCAGCGGGCAGTGCGTCTCGGAGCCGCTGGAACTCGTTGGCATTTGGGGTAAGGATGCACCGCCGGTAGCCCTTGACCAGCTGCGGGTCCAGCCGGACCACGTGCAGCCCATCCGCATCGATCACCTGCACACACGTGAATCACAGCTTTGCCGCTGTCCCCGTGCGCCGTCCGTTCCTCGCTGGCTGACCAGCGGCAGGTCCATTTCGCGTGCCTTCTGCATGATGGCTGACGCCACCTGCAGCGTGGCGTCGTCCCGCCCCAGCCCCGGACCGACCACCACGGCCGTCATCTTCTTGAGCCAACGCCCTATCTGACAATGACCGGAAAGAAGCTGTGTGACTGTGATTCACACAGGCTGTGCACACTTTGTTTTCTTGCCCACCTCTTCGATGGAGTCTATCGGCGACCGAGAGCCGCTCTCGTTAGAACACGCAAGCACCTGTCAGCAGAAACATAGCCATCAGCCATCAGTGAATGGCGCCGGCGTATAGTAGCCTTTCCTTCTGTGGTCTTCCCACTCACTTACAGGATGCACAATGAGCTCTGGGCTGTAGCTCTTGATGGGCACAGAGGCACCCGGCGTGCAGAATACGTGGGCCAGGTCGGCGCCCTGCAGAGGCAGCTCACTCCTGCTTAACAGCAGAATGCCTTCATTGGTCCGCTCTGACCGTTTTCAGCGCCGAAATGGCCGCATAGAACGGCGCTCCCGTGTACTCGAAGCACCCGCCGATCACGGCCACGCACCCTGAAGACGACCCAGCACCCAACCGATGTGTGTGGATGCCATTGCGGATCACTCTGGTCTTCAGATCTGTCTGTTATCTGACCGAGATCCCCCTTGCGCAGCGAAGGGCTCAGGGGCGGGATGATGGACCTAGTCACTGCACACACACAGGCACACACAGTCGATTCCGTGTGTTGAATGTGTGTTCTCTCACATCGAATGAGGGCATTTGTCGTCATCTTCTGTGGACCGGCTGAGCTCTGCAGCTCAGTCATCGACGGCGCAGAGTGCCTCAAGAGCCGTGGAAGTGATGCTGATGAACAAAATGCCGCAAAAACACATGTGTCGACTGCAGCTGCAATGATGAAGAGCAGTGCAGCCCGAATGACACGGGGCATTCACGAAAAACACGGGTCTGCCGGCTAAGCTTGCAAGTTGCAACTCAAGCCGAGCCTTTTCCCAGAGATCATGAGTTCCCCAACGTCACAGCGATTGTGCATGTCGGTCGGTTGGTTACTGCGTTGCAGGACACACTCGTCTGTCTGCACCCTTCCTCCCTGGCCAACATCGATCGTCTCGCACTTGAAACTCAGCCAGTCAGAGCTTTGGCCGTTTTGGCCAGCTTTTCGAGAACAGTAGCTCGCCTGGTGGTGAGACGGTGTCGTGACTGCGGAGATCTTTCCTGCGGACTCACATCTCACTCACTCTATCGCACCATCGCAAGATGAGGTCGCTTGCTGCTCTGCTCGCCCTCTTTGGGCTGTTCGCCGTCGCCAGGGCGGCAACCTACATCATGGACACTGAGGTCAGTCAGGGAAGACTGACAGCACAAGGGAGGGAGGGAGGGAGGGAGGGAGGGGCGGAGAAGAGGCCGCATGCACTCAGATGCCTCACACGCACGCCTGCGTGGTTTGTTTGTCTTGTGTTGCCTGGCTGCTGACCACTAATCAGTGCACTAAAGAGGACTTCGACGCCGGCACACTCCCCGCGGGATGCAAGGTAGGTGAGGGGACAAAACACGGCAAAGATCCGGCATCTGTGTGAGTGCACGGCTGCTGTGCTGGTGCTGCTGTGTGGCCGCCCAGAACTGGGAGGGGGCGAATGATCGGGACTGCACCGAGGCGGATTTTGCGGAGGATCCGACTACATGCACATGGAAGGCCTCCAACGCCCAGGAGGTGAATGCGCTCATCGAAGAGCTCACCTTTTCCATCGACAGCGCATGGATCGTCATGTCGGGCGCACTCGTCTTCTTCATGGGAGCGGTCAGTCAACTCACTCACTCGCACAGCCGCAGACAGACAGACAGACAGACAGACAGACAGCTGCCTGGGGGTCTCTGTCTCACTCACGCACGCATGCTGCAAATGTGTGTTGTGTGCAGGGGTTTGCGATGCTTGAGGCAGGTTCGGTGCGTGCCAAGAACGCGTCCAACATCTTGGCCAAGAACTTGATGGACAAGTCCATTTCGGTCATCGTCTGGTGGATCTGGGGCTATGGACTCGCTGTAAGCAGCCACAGCCAGCCACCCACCCACGTGCAGACAGCCGGTGTGTGATTCCGTTTCGTTCTTGTACGGACGGGGGTGCGTGGGTGCGTGTGATGTCAGTTCGGTGCCGACGGCGGTGGCTTCCTCGGCACGAGTCTGTTTGGCGGCGCGAGTGCCGAGTACGACCATGATCTCGACGCCGGCTCACTCCACTTCAGAGACTGGTTTTTCCAGTTCGCCTTCTGCTCGGCTGGAGGTACTGCGAGTCACCGTCACAGCACAGTACCCGCGGCGCGTACATGGGACGATCTTGTGTGCTGTGCTGCATTGCATGTGGTCAGCCACCATTGTGTCGGGTGCCGTTGCGGAGCGAGCCCGTCTGGAGGCGTACGCCACTTTCTGCGTGATCATGATTGGCCTCATCTACCCCATCATCGTGCATTGGACCTGGGGCGGCGGATGGCTCTCCACCTTCGGCTTCAGCGGTGAGTGAGTGAGTTGAGTGAGTGAACCCGCAAGACCAACGACACTCCCTGTAATCGTGTGATGCTGTCTGTCAGACTTCGCGGGCTCTGGCATTGTGCACATGACTGGTGGTGTAGCGGCATGGTTCGGTGCGTGGCTGTGCGGCCCCCGTACGGGCCGCTACTCTGAGACGGAGGACCCCTATGAGTTCTACCCCCACAACATCCCCTTCGTCGGCCTTGGCGCACTCATCCTCTGGTTCGGCTGGTAAGTAACCACCCACCACCACCCACCAGAGCAGAACCGGACGCCCGGTTGCGCCTAATGGAAGTCGCTGTGTGTGACAGGTATGGCTTCAACTGCGGCTCGACGCTCGCCATCTCAGGCGCAGGCATCGCCCAGGCCGCGCGTGTTGCGCAGAACACCACCATCTCGGCTGGCGCCGCCGGTCGGTCACTCAGCCAGCAAGCGACTTGCTGAGAGCCACAGACAGACATCGATGTATGCATAGATGCATCCATGTGCGTGTGTGCGGACAGGTGGGATTGCTTTCATCCTCAAGAGCTACTTTGCCAAGGGCTTCAAGTTCGACGTCACCGGTCTGGCCAACGGGTTCCTTGCCGGCCTCGTGGGCATCACTGCCGGCTGCGCCGACGTCGAGACATGGGCGGCCTTCGTCATCGGCCTCGTCGCCGGATGCATCTATGTCGGCGCCTCCAAGCTCAACGACCTCCTGCACGTCGATGACCCTCTCGAGGCCAGCTGCGGTGAGTGGGCGGGCGCACTACAGAGTCAACTGGCTTCTCATGTCAAAAACACTCATGCGATGCGTGTCTCTCTGTCGTGTTTTGATGTCAGTGCACGGTGCGTGTGGTGCGTGGGGCTGCTTCGCCCTTGGTCTGCTCCACAACGGGTCAGGCCTCTTCACCATGGGCCAGGGCGGGCTGCTCGGCGCGCAGGTCGTCGGCATCCTCGCCATCGCGGCGTGGTCGGGCGGTCTGGCATGCCTGACTTTCGGGGCGATCAAGATGATGGGGTGGCTGCGGATCAGCAAGGAGATCGAGGAGGAGGGCATGGACCTCGACGAGCACGGCGGCCCCGCCTACAACTGGGTCGGCATGTCGCCTGGCGGCTCACCGCGGATGTCACCACGGGCGCACATGGCTGCCGAGAAAGACATGATGTGAGCTGAGGAGCTCAGCTCACCAACACTACACAATAGAGGCTGGACGGTGATCTTGGTATGAATCTCACTCTCTTTTGGTGTGGTGTGTGTGATGCAGGGACGGCAAGCAGGACGGCGTGCAGGTCTAGGCTCCCGTCTACCCCTCCCTGTGTGTCGTGTTGTTTTCTTTTCGGGCCGTGCGTGGTTTTTCCCCTGACGTGTTCTCCCTCCCTGTGTGTACAGATTTTGCTTTTACGGATCGCTGTCTGTCTACCTGTCTGTGTGCTGTTTTGCTGCCGTGTCCGTGGGTGACACTGGCCAGCCGGATGGCGTCGGTGCGTATGATGGTCGTCTTTTACAACAGATACGTGCGTGCGTCAGGCCGTGGCTAGCTAGTTTTTGGAGCGTGTCATGTGGTCTGCTCATGGTGTGTGCGTTGCGGGTGCGTGTGCTGTGATGTGGTGTGACTGACGTGACCTGGGGAGGGGACAGGGAGGGGGTACATACTTACACACACGTACATATATATATTATTATGTCAGGTTGGTTTGTCCATCAGGCGTTTTTCCCGACCCGTCGACGCGGCTCTGTCACAGTGACATACATACACACACACACATGCAAAGAACGAACGACTTTTTCGCTGGTCCTGCTAGCTCAGTGCACTGACTGCTACTCTGCCTGCCCCCTGTGCCGTGTGTGTCCCTGTGTGTGGTTGCGTTGTATTATGTGATGTGAGGTGTGTCTCCCGACCGGCCGCCCGCCCCTGTTTTTTGGGGCGGCGCCGCCATCCAAGAGGGAGACACGCACCACATCTGTCTCTGTCTGTCTGGTTGATTTCATGACATGTCATGTGACGTGCACGCCGGGTCGCTGCTGCATGACACTTTCAAGTGCATCATACCGATATCGCTTGTGCGTGTGGCGGGTTTTATTCATCATTCCTTCATTCGTGAGCTGCGTACGGACACGTACGTACGCATGTGCGTGTGATGGGTACGTGTACGTGTACATGGTGTGGCGTCTCTACGGTCATTTGGTAGTCGGTCTCTTTACACACACTCATAGACAGACAGACGGACAGACGGACCTGGGCGAGCACACAGATCTGATGACGTGAGATGAGAAGTGTTCGCTGGATGTGTCTCGGGATGCCGATCAACACGGCCACGGCTGCGTCGACACGGGCACATCTCGTGTCGGCGTGTTCGTGGCCGGGCTGGCCTGTTTGCGTGACACACCGGCACGGCAGCCGTGGGCAAGACCGTTTGATGGCGGGTATGGATAAATGGGCGTGTGGGCGTGTTCTCCATCGAGAGATGGTGATGGTGTTATGAGGGTGTGGGTGTGCGTGAGGTTGAGGTGAGTGACCGTGCTTGATATCTGCATGACTCCCATTTAATGCAACGACCGACCGACCGATCATGCAGTCAACAGTGCGCGGCATTGAGTGATTGAATTGGTCTCAACACACAGCCAACAGCACAGGCAGCAACGGCGCCATCATATTATATAATCACACCGTTTAATCAAAATTACAACACCACGCCGCATGTTGGTTCATTCACACACATACAGACACTCTCCCAGACGCACAAGCCAGGCAGGCAGGCAGGCAGGCAATCCATCCACACACACACATTCTCTGCACCCCCGGTCGTCGTCTGTACACCGATCGTTCGTTTCCCTCTCTACTTTGCCATGCACGCAGGTATTTATCTCACCGGACAGGCGCCAAGCCAGCATCCTATGCGCACACACACTCGCACACGCACATTCCATTCCACACGTACTGTACCGAACACCCACGGACAGGCCGGCAGGGAAGGAGGGAGAAGCCAATCGACAAAGAAAGAAATGGCCAGCCATCCGTCCATCCATCCAGCCATCCATCCAGTCTCGCGTGCGATGCTCCCCCATGCAGCACAGCACTTGTGTGTATGGGTTTGGTGCATACCTATGTGTGTATGGTCAGATCACCCCGCCAAAAAGAGAGAAACACGTCGGTCGCTATCCAACTATTTAACGGTATGCAGGCAGGCAGGCAGCAAGCAAGGTACGCATCGTATCAGTCGGCCAGTGGTTGAGCTGTACACGCACGGACGGACGGACGGACGGACGGACAAACGGCAAGTGGGGGGAGGGCACGATATAAATGCAGCCATAGATAGATAGGTAGATAGAGCACAGCACGCCACACACAAACAGCCAGCCAGTCGTCTTGTCTTGTCTGTCTTTCAACAGCCGAACCAGCCAGGAGAGGGAGTGTCGTTCAAAACCGCACACACACACACGCGAGCGGACCCACAGGCACCCGAGTGTTGTGCATGTCTGTCAGAGAGGAATAAGCCACAAACCTGACCCACACCACCCCTCCCTCCCTCCCCTTCTCCCTCCCAGGCAAGCTAATTGGCCTTCTGTCCCAGTGGCCTCGGCGATACGTGTTGGCTGATGTCATACGGCCTCGGCGTCCCCAGCTGCGACGCTGGGAGGCTGTCGGCGCTCTTGGGCACTCCCGCTCCTGGACTATACAGCCGTGGGCTGGCGGTCGACACGCGAGCAGACTTGAGAATGCTCGTGTTGTGCGGCAGGGTGTTGTTGGGGTAGCGGTTGACATAGGGCGTGGCGTCCTTGGGATGGACATTGGGAGGCCGGGGGACGCCCCGAGCACTGATGGGGGGCGAGGTGACGGCGAAGGCCGATGAAGAGGCGCCGCGGGGGGAGCCAATCTCCATCTCATTCTGATCCACAATGCACCGCTGTGGCTCCAGGCAGCCGCAAATCATCGCACCCATCATGGCGCTGCTGCCGTTCTTTCTATGGAGGGCGGCTGAAAGAGGCAGGCCAGGCTCCGTGGCTTATCGGCAGCACGAGCAGGCGTCACGACCCAATAGCAGAAGTCACCACCATCCTCCAAAGGGTCAGGGAAACGTCAGCGTTGACTCTCTCGCGTCTTGTGCGTCAAGACTTGTTGGAAAAGCAAATATGTTCAGCTCCTGGCAGCCCTCAGTCCTCACACTGCACAGGGAAAACCGCCAATTTGCCTCTCGAAACCGACGCCACATTTGCGAGCTTAGCTATGTATCGCCGCATCTTCCATATCAGCCTTCCCATGGCGTCGGGCGGCTTCACGAGAAGCGAGCAAACGAATCCGTCGCGGATTTGGTGATGGAGCCATGGCCAAGACCGTCACGAGGAGAGATCCGAGGAAGGGCCGCGGCCTCTTTGCAGCCGACGAGATCCCCCGCGGCTCGGTGATTGTCACTGCCGAGCCCTTCGCCTATGTCATCACTCCCAGCACATCGCCGCCCAGTGTGGAGAGTGTGCAGATGCGGCGGTGCAGCGGCTGTCTGAAGGAAGCAACGCCAGGCAGGCGGCTGCTGCGGTGCGGACGATGCAAGGTACGTACGTGGTAAGGTAACGTTCCGCCGCGCAATGGATCGGTGGATCAGTCTCCAGTCTGTCTGTGTGTTGGGTGTGCTGTAGGCGGTTGCCTTTTGTGGCGCTGCGTGTCAGTCAGTGGCGTGGCGAGTGCACCGATGGGAGTGCAGCGCGATCCAGGCTGTCCATCCGCGGTGCCCAACCCCCTCGCTGCGGCTGCTGGTGCAAATCATCTCACGACTGCTGGTGGGTGATGGAGGGTCATCCTCAACGCTCACGCTCGACTCATTCATGGCGTTGAAAGGAGGTACGTGTGGGAATGGGTGGGTGGGTTGGGAGGCAATGCATGAGTGTGGTTTGGTTTGTGTATCTGTCTGTCTGTCTGTCTGTCTGCAGATCCTGACGGCCTCACTGATGGGCAGAAGGAAGGCTTCGGTGAGTGACCGACAGAGAGCTCCTTGGCGGTGGTGCAATGCATTTGATACATTGCAGCTGCAGTGAGCTGTCTGGCCGAAAAGATGCTGAGGGCGACATCTGTGGGCAATCGGTGTCCCGCCCAAACCACCCTCCTCGCCGCCTTGTGCAAGGTCTGCTCAGAAGCCACAAATCGCCCATTCGCCCACACTGAGTGGCGCGGGGAGTGTGTGCTCAGGTCTCATGCAACGCATTCTCCATCTGCGATGAAGAGCTGAGGGTACGTGTCCGGGCTGAGGGTAATCATGTGAATGCATTCATTGGTGTCGCGTGTGTGTGGTATGTGTGTCTGTATGTGGTGGACTCACCAGCCTGTCGGTTTGGGTTTCTACCCCGACGCAGCTGTCCTCAACCACTCGTCCGTAGGCTACAGACGCACTCACGCACGCACGCACACACACACACACACACCGTTGCAGACATACCATCGACAGTCCGACAGCGCTCTTCTTGTGCTCTGTGCTGTGTGCACAGCTGCCTGCCGTCGTGTGTGGCGACTTTCGCCGGTCTACGGCTGACTGTGCGCACCCTGGCGGACCTCACACCCGACACTGAGGTGAAATAGACGAAGGAAAGGGTCATCAGCGAGAAGACCAGCGATGGCGGATGTGGGTTGGGCGTTGTGGGTGCAGCTGACGATCAGCTATTTGGATGTCGCGGACACAGCGGAAGGTGAGTAAGACTGACAGACATCCATGGAGTGCACACATCGCCTGTATCGTCATTATATGGCGTCGCTTTCTCCCCATCATGGCTGGATGCGTCAGGTCGGCGTCGCTATCTGAAGGAGCAGTACTTCTTCGAGTGCTCGTGTCCACTCTGCCACACACACGACCAGGCACCGCTGCAAGTAAGCCGTCACGCACTAACATGCGGTGCAGCAACCATCCACTCATGAATACGTTCACAGGGTGTTGTGGACGCCTTCCTTGTAAAGCCCCTTACCGGTTCATTCCGTCCCACATATACCGCCCCAACAGGCGACCTCCTTTCGTCAGCCTGGGAGCACCTGCAGCGAACAGTTCTATGCGACCACGACTCGCTGCAGACCAGTTCCCACAGCAGCAGCGGCAATGGGTGGGACTGGCGATGGCCATGTGAGTGGCGCGGTCGGCGTCTCATTGCCGCAGACATGGATGAGGCCCGGCAGAAGTGGGGAAGACAGGAGGGGGGCTGGTCACGTCTTGAAGAGAGTCTGGCGCAGTCGGCTGTCTACGAGGTGGCTACCACAACACGTCAGGAGCCGAGTGGCCGTGTGGATGAGGGTCTTATCGGCGTGCTTGAAGACCGGGTGGCGGCAGCCAGGCAGGGTAGTGCATGTGCGTGTGGGGAGCAGCAGATAAGGGCCATTACCCACGACCTGATGGGGACAGGAGCGTCCTTTCATCCTGCATACCTGAGGTACGCGAGCAGGGATGCCGGGGTGCAGGACACTGCCCACTCCCCGACAGCTGGTTTCCCACGTCGCTGTCCTCTTAGGCTTCATCGTTTGCGCGAGTCGTGGCTGCAGCACCTGATCTCCGTCGAGGCCTTTGCTGAGGCCGCTCCAGTCGCACTGACGACCCTGCCAGCTTATCGGGGTGCGTGGGGAAGACGGGCAGAAAGCACGTAAAGGAAAATGGTTGATTCTCTATCTACGTCTTGTGTGATGCAGCCCTGTACGGAGCCCAGTCGCCGCTGTTCGGTCTTCAGCTGTTCCTCACGGCCAAGATCCTCTCTGCATGTGGAGAGACGTCGAAGGCCGATGCACTCATGAGGAGAGCCTTCGAGGTCATACATGAGATTCGGCCACGGTGTACTCGCATATCTACTGCAGGTGAATGCTGTGTTCAGGTATTGCGTGTGTGTTGTGGCGCCGACCATGAGCTGTGCGACAAGGCCAGAGACTTGCTGGGGCAGCTGCAGGCAGGGTGAAGGGGCGGTGATGACGATGGGTGCCGAGACGTGTGTGTTGGGCTGTATTGTGCATGGTGAGAATGCACTACCATGACAGCACGCAGGTGGACAGACACGACACGTCACCATCTGTGCGCCTTGTCAGCATCAGTTGTGGATAATGAGTGGCTGCTGGATGGATTGATACCATTGCATTGCTGAAAGCTGAACAGCGGTAAATGAAAAAATCCTAGCCGGCCCCTTTCCGGGCTCTCTGTGAGAGCCTCGCTCGTGACGAAATCTAGCGCGAGGCAGCCATGGGATCTCAGACAAACCTTGCAATGAGGAACCGCTATGCTGCAGTGCAGCGCTCACCAGCTGCTGACCCCACTGCGGTGCGCTATCGTCGTGCCTTGACGTGCCTGGCCTGGCTGGCCGACGTGGTGGCGGGCCACGCCAGCATTTCACAATGTCTTAAGCGCACTGTCCGCTCTCTGCCAATGGCTCCCCTGCCTTGGTTGATGCGCAGGCAGGACAAATCAGAATCCTGGAGATTCTGCATGCATGCGGCCTGGGGGGCGCCCCCACCAGCAGTCTTGCTGGAAGCCATGGCGCAATCTGCCGCTGACCTGTTGCTGCTACCGCCGTACGCCCGGCACCGCACCCATGTCGTCCAGACACAGGACCTCCAGCTGCTGGGAATCGTGGTCGTGTCCTCTCTATGTGTCTTCTTCTGGTTCATCGCGTGAGACATCTGAGGAGGCCATGGAGCAGCTCGGTCCGTGTGTGCATGTCATTATTCTGCAGATTGACAGGGAACGAGTGGCAGACTGTCGAGGTTGGTGTCATCCATCCAGCATTGTTGAGGCTTGCCCCGCCTCTGGAAGTGGCGGCCTCGCTCAATGACATCAGCATCGGGGCAGTGGCCATGTCAGGCGCCAGTGCAGCTGCGGCTGGGTCGGCCACATGGCCTCCGACATGGAGTGCGGTGCAGCAGGAGGTGGTGTCAGCCCTATGCCCATCGAAGGGAGACTGCCCCTTGGCATTCATTGCGAAGGTGCGGGCGGAAACAGCCAACCGGCGATTTGAAGGCTCATACATGCGACGTGCGCGTGTGTGTGTGTGTGTGTGTGTGTGTCAGCGCTATTGTGAGGAGAGCGATTGGCACGTGGCTTCTTCCCATCCATTGGTCTACTGCGATGCCCTCGAAAACCTTCTCCTCATGTCTTTCTGGACAGGTACACACACACACACACACACACATGGGTGTACTTTCCGCGCATAAGCATCTTCCCGCCTGTTCCTCATGTGCCAGAATACTGCCTCGTGTTTGCCATTGGGCTGATGGTCGCTGCTCTCCTGCTTTACATGGTCCCTACCCCTCCCTCACCTCCCGCGGGGCCACTCACCATCCACAAGGACGACACACCGCGAGAAGAGAGAACCACTCACGCATCCGCATCGGCGTCTTTATCGGCATCGGCGTCTGCGACCGAGCCAAGTGCGGCCCAGGGGTCGGTGCCTGTGCTGGCCTTCTCCACTTATCTGGTGGTGCTGGCGTTGTATTGCGCTGCTGGCTTGGCGTCCCTCATGGCCTTGATCTGCTACGCGCAATGCAACGGCCTCTGGGACATAATTGACTTCCGACAGGTGGGTCCAGAGGTTTGGCAGAGACATGCACACAACCAGTTGTGCTAAATACGTGATCATCAGATCGACCCGCAGCGTCTGCTGATTCCCACAGAGTGGGACCGACAAAGATCAAGCCAACCATACCTCGGGTATGCGTATATGCGTGTGTGTGTGTGTGTGTATGTCTATCTATCTATGATGTCTGTGTGCACATCCCTTATGCAGGTCGTCTTTCTACCTCTGCCTGGGTACCTCTTTGGCAAGCCTTTTCCTCCCCATCCTCATCCATCGCCTGGGCGAAGACACCTCACAGCAAGACACGTCATGCCACACCCACACACTGTCAACACACCACCATCACGAGCAGCAACCGTCACACGACGCCATCCCATCAATCGCGGCACGTCAGCCACCAGAGGGGTGGGCCAGCATCCAGCAGCCCTTGCTTGCGGCAGGCCATGGTGGATCCTTCTGTGGCTTTTCGGGCCTCGCTGCTGAGGCAGCACAGCTGCGGCGAGACACGTAAAAAGGCGTGCCTCAGTCGACCGCATGGACACGAGTGGGGGGAGAAAAGAGAGAGGAACAAAGAAATTGCGAAACGAAGCGAGAATTGAGCCATCCATCCATCCATCCAACCACGTCAGTCACATAGACATAGATACGTACCATTTGGTGTGTGCATATCGGCTTTAAGGATTGTGTGTTTGTGACTTGGGTTGGTCCGACATGCAAATTCCTTTTGCAGCTCACGCAGCCTCTTTTGGCATTCTCAAACGGACCCACATGCGTCAGCAGGCAAGACAGCCACCAAATCGCCATGTCGCAGCACACACGCGGGCACACATGTCTCCGACAGAAACCCATCCGCGAAAAGCGCTGGGGTCACTTCACCACGATACACACGCAGCCACCTGCCTTCACCGCCGGCCTTGTCGGTCATGAGCCACCTCTCTGCGGCTGCGTCTCGTCGGATGCACAAGTGGAGGCTGCAAAGCACATGTGGGGTGCTTCGATTCGTGTCTCTGCTTTTCGTCCCTCTCACCCTTTGTAAGTGCTGCTGTGGGGTCATCTTCATCCTTGGGCGTCCTCTGTGAGGGCGGCGGCTGGGCACCATCTGCACACAAGTCACACACATAGATGTGTGCTACCGAAGGGGGAAAGCGTATCAAGAAATGACTTTGGAGTGTCTTCTGGACGACATGGAAGCCTTTGTCCCTTGTGGCGAGGCTGTAGAGCATGACGAAGGACTCCCAGAAGGTCACCAAAGGCAGCCCGATGGTCGTCCCAAGCACCAACACCAGATACACAAACAGACCCCTGACAGACAGACGAACGGATGGCAGGAGACACACACAAAAAAGGCCCAGCTTCAGCGATCGCGTGGCTTCTTTCATGGCTGCCTGCCTCAGCCAGTACCTGGATCGAATCGAGAAGTTTTGGCACGATCCGAAGAAGTAGCAAGCCATGGAGGCGCCGTAGGACAGACCGGCTATCCACAGCAAAGCGGGGCTATACGGCACCGTGTCGCTCTGGCTGCCTCGACCCCTGAGAGCCATAGGTGGGGTTGCGTCAGAGATAGGTGCGTTGACAGGCCTTTTTGTTTCTTAATGGTTTGTTTGTATGCGCACGCGAGTTTGAAAATGGTGCACAAGAATGCGGTGAATGGCACGGAGGACCAGATGAGGAAGGCCAGGAGGAGCGGCCACCGCACGCCCCACGACAGCTCGGAACTCCAGATGATCTTCCAGTGACCCTGAATCCATCTGCGCATATCAGTACATACAATACACATGAATGAATGCACGAACACATTGGCAGCCGGACGGACGGACGGAAGGGCGGATGGGATGAGTACACAGTCATCTGCCCACCTCCGTCTCTGCTTGGCGAGGTCCATGAAGGTGAATGGGGAGAACTCCCTCATCGTGCCGCGAATCCACCCGAATTTGTAACCCAACATCTGCGCCTTCAGACCGAAATACGCATCTGGACACACCAACCAACGTCATGACAACACAGGCACAGACGCAGGCAGTCTTTTCAAGTGAGTGTGGTGTCTCTGTGGGTGGGGTGGGGTGGGGTGAGGTGAGGGGCAGGCATCGACCGACCGACCTTCGCATATGGAGACAGCAGCGCCGACATCGAAGGTGACATGCTCCTCCACGCCCTTGCGGACGGCGAAGAAGGACCCCTTCAGCCCCTGAGACGGCAACCCCAAACTCTGCCAGAAACGGGTCCTGCATACACACACAGCATAGCATCGACACACACAGAGACAGACAGACAAACAGACAGACAGACAGGGAGAGAGAGCGGCAGTGTAGTCGTCGTGTAGTGCATACTGTGGTGTGCATATGTATGTATGTGTGTATGTGGGTGCAGTGCATCCGGCCGGACCTGCAGTGGTCCTCTGATAAGCGGACGGAGTCGATGCAAGTGGTGAGGAGGTTGACCACCGGACCATGGCCATACACTATGCGACCTGTCGTGTCGTGGCAACGATAAACAGATGGTGGATGACACATGCACACATCCTGTGTCTCTCTGCGTGCGTGCGTGTGTGTGCGCGGCTGTACCACTTCCGATTCGGTCGGGGTATTGCGCGAAGAAGGCCTTGATGCCGAGGATGGAGCTGTGGTCGAGCAGGGTCTCCTCGTCCAGGTGGATGATGAAGTCGTCATTGTTGAGCACACTGTGCCGACCCTCCAACGCATACTGAAGGTTACGCGCCTTGTACAGCGTACCTGACACCACACAGCACACACAGTGCTGCACCCCGCGTGACGTGCAGGCACGTCTCCCATGCCGCTGTGTACCTCTGGGCGTCCTGTAGTCTTCGGGGACGTATATCTCGTATATCCTGTCGACGGCCTCAGGGCGCACGCCCGTCTGCAGGGCCAGGCCCAGCTGTCTCTGTGTGACCGCCTCCACTATCCACTGCAGGTCGGGGTGGCACAGCAGCAGGGACGTGTTCTTGCGAAGGGTCTCGTTGATCAGCACCGGATCGTTGCCTGCGCAACCAGCCCACCCAGCCACCCAGCTATGATTGGTATGGGTATATGTATGTGGTGTGTGCTGTGCTGTGCTGTGCTGTGCCGCGTATTCACCTCTGGTGACGACTCTGAAGGCGAAGAGTCTGTTCTTGATCCTGTCGGGGTCAAATTGCAGCTCCTCTACCAGTCCGTAGGGCCAGAACATGCCCACAAACACCTGGACAAACACGGGGATCAGCGGGTCCATCGACAGAATCGTTCCCTGACGATCAAACGATCGATAGCAACAGCAGCGAAAGGACAGACATCCATATATACTGCGTCCTGCGGTGTGGCTGCGCGTCTTACGTATGTGGCGATTTTCTGCCAGAGTGTCCAGTCGGCTGAGTTGGTCAGGCCTGATATAATGAATGCAGCAAGAGACACGGAAGGAAGAGCATGCCCTGGACATGACAGGGCAATGTCAGATGGGCTGCGTGGCTTACATGTTCGCTTGGCGCATGTGTTCTCCACCGTCTTGAGCAGGAAGACGACAGACGCTGCGAAGAGAGACGCAAAAATGCAGTTAGTTGATCAATCCAATCCGTATCATCCATCCATCCAACGGTCTGGCTGTTGGTGCTGTGCTGTGTGGTGTGTGTGCTTTGACCAGCTCACCGACCTCCGACACACACCAGAAGCGTGACAATGCCGAAAACGTATGTGGTCCAGCCGTGCCACTTGGACACCGAGAACATGCCCCTCGACTCATCAGTGCCGCCCAGCAAAGGCGAGGTAATGGACACCGTCCCCTCATCGCCGCCGCCCCTCTCCCCCCGTCCCTGCCGCCATATGCACGTGTCGCTCTCCACCGCCCGCGTGATGGCCGAGAAGGACTCATCCGGATCCGCATCATCACCCGGCACACCCATTCCCCCCTGCGGCAGCTGGGCCTCCTCATTGTGGGGGGACGTGTTGTGTGCGCCGCCCGTCTCCTCTGTGATGCGGTGGAGGATGATTGGCAGCAGTGTGCTGCCGAGGGAGGTGAGGGAGCACAGGAAGAATGAGGGGCCGAGGACAGACCAGTCGAAGAGTGTGGCTTGGACGAGGCCGATTGGGATGAGGAGGCGTTGTGGGTCGATGAGGTGGAAGTTGATGAGTTCCCACAGGCTCGATGTCTGCCCGTACAGCGCCAGAGCCGTCAACGAACACACGGATGAAGCTGCACACAGCCATACACACACCAACAGACGGCAGGGACATCATTGATCTCGAGAAAGAATGCGCCGGTCCGTCTGTGAGTGCTGCCAACCCGTATAGAGAGTGAAGATGGTCATATGCAGTGTCTGGTAGGAGCAGCCCCTCTCGCCAGTCTGACGCATGTCGGCCTTGATACAGTCGAGAGGCAGCATCAGGAGCACGGCAGCCAGGAGAGTGGCACAGATGGCCCCAAGAAGAGCGTACGCGACGACCCATGAGAGCGCCAGGGTGCGCTGGAGAAGGCGGCAGCTAACAATCGGGCTCTCAGGAAGGCTGGAGGGTGTGCAGTGCTTCTGAATGATACATGCGTTTGTCAAACACGTGCATCCCTGCGACATCCTCGTTACCGTCTTTATGGTATGTACCTTGTGTATGGCCTGCAGGGTGCATCCCTTCCTGGAGTTGCATAGTCTCAGTGTGATGTCCCGGCGCACGTTGCCCCAGGTGCTGTAGGCGGTGACCATCTTGGGCGCCGCAGATATGTACACCTCAGACAGAGACAAAGTCACCTGCAATGCATCACGCACGCAAAGACACTCGCCGTCTCTCACAATGAGTTTCCCAGAAGTGGAGGAGAGACTCATTACACTGAGTGGCGGGTTGATCTGGAGTGTCTGGGGGTCGATGACGCTCACCTCCACCCCCTGCCAATGACCCGTGGACAACCTGCCAGGGACACACAACAGCGTCAGACACAGACTGTTCACCCACAGCCTCACTGCAAAGGGCAGCTAGGCGTCCCTCTGTCTACGATTTTGTCTCGCTTTCTTTCTTCCTGCTCACCCGAGGACCCATAGTGCGGCACAGACAAAGCTTCCAAACACCATCCAGAAATGAGAACCCTCCGCGTCCTTCACGACGAGGAATGGCCTGACTCAGCGGACGGAGCGGTCCGGTGGGTGAATTGGCGGTGAGTGAGAAGAGTGCGTGAGTGATGACGTTCAATGAAGGATGAAGAGGAGGGCGGGATTATGGGACGATGAAGCTACGATGGGCCTTCGGAAGAAAAGAGGAGGTTTTGGAGTGGGGGCTCGTGAATGTCATGAGGACGGACGGCTAGGGATGGAAGGCTCGCCGCTCCTCGCCGCAGCGCGGGGAGGCTTGGGAGGCGATTGCGCCTTCCGGCTAAGCGCGCAGCATCGATCAAGGCATCGATTTGACGAGATCTGGCATCCACTGGGGAAGAGTCTATCCATCGACAAGCGAAGTCATTTACACAACAAGAATAACAACAAAGAAAAAGCAGGAAGAGGAAAAGGCAAGGTCGTGAACAATTGGTCGTGAATGCTCACATGAGGCCGGCCGCGCTGAGCCTGATTAGACACCTACGGTACACTATGGCTCTATCTGTTCGCTACTCACCCGACGGACGAGTGGCGAGCACATGCACTGCAGCCAGCCGTCGATGCTAGCTAGGCAGCGCTCTCGTCCGCCGGGGTCATGTGCTGCCTGTCTGGCTCTTCGAAGAAAGCCAGGGCATCGGCGGCCGCCTCACGCGACAGCCGCAGCGAGGGGCCAAGGGACACCATACCCAGCCCTCCTTGCCCATCGTCACCACCGCCCCCGTTGCTGCCGTTAACCCCACACTGCTCGTCTGTGTGTGGACCCCTTCGGATAGCGTCTCTGAGGAAGTTGCATATGGGAATGATGTTGGCGTCGTCCTTGAGGATCTCGAGGTTGGAGGGCGACGCGTAGCAGATCGACAGCAACGTCGGGAACAATACCTGGACAACCGAACGAATTAGGTGGCCGACTCAGGTGCTCTTACTGTGTTGCCCGCTCACCTGGTTGAGGGGCTCAACGAAGTAGTGAAAAGGCAGGGCCGCCAGGATCTTCAGCAGACTCTGACGCACACATGCACGCACAACGGGGCAGGAAAGATCACTGCGGCAGATTGATTGATTTGGACCTCCGCGCCTCTCCCTCACCTTTTCGCCTCCGATACTGACGAGTGCCCGGTTGTCGGGGTGCAGGAGACAGGCGAAGCCAATCAGATGAATCGTCTCGTGCAGCAAATCCCTGCATTGATGGACAGACAAGGGAGTGAGAGTCGGGTCGTGTGTTGGTTGCACATGTGTGGCGGTGGGACTGCCTCTAGTCATTCCTTTCTGACGAGCAGGCTCACCTGCAGACCTCTGCCGATTCTGCTTTACTATCCAGTTTGGAGTTGCAGTACTCGAGGAGGAAGTGAGTGACATGGTAGAACACCTTCCGGCTGCCGTGCACAGCACCCTGACGTTGTCAACAACCACCATCACCATTACACATACATACATACACAGTCTGACAGGTTGCTTGCTTGAAATGTGTATGTTGCTATGACCTGTACAGCGGGAAGGCCAATCCTGGCAGAGTGGTTGAGTGTCTGGGTGGACAGTATGCACAACTGCAGCAGCTGCGCCTGCAGCCGAGGGGGCGGGCTCATGCGCGGCGGACCATCAGACAACAACAGAGATGCCTGATCGACCAAACCACCCACCCCCACACACAGTGATAAGCGACCCTTCTGCCACAGTTGGTTGATTCACCTCACCAGTAGAGGCAGCAGCCCGAAAACCCTTGTGTACTGCAGGATGCCACAGACCGCCTCATGCAGACCTGACGGGATCAACCCCTCAAAGCCGTCCACCATGCAGCCCTTCCCATCGCCGGCAACAGGAGCAGCCTGCTCGACATCAGCCCCGCTGGCCTGGCTCCTCACGGCCGTCACGGTGTCGGTCGTGCTCTCACGAGTGGACAGACGGGCAGGGACCTGCCGCACGTCCGACGGTGAGCTGGTCACAGCCTCAGCTGAGGGCAGGCACTGGTGCATCAACAAGTTCTCGTCCCTGGATCAACACAACACACACGTCCTCAGCAGATGTACACGTACAGGTGTGGTAGGCTCGGCTCTCGACTAACCTGCACAGGTCTGTCATGCCGGTGAGTATCTTGAGCAGCTGCCCGCTGCTCTTCAGGAACTGCGGCAGGGGCGACTGTGACTGTGCCTGAGCCTCCAGTGGGCCACGGACGAGGGCGAAGTGCTCTCGCAGTCGCACCGGCAGCCCGCAGCACAATATATAGCCGATGAAGGCCTGCCTGAGGCCCTCGAACCGCTCGACGACGGGATTCACCTCGTCATCTGGCAGCCGCAGCAGGAAGTCGGGCACCTTCTGCTTCAGCACAATCGCCAGGATCTGCAGCAACTGCGACAGCACCGGGCCGATCGCTGCAAGCGACGGGAAGGGCGACGGGGACGGCAATATCGGCGGCACTGACGATGACACACCGTTTGCCGTGACGGGCGGCTCTGGCTTGTCTTCCGTCCTGACGGCCGAGGGGTCGCCGGCTGGCTGGCCCGTCGGCCCTCCGTCACTGCTGCCTCTGGCGTGTGAAGGCAGCTGTGACGCCGAGGGGTCGACGGCCGCACTGCTGTTCTGTCCGTCAGCAGCGGTCCCGGGTGTCCTCGGTGACGGTGGCCTCACGGGTGTCTTGGCTGCCGCACGAGGGCCGTCAGCAGGTGGGAGAGTGCTCAATGGCCGTCCGGGAAGCAGCTCTAGGGCCCAATCGATGAAGGGGAAGAGTCGTCCGGTCAGCAGACACACAGCACGGCAGAACTTGCCGATCTGCTTGTTGGCCATCAGCGTGTGGAGCAGCTTCGCCAAATGCCTGATCAGACAGACAGACAGAGAAGAGAGCATCAGAGTTCCGTGTGCTCAAGGCGTCCCGCGTGCGTAGTGCTTACTGGCTGAGATGGACAACTATCATGGGCGACATGCCCGACGACGCAGCTACACTCGGCCGCAACCGCACCGCAAGTGCGCACAGGATGGTCAGGCCACTCTGCTGCAGAAACAGCTGCACATCGCCCTCGCGACCTGGCTCAAGCACCTGAACACATCCACACACAACATGAGACACCCAGCCAGACCAGCAGGGTCTGTCTCTTTCTTTTCTGGCCTGCCTGACCTTCCAGAGGTCTTTGAGTGTGTTTTCCATCTTGTCAGCGTCGAGTATGGCCTCTCCATCCCCCTCCCCCTGGACCTGCGCCCGCAGGTCCGTCACTAGCTTGGTGATGCGCGTCGTGTTGGCGGCGCCAGGACCTTTGTCAAGCCCCGTCAGCTTCAAACACTCGTCATCACCCAGCAAGGCAGATGCGACCGATGAAACACCCTCGCCGTCAGTGTGGGTCGCCTCCAGCCGTCTTCTGAGCTCGTGGGCACACTCGAAAGCACACTGCACGGGTGCTGGGGGCCACACCTCTCTCGCCGCCTGCTGCGAGTCCCAGTCCTGGAGGCTGCTCGACGGGTCAAACGTGAGGAGGTTGCCCGTCGCATCCTGCGACGCCACCTCGTCCTCAGTCCTGTCATCCCCGGCACCGCGAGAGATGGCCGACGTCCCACTGGTCCTGCGATCCACCATCCGAGAGTTGCCCCCCGGGTCAGTGGCAGCCCGGTCCGACTCAGTTGCACCCGTCTTGTCACGCTTCTCTCGCCCGCCCTCTTGCAGCCTTCCGCCCCGCCCGAGAGCGCGGTTGCGCTGCAGCTTCCAGTACCGCATCGGCTGGCTGCCGGTGCTGCCGGGCGTCACAGAGGTCGACCCGGTGGCGGCCGCTGTGGCGCAGGCTGATGGGTCGTCGCGGTCTCGTGAGGGACGGGGCATCTCCTTGATGGTCGTCGATGAGTCCCACGGGGGCATCTCGGGATCGGAGTTTGTGAACTCCACCATCTTGCGCGAGGCACGCACTGAATGCACGGCGTCATCCGTCGGCTTGCGGGACTCCGGGGGTACGCGGGGAGGCTTGCCGAGTGCGCCGACGCGCGGGGCTGTGATTCTGCGGTTGGGGTGGTCGGCGTTGGTGTCCGAGCCCTCAGATGCCGGCAGGTTGGTCGCCCCGGGAGTGGAGCCACGGGATACGGTGAGCGGCCTGGCCTCTGAGGGAATCTTCTTGACGAGGGAGACCTGTACAGAACGAATGTCGATCATCCAGCTTCGCCCCTTATCTTTCAATGCGTCGTGTGCGTGTTGGTTGTACCAGCTGCTTCGTGCCGTTAGCCTGCGCAGCGTCTGTCCGAGGAGAGGGCTTGTTGTCTGAAACAAGTGCACATTTGCATCCATCAAAACCACGTTTTTCATACTTACCACTCTCCTTCGGATGTCCCTCTCCCGCAGCAGCCGCGTCCGATGTCGATGCAGAAGCAGCTGGTGCTGCTGCTGCAGCAGAAGAAGGCGCAACTTCCGGTCTCTGCTCATTCGCGGCAGGGGTCTCATGGCTGGCCTGGGCTGCCGACGCTGCCGACTTGGAAGAGCCTACAGGACTGCCGTCAGCCTTCTTCTCGTCCTCTTGTCTCGCTCCACTGGCCGCGCTGGAGGCTGGAGGCGCCCCCTCCAGCTCGCCCCCGGCCGCAGCTGTGGCCGCCTGGCTCTCTTGCTGCTTCTTGGCGGCCTGTGCGGCCTTCTGCCGCTTGAGCTTCTCCTTGCGCTTGTTCTTGTGGCCCACAGGAGCGCCCTTGGGCTTGGCACTAGCAGAAGTGGCAACCGCTGGAGGGGGGCCCTCAGGCTGATGTGGCTGCTGCGCTGCCGCCCCTTCGGATGATGGAGCGGCTTGTGCATCGCCGTCAACGTTGACGGTGTCGTCGGCAGTCCAGCGTCGAGTTACCGTCGAGCCATCAGCAGCTTCGGAGGGCAATGGGGCGACGCTCGGTGCGTCATTGCAGGGGAGCGGCGCAGCGGACATCGGCTGCGTGGCGCTGCCTGCGGATTGCCCGTTGCCCGCAGCCTCGGATGGCTTGACAAGCTCTTCTTGCTCGTCTCCATCCTTCTTGTCGGCGGCACCTAATGCCACATTGGTCGATCCCTTGCTCTTGGCTGCTTTTGTCTTGGCCTTGTCCCTCGCCTTCGAGTGCTTGCCTGCCTTCTGAGGCGGCGCAATGACGTCTGCCACCTCCGCCGAGAAGACAGACCGACGACCCGCCGCGGTGTTCTTGGTTGCCACTCGTGCTGCCGCTGGTGCCGTGACCCCGTTGCCGTTCTTGTTCTCCTCTGGAGTCCTCTTGCCCTCCGTCGGCCCCTCCTCTGTCCTGCCGTCCCGGGCAGCCGCTGCCGCCTGCCACGGCCAGTGGCGCCCCTTGCTCCGGCCGCCTGAGCGAGGGGGGACGTAGATCCACCGCGGAGAGTCGCGCTTGCCTTCGCCTGGGTCACCACCTGCTCCACCATCGCCGCCATCGACACTTGTATCGATCTGCGGCATTGCTGGCGCAGGGGCGGGTGCGGAGGCCGAGGCCTCGTCTGTCGTCTGCGGGGCCAGCTGCTCAGCGGTCTGGTGTGCATCGCCCCCCCCTCTCTCTCTCCCTTCTGATGGTTCGCTTCTATCAGTCTCCTTGATCTCTTGGTCTGGTGGTTGGGAAGCAGCACTGGCCGGTCGCCGCTCGCTCGTCTGTTGCGATTCGCCAGCCCTTGTCTCGTCCTCAGGTTGTTTTGCCGCCGCCGCCTGTGATGCCACCGCCACGCGTTCGGATGACGGTGTGCCGCCGGTTTGCTCCTCATGATGCTTTGGCGAGGGTGCTTGCTGTGGCTCGGATTGTCGCTGTGAGGGTAGCTCACCGCCAGCACTGACTTTCGGGGGCGACGGCTCCGCATGGGACAGCCGCTCAGGCACCGTGGGTAGCCGGCGGTCCTGGTGCGCTGGCTGCTTCCGGGGTGGCGGTCTGACAGGGTGGTAAGGCGGAGGGGCCTCCTCACCTATGGTGTGTCGGTGCTGCAGAGCTGGGCTGGACGAGTAGTTGGCCGTCATCGTCGCGGCGTTGTGTCTAACAGCGAAGGACGGCAGGGATGCAGATGTCGTTTGCTGCACGGTGTCGGGCATCTGGGGCGGCCGGGGGGGAGGAGCCGTGACGAGCGGCACTGTCGCCGGCCCTCTTGGGTAGGAACGCGATGGTCCTGGCGCGCCCATAAGTGGGATGGCGGCGCCATAGCCGGAGGGCCCAGCGTCTGGGTGACAGTACTGAGGGATGTATGGCGCTGCGTACGGGTTGAGTCTGGATGTCTGCCCGCCCGGCAGATGGATTGGCTGATGCGGCGGCAGCACCATGGGCGGGGACGGATGATGGTTGGGATGGGGATGGTGTCGCCTGTAGCCTCCCTCGCCCGTCTGCGTGGTGCTGTTGGCGCGGCCATGGCGACCCGACGATGACGGTGGGAATGGCAAAGGGGTCACCAGCTGTCGTTGAGAGTGCGACCGAGATGCACTATCGCCCAGAGACGGGGGGTGGGGATGCCTCGCAGCAGGACCGTGGGAAGTCCTGCTCGAGGCGGCACCATGTGTCGCTCTGGATGTGTGTCTCGACTGCTGCTGCTGTGATGAGACAGGCCTGGATGAGCCACCAGCAGTAGGGGGAGAGGGCAGGGCGTCCGAGTCAGCTGCACCCTCGTCACCAACATCGTCCGCAGCATCTCCTGGCTGGGCTGCCGGCGTTGTCTGATTGATGATGGGACACGGAGTGCACGTGTGTATGTGTGTGTGTGTGCTGTGAGGGTTTGTCTGTTGACCCGTGTGAGGTTGGGGTTGATGGTGAGGTCTCGCTTGCGTCGGAGGGCCATCGACACACGCCGGTCATCCTCGTGGGACTTGCGCACTATCGAATCCAGGTGCTCCTGACGCCTCGCAGCAGCCTGACAAACAGACCGAGCGGAGAAAACAATCAATCGATCAATCGATCAGCCAATCAGCCAATCAATCAATCAATCCATCAATCAAACGGGTGACTGAATGAGTGAGTCAATGAGTGAGTGAGTGAGTGAGTGAATCAGTCATTCATTCATTCACCTGCTTCTCCTTGGCCTCAAGCATCGCCCGCTTGGCCTCCTGTGCCTCGAGCTCATTCGTGCGCCGCTGCTCTAGAGTTCTGCAACCACAAGGAACGACACACGCACGCATCATTCATGACTGACTGACCGACGGCGAACGGCCATGTCGTATATTCCCCCCACTGCTCGCCGGCTGATGCGTTCGGCCCGCTGCACGAGTTTCTTCTGCATCTGCTTCTGCTGTGCGGCGCGCGAGTGCGATGCAATCTTCAGACGCTGCTCCAGGAAAGCTGCGGAGAGACATAGATATGGACAGTCGAGAAGAGGGCTGGCTGTACCATAGCATGCTTCTCTCGTTGCCGGTGTGTACTGTAAATACCTTCGGCGTTTTTCTGCAGTTCGTTTCTGATGAAGTTGATTTCCTCCAGCTTGACGGTCTGCTCCCGTGCCCTGTTGCTGATCTTCTTGATGGCCGAATGATACTGACGACGAGCACTGAAAAAGGCAGTGAATGAATGACACCACACACACCATAATGCAACAAAGGTAGGGAGGTACTTATTTGTCATCGGCTGACCGTGACATTTTCTGCATGAGAATTCGCTTCTTCTCCTCCTGCTCCTTCTCGCGACGCTGACGCACTCGCCTGTGGACACAAATGGTAAGGCAGAGTGAGTGTGGCTGGTGAGTGTCTGCGTGGCTCACTCACTCGACTCGTTCTGCGACTTTGCGGCTGGGTTCGACCCGCCGTGTGTCCTCGAAGGCTTTGAGGTCCTCAGCTTTCCTCTGATGGCCACAGAACACATGAATGAATGAGTGTCTCTCTCTCTCTCTCTCTCTGTGTGTGTGTGTGTGTGTGTTGGTTAGTCACTCGGCCCACCTGTCGCTCCTCGTATCGGCGCTTCAGCTCGGGTGCAGTCGGACGCTGAACCACATCACATACATGATCAACATGTGCGTGAGTGAATCCCCCTCCCCTCCCTCGTTGGCGGGTACCTGTGAGTGCTCCGGTGATGCGAGACGGCACGTGAGCTTCCGGTGGGCGTTGAGGACCGTCGCCACCACACGCCGCAGCCGGTCCCTCGTGGCGCCGCCAGACCCTATGCTCGACGACCCGATAGACGGCCGCGGCGAGAACAAATTACCGTCCCCACCGCCCGGAACAGTCGTGTCGTCCGTCGATTGCGGCCGGAGAGGGAGGGAGGGGGGCGGCGGCAATCCGACGTCGGCCACACCGTCGTCGGCTGCGTGTGCGGGCTTTCCTCCCCCACTGCCGTCATCGACACCTGCGGCTTCCCCTGCAGTGTGTGCATTGGTCTTGCCTCCGGACTGCCTCGCCCGTGGTGGGGTGGGCGCCCCGGACGGGTGGCGGGGAGGCGACACCGATCCGGGGGCACTCGGGCTATCAGGGAGGGGGCAGCTCTGCAGCCGGTGCAGCGCAGGTCCTAGCTCCACTGGATTGGGCACCTCACGTGTCGCCGGCATGGGGCGGCTCGTCCAGGCCAAAGACACACCGCCGTTTGGGTGCTCCACGCCGATGGCTGTTGGTGGTGGCAGGGCCGCTGAGGGTGGGTCATTTGGCGCGTCGCCATTGGGGCCTGTCGGCAGCAGCTGACGCATGCGCGGGGGGATGGCAAATTGCGAGGCGCCAGTGGGGCTGACGACGGTGCGCTGGCGCGTGGAGGTCGATGGTGGTGAAGAGGCGACCCCCGGCTGCAGCGACTCCTAAACGGCACTCACAAAGCAGGGAGCAGGAAGGACGAAGAGAAGTTTAGTGCGTATCAACGTGTGCACGTGTCTGTCTGTCTGTGTTTGTGACGCACCGACCGCCCCGCACCTGTAGTCGGACTCTGTCCTGCAGTGCCTGGAAGTCGTGTATGGCGGTACCCAGGAGCTGCACGAGGTGCGCAACGCACTCCTCATCCGACTCGAACTCACACAGTGCGTATATCTCGTCAATCGACCGGCGCAGCCTCGATATCGACTCCACCCACAGCTTGGACCGCAGGGAGAAGTCATTGGGGTCCTCGAGCGCCTCCCCATCCTCCTCCTCGTCCATCATCTCGTCAGCTGCGTCGTGGCAATGGGCCTCCTCGATGTCCTCACCGTCCTCCACCTCCACAGTCAGCTCCACGTCACCGTCATCCTCCTCGGACATGTCATCCTCTCCAACACCATCGCCTTCGCCAGGACTGTTGCCATCTGAACAGACAGAAAGGCGTCGACACGCACAGATGGATGTGGTGTGGAGGCAGCGAGGTGATCCACTCCACAAGGCTTACTGGGCGAGATGCATTCGTCTTCCTCCACTATCAGCTCCAGCCCTCCACCACCGCCACTGGTGCGGTACCGCTCCCTGCACCCGCCGAAACAGAGCAAGCACAGCACCTCCCTCCTTGTCTGCCCCTTCCGCTGTGCTGTGTGTGTCGAGTCAGCCAGGTGCGGTGCACACCTCCTGGCCGAGACGGCGCATATCGCAGACAGCAATATCTCCTCGGGAATGTCCTGTATCTGCTGCTGCACACGCTGCGGCAGCGACTGGCTGCGCACCCTCACACCATCACCGCCCCCATCATCCAGCCTCCTACTGCTGTGTGTGTAAGGCTGCCGCTCATAGGTCCCATCAATGGTCATGCTCTCGGCCTCCTCTACTATCGCCATCAGCTCAGCCTCGCTCAACGATGCCAGCGGGTCCAGCAGCGCCGACGCTGAGCTGGCAGACTCGGCCGCCGCGCCAGCCTGCCGCTGCCCATCGGCTTCTTGGTCGTCCATAGTGGTCGACGCGTCAAGCGGCTCATTAGGTGGGGATGGATCGGGCGCCGATGGGTCTTCGGCGTCAGGGTGCTCTCTACCAGCGGATGGAGATGGCCGCTTGGCTGCGGCTGCCGCATTGGGAACTCTCCACTTCCGCACTGCATTCACACACAGCGTCACAGAGGATACTGATGAGCATTCCCTGAGTGCTGATGCCCATGTTCGTACCATTGCGATTGTCTGTCGATGCCGACGCCTTGCTCGAGGCACTCTTGCTGGCTGCCGCCTCCTTCATGGCTGGCTACTTGAACAGAACTAACACCGCAGGCTCTCTGTAGCGGCTGGACTGCACACTACGGCGCCAGGGAGGGCAGCCGCTGCACACAATGGCAGCTAGAGGCCGGGCAGACCAACCGCACCGTCAGCACCAAGTCAAGTGAGTACTATCGACATGTAATTAAGGTGCATGCCGGCGGATCGGGGGCATCACGCGGACACGCCTGCCTCCGTGTACTCGTCCTGCGTTGGTCCAGCTTAGAAAATCACCCCCTCCCTGTCCGCCAGCTTTCAAGCTCGCGAGGGAGAGAAGGGGAAGAAGATGGACAATCAACAGCTAAGGGCCTTGCGCTACACACTCCGGACACAGTCCCTGATCCGCACACTGAGTCTCTCCTGATTCGGCGACAGCTTTCACTTCTGCCCGACTTTGCTTCTGCCCTTTCGCCCTGCTGACAGCATGGCACGTTCAACGTGTGGCGCGTTTGTGGCCTCCCTGCGTGACCTCGAGACAACCGTCGCCCAACAAATACAAAACTTTCAAGGTCAGTCAGACCGGCACGCACGCCCGACGTCGGTGGCGCCAGCCGGCATCAGCGTGTTTGGTGTGTGATGCGTGTGTGTTGTGCAGAAGATCCGTCCAACTACTATTACAGCGGCACGAGCCCGACGCAGCAGGACGCACGGCTACATGACTTCAAGGCCATGCTGCGCGAACTGTCAGACAAGTAAGGATGTTCAAGCTATGGCCGACACACAAGTCTGACACGCCCAGATCAGCTGCCCGGGGGCTGCACTTTGTCCTTCTCTGTCTGTCTGTCTGTCTGTCTGTCTGTCTTGTTTTGTAGGTTGAAGCATTGTCACCCGGTCCAGCTGTGTTTCCTCAGCAGCGACGAGTGGCTGTCCAACTACAAGGATCGCGTGGAGGCCATGGCCCAGCGGCACCAGCAGCAGCTCCCACAAAACGTCAACAACCCCGCCAACGCGCTTGTCGGCGAGTGGTCCGTCAGACTCAACCATTCACTCGACCACTTCATCAGTAACAAGGGATCGACACACACGCCACTCACTCAGAAACAAACAAGGGGCCCTGTCTGTATACTCACTCACTGCTTTGTGTGTGTGGTGCAGAGCATCTGAAGCAGTATGCGGCTAAGCATGCGTATTGGGAGTTTCTGTACCTCAAGGGCGACCGAGTGCTGCTCGACATGCACCAACGGGACCTGCTCCTCAAGGTCAGTCAGTCAGTCGGCCCACCACACCCGGCCCGGCCCACATCACTCACAACACATCACACCAAACCCATTCATTTGTAGGGATGCAAACCAAACACGCAAGACATTCTTGTGTGTGTGTATGGATGTGTGTATGGGTATCTCAGCTTCAGTGCACTGAGGAGGAGTTCTTCGAGCATCTCAAATGGAACGACCACGGAGTGCGCCAGACACTCGTCGACATCATCAAACGACACATACGCATGCAGAGGTCCGTGTGAGTGAGTGAGTGAGTGAGTGAGGATGGGATGCAATCAGTGCATGTCTGTCTGTCTGCCAAACACTCTAAAGATCACATCTCTGTGTGGTCTGTCGTGTCGTGTCGTGTCGTGTGGTGTCAGTCTGTTGGAGGCGGAGCATCAGCGCATGCTGCGTGAGTGGGTGGCGGGGTGGCACTCAAGGGCCAGCCAGGGAAGGTACGTATGGATGGTGGTACCACGCGTATGGAGTGAGATGGGGCGTGAGTCAATCACAGGTGTCTGTGTCTGCTGTTGTTGGATGGGATGGATGGATGCAGAGAGCTGTGGCGTGTGCATGCTCCCGACCAGGGGGCGCGGCTGTGGGAGGCATTCTTCCAACACGTGGGAAGGCACACACACACACACCCCGATAGCACAGCACCTGAGTACAGACCACCCAGCTCATGTACTTACTGGACGGCGTGTGTGGGTGTGTATGTGTTCAGTGTGTGAAGGTGACGTGGCCCGACTTCCTGGAGGCGTTCGAGTACTACTTCCTGCTCGACCACACACCCTGCCTCCCTCACGACATGACACACCAACTCAGGCTGGTCAGCCGCCAAACGCACCACCCACACACCACACCACAGCACAGCACAGCACAGCACAACACAGTCCACCCATACATAACTCACTCAGACAATCTCATTCATTCATCTCTGTATGTCTGTCTGGGTTGATTGATATGTCAGTTGGTCGATCCGCAGGATACGCACCAGGTGCACCGGACGTTCTTCTGCCGTGCCCTCGACAGCATCGGCAACGGCAGCTGCAAGGACCTCATCGAACACCTCTACCAGCGCACTCTCGATCACATCACCGACGGCGTGTACAGACCCAAGCCCCTCCCCGACGACCCGGCACAGCTCCTGCTGCACGAGGGGCTCAAGCTGGAGCTCAAGGCAAGGCACCGCGAGCAGCGCGACAAGACGCCCGTCGGGGGGAAGCCGTCGAGGGCCACTGTGGGGACGCAGCACGACCGACCCCCGCCATTTGAGGGATACGGAGGTCGGGCAAACAAGGGAGCTAATACAAACAGTAACACACACAGGCTGACAGTGAGTGACCTGCGTGCCGTGCCGTTGGTGTGTCTGTGTACTGTACAGATGCGTTTGGTGATCCGAGATGGCAGAGAGAGGTCGCAGGTGGGTGGGTGGGGCAGGCAAAACAGACAGACAGCACAGCCAGACGCCACGCCCAGTATCAGCCTCAGAGAGCGAGGACGGACGGCACTCACATGACATGTGCACATGTCTCCTTCTCTGCCCCATTCATTCATTCATTCATCCGTATATCAGGTGCGTCGACGTCATCAGGCGATCAGTTGAGTGCCAGCGGTGTCTTCGACCTGCCCGTCATCGTGCCGCCCTTCCAGCCACCGCCCGACGGCCCGCCCCCCGAGTACCAGAAGTACGAGGGCACCAACTCGGACCTCGCCAGCAGCCAGGGCCGTACACACACCACTGACGAGACCGACGCAGTGGCGGCCGCTCCAGGTGACATCAACGGCGTCAAGGGGGGACCCGAGCCGCCGACGAGCCTGGAGGACAGCCAGGAGACGGCACAGAGCTCCTCAATGGACGCCGCGGATTCAGAGCATGTGCCGGTCCTGGGAGAGGGGGTGGGAGAGGGTGGGGGTGGGGGCGGGGATGGCGGTGGTGGTGAGGAGGAGATGCGGCCATCGTCAATGGTGATCTCGCCTCAAGACCAGTCGCCGTCTTCGGTTCCCCAGCCCCAGCCCCGGTCTGGCGGCAGCAGGCAGGGCAGACACAAGAGGGACTTCGACAGAGTGGTCGGCAGCCCGTCCTCGCGGACCAATGACAAGAGGGGCGGCTCATCGTCGCATCGGAGGACCAGTGACAAAAGCAGCGCTGCCTCATCCATGGCATCATCCAGCGACCTATCCAATCGGCGAGGGTTGGCTCCTCCAGGCTCCCGCGCGACGGCCGACCACCAGAGTGCGGAATCGGCCAACGGCTGCCCTCCAGAGGGAGGCCAGGGCACCAAGAGCAGCAGCGCTGCCCCACCACCAGTCGCGGAAGAGAGTGGCTCTCAGCCGGATGAAGAGGCCGAGCAGCCGGACGCACCCGCATCGAACGCAGAGCCAGCGGCAGCAGCGGCCGCAGCTGCTGGTGGTGGTGGTGACGAGGGAGGGAGGAAGGGCTCAGCTGACGGGGAGGAAAAAGTAAAGCGGCGTATGCCTGAGAGTTGGATCGTGTCGCTTCTGAATCCTTCTGCGATGCCCCGTCTGCTGTACCCGTCGCTGCTGCCTGGGCTGGTCAAGAAGCTCTTCAAGGACCGCCACATGGGGGTGGCCACCAACGTGGTCAACCTAGCCCACGGTGTGTGCAACCTGGATGCCGAGACGCCCCCCAACGACGAGCCGCTCAAGCGCGACTTCAGCACCGAGCAGCTGAGGTGGCGGGCGCTCAGGGTCATCCAGTCAGAGCGATCCCTCACCACCAAGGCCCTTCTGCTGCGGTCAGAACGACAAGAGACACACAGACAGGAAGACGTCCGTTCTTGCTCGCATGTGTGTGTGTGTGTGGTGCAGTGTGCACTCGGGGGATTTGAAGGAGCACCCGGTGGTGCAGGCGTGTGGGGGCATCCTGATCACGCCGGAGGGCACCCGCTTCCCGTACATCACCAAGTTCGGCCGCAGCTCGTCCCGCAAGATCCTCCTGCCCGACTGGCCCATGAGTGAGCAGATCGCATCCCGATCGCACTTCAACATCGTCTACAAGCCGGGCGCTAACAGGTACTTCCTAATGGACGCCGGCTCAAAATGGGGCACCTTTGTCAAGATCGAGGGCAGCGTGCCGCTCTACCCTGGGGCATGGATCCGCGTCGGCGGCGTGGAGTTCATCGTCAGGTCCTGTGGCTACGCGCCCAAGAACCGCAGTGCCAGGAGGGGAGGGGGGCACGGACCCCCGCCACCCGGACCACCTGGCGGCAAGCCAGGCAAGAAGAAGTCAGAGGAGACTGACTCCACCCAAAGGGGCAAGACCAGCAGCGCCCGCATCAAGCTATGGCCGGCGGCACCGGCAGCGCAGAGAGAGGAGGAGGCGCTGGCAGATGATGCAGACGACATGGCCGCCCCCGGCGCGCTGCTCCTGAGGGTCCTTCGCGGCAACCCCAGCGACCAAGACACTCAGGCTGCAGCTGCTGTCGATGATCTGACGGCCGACGGCGAGCCGACAGAGAATCAGCCGTCCAGTTCATCGGCAGCACCTGCCCCTCCCGAGCAAGACGCCACCACCGGCGTGAAGCCGTCCTCCGAGGCGGCAGAGGCGGCACCGACCAAAGACGAGGAGGGGCAGGAGGGGGAGAAGGAGGGAGAGGAGCTGCCGCTCCTCGCTGGCCTGCCCGCTGCCCCGGCCGCTGCTGCTGCTGCTGCAGCGGCCGCTGGTGATGATCGACTGGACGGCAGCGACAGCCCGGGCAGCTTCTCGTTCTGGCCGGGCGGCATGCGCATCCTCGAGGACCTGGACAACCACACGAGGGCCCAGGAGCAGGATGGCGGGGAGCAGGTCCTCACCGCAAGCGAGGCTGTCGTCGGTAAGTAAGAACAAACGAATGAATGCACATGGGTGGTGCGATGTGATGTGCCCTCTGTCTGTCTCCGATTGATTAGCTGATCGTCAGTTGGATTGGAATCGGCCGGTGCAGGTGACACACGTGCGTCGCGGCCTCGGCTTCATCGCCCGGAAGCGGCGGGCAGGTGCGCAGATCGTCGAGGGCGGCAACCTCTGGGGACCGCCCCCCTACGGGGCCGGCAACGGAGGGGGTGCAGCCGCACCCCAACCGCACGCACCGGCGCCAGGACCACCGCTGACCCTACCGGTCCATCAAATCCCTGTCGTCCCACGCTCGCGACCCACGCAGCCACAAACGTCCGGTGTGGCCGCATCATCGTCAGCCGCTGATGGACCCACCAGCGCATCTGAGGGGTCGGGGCCGTCAGCCGAGGCAGCAGGGCAGAGAGACGGCGGCCGGCAAGGCGAGCGCAGGGCCTCTGGTGTTGAACAAATCCTCGAGGTTCCTTCAGTCCCTCCGCCAAGCAGTAGTTCCAGCGGTGCTCATGATGTGGGGTCGACGGATGAGCCCCACCCACCGGCTGCAATGGACGGCTGGAGTGCCCACCAGGCCCTGCAGAAGGCGGCCCTCGTCCCACCACCCGACGCCCTCATACCCGAAGCCCCACCAGCAGCTGCTGCCCAGCCGCAGAGGCAGCCTAGTGGCGGGGACAGCCCTGTGCCGCCGTCGGTGGCCGGCACGGCGAGTTCCATTGGGTCGTCTCCTTCGGCCGTCATGGGGCGAGAGGGGCGGGGCAGGGGCCACAGAGGTGTAGAGGGGCCTCTGGAGTCCATTGCAGAGCAAGAGGTGGTGCGCATCGGGCCGAGACAGCAACAGCAACAGGGTGGTGGAGGTGCTGGTGGTGGTCCAGTGCGGACACCCCCGCAGGAGTCAGCTCCCAGCCGACCGCCTCCCGGAATGGGTGGTGGTCCTTTGCCGCGGCCCCCTCCCCCGCTGATTCACTTCCAGAACTTTCCGAGCCGGTCCGTGACGGTGGATGAGGGCGAGCAGCTGCCGCTCAACATGCCATGGGTAATTGGCACACACACACAGACACAGAGTGAGGCGCGAATTCAGTGTTGCACCTTCCTTGTGTGTGTTGGTGTGTCTGTCTATCACGCCTTCAGGACGGCCGCGCCCCTTCTGCGGATGAGGCGGCAGCGGAGATGTTTGCGCACGCTGCGCCCATCGCCGTGCCGCCTCCCGTCATGATGCGGACGGTGCCCGGCGCGCCCCCTCGTGTGACCCTGGAGGAGATGCTCCACACCATCAATGCCAATGATGTGGGCATCCCCAACCTGCCCCTCCCCCCTCCTCCTCCCCCACCACCATCACGACCAGCGCCAGCACCGCAACCCGGCAGAAGCATCGACGACGAGGCCGACATACCTCTCACAGACGGCCCACAGCCCGCTGCGGCAGCAGCGGGACAGTCCTCAAGTGATGGGCCGGCAGAGGACCAGGAGTCGCGTGGGAAGGGCCTGCCGCCAGACCCCCGAGGCGATCAGGCCATTGCTCGCAGAGGTCTGGCAGATCTGCGGCCCCCACGTCTGCGCCTGAGGAGTCCGCCCGAGAGCGAGAGTGAGCAGCCCTCCGACCAGCCCCAGCAGCAGCAGCAGCAGCAAGAGCAACAGGCTGTTGCAGATGAGGGCGACGCTGCACCCGACGCAGCACCGGCGGCAGATGGGGACGAGCAGGACAACGACTCGATCATCCATCGGGGGCCGGCAGCGCAGCGACAGCAGCAGCAGCAGCAGCAGCATCACCACGGCTACCCTCCCGCGTTGGGCGACATGGAGGACGGCCGCATGGAGAGCCCCCTGCCCCTGCCAGTGTCGTCCGTCCCGGGCAGCCAGGACGGCCAGCCCGATGCGTCGGCCGCCGCTCCCGGTCCGTCCTCATCGTCTGGCTGGCCACCCGGAGGCCCCCCAGCCGCTCCAGTAGAGGACGAGGCGCTTGAGCAGGTGCGGCAAGACATGCTGCGGATCTTGCAGGAGGGCCCCAGGCCCCCCTTCCGCGTCAACCCGCCCAGGGGCGCCAGTGTCTTCGCCATGGGTGGGCGGCACGGGCGGCACAGCGGGGGCGGGGGAGATGGGGGCGATCCAGGAGGGCCGGGAAGGGGAGGCCGGGGCGGCCGGGGCGACAGGTACTTCCCCGACGACCCCAGCCCGCGACAGCCGCCAGGCGGCGGCGGTGGGGGCGGTCCTTCGTTCCCCCACCCCGATGTGTTGGTGGATGTGCCTGGGGGTCGGTCGCCGCCGTCCTCTCCCGACGAGCGCCAGGCGGGTCCGGGGCACAACGCTGCATGGCTCGAGTCGATGCGGCGGGTGGTGCGGCCGGTGCCGTCGATAGAGCTGGAGTTCATATCGGGCCCCAGGATGGGCGAGAAGATCACCATGAACTCACGAAGCTTCACGCTGGGCAGGGCCGAGTGGAACTCAGTCCAGGTGCGGTGGGTGCCTGCGTGGGGGGTCCGGTCCGTGTGAGTGTATCTATCGTAAGTACGTAATGGGCTGGGCTGATGGTATCTATGGTGTTGTCAGGTGAACGATCTGACGTTGGCCTCGGTGTCGCGGGTCCATTGCCGATTCGAATATCGAGGAAACAGGTACCTACCTGCTCAGGCACACACCCACACCCACACCCCATCCCCCTTGTGGTTGATCGATCCACACCAACCACACGCACACATCAGGTGGTTTTTGATTGACAACGACTCGACCAACGGGACGTGGCGTCGTCTGAGCTGCGTGTTGGAGCCGTCGGCCCCCATCCCGCTGTTCGAGGGGCTCCTGATGCAGGCCGGCACTCACGAGCTGGAGGTGCTCGAGATCCACTACAAGGCCGCCCTGGCACCCGACCAGGAGGCCAAGCTGCAGAGACAGATCGGCACCAGATTCTAGATCCGGGACGGACAGGGGGGATGGGATGGCGGGGTGGATGGCTAGTGGTGATGTGGTGCATGCTGCGTGACGTGAGACGATGTTTAGTAGAGGCGATTGCTCGTGGTGCGGTGCGGTGCGGTGCGGTGTGGTGGTGCATTGATCGGTATGTCTGTTTTGAAGACATCCTCACCCTCCCTCCCTCCCTGCCTCCCTCCCTCTTTCCGTCATGAAGCCAGCCAGCCGCTGTGACGTCCATCTGTCTGTGGAGAGTGTTCTGTGAGCCGTGATTGGTCCATGGATGGATTGGGAGGTCGGGGGCGGGCGCATGGCATGCCATGGTACATGGTGGGTGGTGGGTAGGATTGGCGGGGCGGGCACCTGTTACTCTCTTGCCGACACACTGAGTTTGGGGGTGCGTGCGTGTCGCGTGCTCATGACATGCATCGTTCGAGAGAGAGCCGTTGCTATCGTTGCTATCTATTGTGTCCTGTGAGCTGAGCGTGGCGGGTTTGGCGTCCCCGGGCTGTCTGTGCGCGACATGGGGTGAGTGATGACACCAATCACTCACACACACGTCACGTGCAGTTCTGGGATGATGAGTGAGTGCGTTATCCTCCAACCTACCTCACACATGTGTCCCCACGATAGATCCAGATAATATGCGATCAGATCAGGCATCCAATTTTCAATGCAAAAGGACGAGGCAGGCCTCTGGGTGGCGGGGGCATCCATCCATCCATCCATCCATGACATGATCTTAGCTTCTTGTTTGGCGCAGCTTACTTGTAGCTCCCTCCCGTCGATCGATCGTCAGTGATTCAGCTCTTCACTCCCCTCTCTCTCACCCAGCCAGCCAGCCCATACTACCTACTACTGAGATGCGTGTTGTGTGTGTGTCGTGTCACTCACTGACTCCCTCCGTATGGACCTACCCTGAATCTCTATGTGAGCGAGTGGAGTGAGTGGGTTCATCCAACCAGAGAATCAGCCACCAATCTCCATTGTACATGTAACACGCACCATGCATGGCTACACGCACCACTCACCAACCCCACTTGCTACACCCGACACCTCACTAGAGCACGGCGCTCATTGAGCGTCGTTCCCTCACTAAGTCCAACCCATTCAATCTACGCCACTCTGTCTGTCTATCGCTTGGTGAGCCTGAGCATGAGGTTCATTGGCGCTGTGGTGCCCTGTAGCACCCGCGTCACGCGGTCTTGGCCGGCGAGTGACACGTGGAACCGCTGCAGGATGCTCGCCAACACCACCTGCACCTCCATAAGGGCGAATTTCTGACCTGTACCACACTCACACACACGCACACATCACACACGTGTTGTGTGTGCATGTGTGTCTCTCTGGTTCAGTACCGATGCAGTTTCTCGGGCCTGCATGGCATGGTGGGCCGGCAGGAGAAGGAAATACATACACCGACAGTGAGTGGCTCAATGGTGCGGCTCCTCATCCATTTGTTCATTTCCCTCACTCACTCCACTCACCGGCGGAGAATGGCGTGTATGCGTAGGGGTGTCTGGCGTTAGCGCCCGTCTGTGTGTCGGTGGTCTCGTCCCACCTCTCGGGCATGAACACATTGGGCGAGTCGAAGTGCCGCTCGTCGTTGGCCACGAAGAAGAACCCCAGCCACACTATCGTGCCTGCTCGCACGCACACACAGAGCGAGCGAACAAGACATGGAAACAGACCCACACCCACTGCTAGCGCGTGGCCGGTTCCCTCGTACCCTTTGGCAGTGTGACGTCGGCCACCTTCAGCTCCTCTCGGCAGAGGCGGTCGAGCAGCATCACCGGAGGCTTCATCCTGGGGGCATCAGTCAACAATGGCACGAAGGCTCGTGGCTGGGCGTCGCCTGGCTGAGGTAGAAAGGTACCTGAGTGTTTCCTTGATGATCCATTTGGTGTACTGCAGCTTCGGCAGGTCGGCCTGCTCGACGGCGCGACCGCCCAGCACCAAGTCGGCCTCAGCCTGGCCCAATCGCTGCATGCGTGACGAACGAATCAAGCCACAGACGGCCAACACATGAGCGAGAGAGACGGGCTGGTGCACGTCGTGTGTGTGGTTGACCTGTTTGTCAGGGTGTTTGGAGAGGAGATACAGCGCCCAGCCGATCAGGTTGGAGGTGGTGTCGTGACCCGCTGTCATGTCACAACATGCACAACACCATGAGCTCCGAATGGATGTTGTCGCCTCGCCCTCTCTGCCTGCCTCCAGCTACTCACTGACTGACCGAATAAGAAGGTGAGCGATTCGTCGACTCTCTGTTGGTCCGCCATTCCCTCAGTGTCCATCAGCAGCGACACCAGGTCCCGCCGGCTGCTGGGCTTCGGGGATGCCTCTGCTGCCAGCTGTTTCCTCTTGTGCACCACACCCTTGATCTTGTCGCTGATCTGCCCAACCTTCAGATGCACGTACTGACGCGAGATGAAGCGGCCCAACGGACCTGAACAAACGAAAGAGAGACTCACAGGGCTCCTCTCTGCGATCGATGTGCACCTTCCTTTGCCCACTCCACCGCGGATCAGCCCAGCCCACCTAGTAGGAATGAGATCATTTGGCAGTCCATTGCCCTCCTGACCGCCACTGTCCAGGCGTCTTCCATCCAGTGTGGGTCGAACTCCCCAGAGAAGGCGTTGTCAATCACGATACGCAAGGCCAGATCACTGAATATAATGATGCCATGCCCGAGCCAACGGCACAGGATAGAAAGGGCAAACGAAGGAGCTGGCTGGCTGGCTCACTTGAACGGGATCCGCGTGACGATCGCCTGCTTGTTGGGGCTGGCATCGATCTGCTGTTCCATCCGGTCGCAGAAGGCCACGGTGTTGTCGATGATACAGGGGAAGGCCTCACGGAGAGCAGCGAAATGGAACCTGCGGATGGATGAATGGATGGCCATGGTTTTCAAGCAATCACACGTCCAGCCGCCGATGGATGGATGGTCCCAGTGGAGTGGAACTCACAGGGGGGTTAGAAGCTTTCTGTTCCGGTGCCACAACTCGCCCTCAGATGTCGCCAGCCTGCACGCACACACATCCTTAGGATGGCTTTGTGACTGTGGTTGCTTGCCTAGCTAGTTACCCCTCCCCGATGAGCGCCTTGAGGCCGTCGAGGGACATGGGCACTTTGGGGAATGATGCGGGGTTCTCGAGGGCGGTGGCGATGGCATCGGCGTCGTTGACGAGCACTATCTGGCTGCCGTCCACAAACGGACCCATGTTCACCACCTGCACACAACGCAACACAACACAACACGGGCATCACCCACACACGTCCAGGCATCAATCGTGCTTCTGACCGTCCTGAAGCGGTCCGGCTTAGCCGGATCTCTGCGCAAACCAGTCAACAACGCACACACCAGATAAAACTCTTTGCGTGCTGCTTCTCTGCCTGCCTGCCTGCCTGCCTGCCTGCGCGTGGCTGCTGTCTTTTGCTTCCCACCTGCACTGCTCTTCTATCCAGTCGTCCATCTTGCCCTCTGGGCTGAAGATATCAAAAATCGGCATCGCTCTGCTGCCCCAGGTCGGGCCCAGCTTCTCCAGATCATAGCGCCTCCTGTTCCACCAGTAGCACCCGTAGATGACAGCGAAGCGTGCTGCACTGGCGCCAACCAACACAACCGCCGCCCCGCCGCCTGCGAGAGCCACGGTCTTCGCCACAGACGACACACATGACAACCAAGTGGACGGCGGCGATGAATCCGACATTGAGCTGACACGCTGACGGCAACGATGTCTGCACGTACAGCACCTCGGAAGCTGTGATTTCGTCTCTGCTTCCGCTCTGCGAGCTTAGCCTGCAAGAAGGAAACTGAGGTCGCATCTTTTTCTCAGGGGAAAGCGACTCGAGAGCTACCTTCACGGCTTCCACACACACTGGTCTGAGCCCTGCAAGGGCAGATCTGGTTGCAATCCCTCCACAAGGAGGCTTTGAGTTGAGTGCCGCATCTGGTGGTTGTGGCGTGAGGCACGATGAAGCTGGTGCGCTTCTTGATGAAGCTCTCGAATGAGAGCGTCGTCATTGAACTCAAGAATGGGTAGACACACACGCACACGCATCTATCCCGCACAGACACACTTACGCATTCGTCTTGCTGAATGTTGTTGTGTTGGTATGTTGTGGTGTTGTGTTCGTTATCCCCATGCAGGACGGTGGTGCAGGGTACGGTGCTGGGTGTGGACATATCGATGAACACCCATCTGAAGAACGTCAAGATGACGGTCAAGCAGAAGAACCCCGTGTCGATGGACCACCTCACCATCAGGGGAAACAACATCAGATACTTCATCCTACCCGTAGGCACCGCACCCATTCACACAAAGAAACCGACACAAGACATCATCGCAACGACACACATGACACGTGTACCCTTGTGTGTGGTTGATCCATCCAGGATTCTCTACCGTTGGACACTCTGTTGATAGACGACGCGCCCAAGAACAAGCCCCCGAAGGAGCGGCCTGGGCGGGGCAGAGCGCGCGGCAGGGGCAGAGGCAGGGGCAGGGGACGGGGGGGAAGAGGCGGGTGATCATTGGCGGCCTGGCTGGTCGGTCCCTGACTGCTTGTACCACTCTAGCTTGGCTTGGCTTGGCTGACAGTGATTTGACTTACTTACGGCTCTCTGCATTCACTGCATGAGCTGTTTTCTCTGCACACTAGTACATACATGCGGGTGTGTTGGGTCTGGCTGACGAGGCGTTGTCTGTGTGCACCAAACAATGTAGCCACACACACCACACATACATACATGTGTTGTTTAAATGCGTCTCGTCCCAAAGACCACATCACAGCCGTCGGTCTACAGTATCATATCCAGCTAGCTACGCGCCAAGCGAGGCATCCACACACACGCAGTTCGTTCACCACACGAACGACGGCAGACAGTAAGTCGCACTCACATCGTACTCGTCTAACACAGCCCGCAGCCTTTCCTCATCGGGCATCTCGCTCCCCCCTTGTCTCCCCAGCCCCAGCTCGCAATAATGCACCCCACCCGCGATAAACACACTCGGATATCCCTCACGATTGGCTCCCAAAATGTCGTGGGGAAGGGAGTCTCCCACGGCCAGCACCCGGCTCCTGTCGTGGACCGAGTGCTGCCTCTCGAGCCAGTCGGCAGCTATCCGATACGCCAATCCGTGCGGCTTGCCGATTCTCCTCACGTCGCCTCCCATGGCCTCGTATAACCCTGCCAGCCGGCCGGGCATCGGCGAGTCGTTGCCGTCGGGACGGGTGAAGTCTGGGTTGGCGACGATCATGGGAAGGGCGGCTGCGCGGCACTGGAGGAGAACGTCATAGACAAGGCCCTCGGCCTCACTCAGCTGGGGCACGTCGGCTTGCTGCGCTGCTCCTGCTGCAGCTGCTACTCTTCTCCCAAGTGCGTGAAGGGGCGGCGCGCCCAAGACTGCTGGCGGCGATTCAGCATCCCGGTGCAGCTCAAAGAGCCCACGAGCAAGGATAAACTGAGCATCCGCTACATCAGCCACTTGACAGCCGCAATCCTTCAGATACTCCCAGTCATCGTCGCCATTTCCGAACACGACACACCGCCTCCTCTCCGCCGAGAAGCCTCGAAACTCATCAGCAGCACCCAAGGCTGACGAGTCTTGCAGCTGCGAGAGGCACTGGAAGACCACATCGCCGCTCGTGATGATCTCTGTCGCACCCTGAGCCATGTTGAAGCCCATTGACGCCATCTTGCTTCTCGTCTTGCCGCTGCGCTTGGATGAGTTGGACAATAGGACGATCTTCTTGCCGGAGGAAACCAAGTGGTTGAAGCACTCCACCGCCCCTTGGTATGGCGTCGAGCCGTCGTGGAGGACACCGAACTGATCCAAAAGCAGCGCGTCGAAAGTGACTCCGATGTGCGACAGCCTTCCGAGGCGTGCGGTCGTTGTCGCCTCACTCACAACGGCAGATCTCGGTTCTGCTGAGGCGTACAGACGCAGACGGTGCCGGCTGCAGCGCTGCCTCCCAAGAACGGCATCGGTCCAGAAGCCGTCAAAAGAGATGAATGCCGCCAGCCTTGGGCTGTATAGATGTTGTGAATACAGCATCAGACACACCAGCCAACGCATCGCCTGCAAAACACCTCTAAGCTCGCAGACTGATCGGCGCTGAGTCTGTCTTTCTCTCAACAACACGACGCAAACGAAGCACATGAGGTGGCGTATGAGTGCTCTTTTATCTTCGTCAGTACTCCTTCTTCCCGCAGTCGTCTCCTTCTCATTGAGGCGCATTTCCTCATTCGCTGCCCCGCACAACGTCCCTGCCTTGTCGCCATTCTCCCGCAGCAGGCTGCATCGACTGTCCCACATGCACAGGCTGTTCGGAGGCGCCAAGATCGGCGAAGGCGGCCATGTCTTTGAGATCAACAAGCCTCCTGAGTGAGCGAACAACAGACACACCTACTACTCACCGTGACACACGCAGGCACTGCACTGCACTGCCATGTGTGTTGGCTGGCCTTTGCAGAGAATGGAAGAAGGAACTCACACGTAAGTAAGGAGGGCAGCCAGAGAGAGGAAGGCCAGTGACATGACATGGACGCATCGGCAGGGTGACTGACTGACGGGATGGGATCTGCGTCATGGTCTTGTGATTGCAGCTGAGCAGTACCACATCATTCGCGAGAAGGGCACAGAGCGGCCGGGGACGGGCGAATACAACAAGTGGGCATGCGCTTGCAAAACAACACACAATGCCCCTCCTACGCACGGTTGCCTCTGTGCCTGCAGGTTCTACCCAGATGAGGGCTACTTTGCCTGTGCGGCGTGCGGCAACCCCCTCTACTCAGCCAAGGCCAAGTTCGACTCTGGGTGCGGCTGGCCCGCATTCGACAAATGCTACAAAGGTAGGTGGGCTGCGGGAAGGAATGAATGACGCCCACTCAGCGTGCTTCGGTGTGGATGTGTGTCGTGTGTGGATGGATGCAGAGAGCGTGTACACTGAGACGGACAGCTCGTTCGGCATGATACGGATCGAGATCATGTGTGCCAACTGCGGCGGCCACCTCGGTCACGTTTTCACAGGGGAGCGCTTCACCGACACCAACGAGAGGCACTGCGTCAACTCGGTGTCCGTCAAGTACGTCAAGGGGGCCCCAAGTCCACCTCTGGAGGAGGCCAAGTGCACCTGACAAAGACATGCGTATCCATCCATCCAATGACAGGCAGTTAGTCGGTGTGAGAGCAATCAATGAAATGAGGGGTTCTGTTAATAGGCAGTCGGTTGTCGCTGGACAATATGTGTGCATGTGTGAGGACGGAAGGATTGGTGGGCGGTGGGCGGCACAGCCGCCGAACTAGCCGCCGAACTTGCTGTCGCTTCTTCTTCTGCAGTGGGCTTTGTCTAGTCTCTCCGGTCCTCTGAATGTACACGGTACCCTCATTAAAATCCACATACATCTCTTCGTCCCCAAACACGTGTAGATGGAAGGTACCAGCAACAGCAACAGCAAGAAGAAGAAGAAGAAGCGACCCAGTGTGAACCTCGCCAACCAACACTAGCCTCTCCTTGATTTTGATTGATTGAATGATTGCGTCCATCTGTCATTCTTTCACTGTCGTCCTCTGGTTCTTGCTTGCGCTCTGTCTGCATTCATCCATGGAACGACTCACCGATCAACCCACACGCCCGCGCAAAAGGGAACACATCATCGACAGACGCAGTCAGCTGACTGACTGGGTCCATCCATCACTCCCCTCCTTCTCTCTCTCTCTCTCTCTCTCTCTCTCACACACACACACACACACACATCTCCATTGTGTGCATGATCTCTTTCAGGCCACTCAAAGGAAATTCGTTCGATCAGACATTCAATCTCTCTCTCATGCATGCATGCATTCGGTCATGCATGCATTCGTGGCTTCCTTTGAACAAGGGTCTCGTCAGCTAGCGCCGGTTGCCTGCCTGAGTATCTTTGCAGCACAGGCACCCTGAGAGAGAGAAAGAGGTGGGCCAAAGAGGTGACACACACCAAGCAAGTGGCACTGGCGGCGCCAATTCTCGTTGCCTTTGTCTTTGTTCCCTCTCCTTGCTACCTTTGAAGAGCGCACTGTTCCTGACGATGCCGGTGGTGTCTAGGTTGGCGGCTTCAGCGCGGGTAGATTTGGCCAAGCCCGAGAGCCAAGCGATGCGGCTGTGTATGCATGGCTGCCGCTTGTCCCGCTCCGAAGAATCGCTGAGAATGTAGGCTACGCCCTCTACGTCCTGGGGAGCGCGGGATGACACGCACACGAGACCTTCCTGACAACGGCCGTCTATCTGGCAAGCTAAGAACAGTGCATACAAGCAGGCCATCATGTACAACATGCATGTATGTATGGTGATGTCTCGGTTGCCTCGTACGTGTAGCATCGGCAGCACAGCTGTATCGCGTGTCTGGAGCGATTCGCTTCAAGTCCGTCAACTTGCGCGGCGTCAAGTCTTTAACGAGAGGATGTTCCAGTCTGAGAGTCTTCTTTTCCTGAGTGAGAAAGCAGATACCCATATGCATCAGATTGGAGTTTGAGCACAAAGACATGCCATCGCTTACGCGGCAGGGCCAGACGTCACAGGACTCTTTGGCACGTTTCATCTGTTCAAGAGGCGGCATCTTGAGGAACTGGTTGGACAGGAAGAGACCTTGTGATTTCATGTGCATGGTCTCAGCCTTGCATGCGGTGAGCGAGTCCGAATGGATGCGGTAACAACTTGCCGAGAAACCGCCCTGCCCAACGCCCTCGACCAATTTCTTGTATTCGTGCTGTCGCTTCTGTTCCTCCCAGTCATCGCCATGGAAGGCGGGAAAGGTCCAACCCAAAATGATCCGCATGGCGCCTTTCCAGGCGGCCTCAGACGCCAACACGCAGCAATGGGGGTTACTGCCGTGGGTGTCCTGCCACTTCTTCTCCTTCGCTTCTTTCGCCGTCTCCGCGCAAGACCCTGGGATGAGCTTTCCGTCGTTCCGCTGATAATCCGGTGGGACAAATGGAATAAGTGGCACAAATGGAATTGGTGGCAGGTGACAAATGAGCTCCCCCACCTCGCAATGTCTTCGCGCATCGCAGGGCATGTCTTCCCGCCAATCGTCTGTGACGCAGCAGCATTCTGAATCATCGCTTTGGACGTCTGACTCGACGGTGGCGAGTTTTTGGTCGAAAGCGCCTGCCATGCACATGTTATTGTCGGTGTCCGCCTCTGTGCCGTTGGACGGCACCCACAGCGCATGGCCTGTGCACGACACACCATTCGACACGCGAACGATAGTGCGGAAGAGCGCCTTGTCGGGCACCTGAAGAGGAGGGAAGGACAGCGGCGATGATCAGGACGGCAACCAGCATCATGATAGACCGATAAGCTCAAGCACGAGAGATGAGGAGGCCCCCAAGTGGCCAGCGCAGCCGAGACGCCCCCAGGCGGCATCTGCAGACAGAAACGGTAACGATGGTGTTTTTCCCTACTATGTAGAGCGGAAAAGGTCTTCTCGTGTGTCAGACTCACGGGCCCGAAAGGGGCGAAAAGGGACCCTGGCCCTAAAGTTTTCCGTCGATTTGTTTTATGCCTGCCCTTGCTGCTTTCTTCCTGGTGTCTCGTGTGCTGACTGCACTGTAGCGCTTTTCTGTCGATCGATGGACAGACGTGGTGAGTCAACCTTGAGCGTCATTGTGAAGCAGATTCATGAATGAGTTGACAGGCACACAGCGCACCAACACACGCACATGGCCGCAGAGGTCTTCACGTAGACAACACTCCACCCATCCATCCAACGCGCAACAAGCCTTCCACCATGCCTCGTCTCAGCAAGCCATCCACCTAGCCGTGTGTCTGGCCACCAATGGCGTACAAACGTGCAGTGCACTCACGTACAAGTGATAAGGAAGGGCCCCGATCGCCGCACACGCGACACATCTCATCTAGCGGAAAGCAAAACTGCACGGATGCAGGGACGCAAAAACTCGGCCTCGGCCTACCACGTCTGTCAGTCGATGCATACATACGTGTCAGTCAGTGTGCCCCTGCACGCACAATTGCATCCATATGATTGCAGCCAGATAGCCGCTCAAGACAGTCGCAGCCACACAGCTCTGTGAGAAAAAATGGAATGCTCTCACACCTTTCACTCTCGCCCTCACTCTCACGTACGTAAAAACACTGCCTGCCCTCTCAATTCATTCGCCAGCCAGCCAGCCATTCAGCCAATGGAATCCCTCAATCAGTCAGTCAGTCAGTGGCGGAATGAATGTACAGGCACTCATGGATATGCGATGCGATATGCACGGTTGTCCAGAAAGCAAGGCCCCACGTTGATCGATCGGCCGGCGGTGGGTGCGCTTGGCCGCATGAAAAATCCCCCCCAACACAAGACCCTCACTCAGACAGAAAGGTAGCCATGGATGCGATCGCCAACAGAAACGAAAAGGGATGGATACCCGAAGGATGAATATGCGACTCACTCTCTTGCCGCACCGTAACACCCGCTTCTTCCCCAGCCCTCCCCCGCCACCAGCCAACCAAAAATCAACACCCGTCTGTACATGCCTCCCTGCCTCCCTGCCTGCCACAGCCAGCGATGGATCCACGAATGGATGAATGGATGGATGGATGGATGGCACTCCTCTCTGCAGTTCGGGTCGCGCATGAAAAATGCTGCCCCCTGACTGACTTTGTCCCTCTTTCTCTCTCTCGGGCGATGACCTGCAGCTTCTGCTCGTGTATCGAGCTCTACGGGTCTATCTACGTGTGGCTATGTCAGTCAGAAAGGCAGCGGTGTGTTGGCTTCCCGGAAGAGCTTCCTGATCCTCTCGGCCTCGGCGCGGATCTGCTCGGGGGTCTCCAGTGGATTGTACCCCTTCTTCAGCGACTGAATGTCACACACACGCACCAGAAATGCAGACAGTTAACCGTGACGCCATGCAATAGAGAGTCTGTCTACTGGTAGACTCTCTACTGCCCGTGTCGTTGCCTCCCTCCCCTCACCGGGTACTGTTCGTATATCCTGAGTATCTTCTTCTCGAGCACGTCGAGGTCCTTGCCCTTGCTGCTGGACTGCCTCTGGCCGCCCCCGTTGAGCACACCACTGAGCGCCGCCCGCCTGCTGTCGGCACCAGGATCCTTCCTCACCGCTGGCTTGCTCGGCGCCGACGACACCGCCCCACCGAGCAGCCCAGCCAGCTTACCCAATCCACCTCCACCACTTGATTCCGGTTTCCTCTTGACCGGTGGTGGTGTGGCCTTGACGGCGACGGAAGGTGGCTTCACGGGAGGCTTTGTTAGGGCGGTCCTGGGGGCAGCTGGCTTGGATCCCCCGCCGAACATGCCCCCGAACAGCCCTCCAGATGGTGTGCTAGAGGGTGGTGGAGATGGCCTGGCCGGCGGTGAAGGCTGGGGTGCTCTTGGGGGGGTGACGGATGCGACGGGGGGGCGGGATGGTGTACGGGGTGATGACTTGGGAGCGGAGGAAGAGGTACTTCTGCTTCCAGATGACCTCAGCTTCCTGACTTTGACCTGTGGCTCGCTCGGCAGCTGACCCCGGGAAATCACCTGTAGACACAGCAACGTACAAACATGCTAACACGTAGGACGATCGCCAGCTCATGGGCATTTGCCCTCACCTTCGGGGCAGCGGCCTTTGTTGGCGTGGACTTGGTGCTGCTCGATGGCGAACCTCCGAACATGCCGCTGAACAAGCCTCCCGCGTCACTCGTCCTCGATGACGAGGCTGATGGCCGCGTTGCCACGATAGTCGGCTTCGCTGCTGTGGTCACTGGCTTCTTGGGTGCGGCAGTTGGCGCCGGTCTGCTTGGTGCGGCGGGCTTCTTGATCTCGGCCTTGACGGGGGCCGCAGGGGTCTTCTTGGGCGCAGCAGCGGCCGGGGGCGAGCCGAAGAGACCCGAGAACAGACCACCGAGGGGAGAGGCCTGACAGAAGGAGCGTTGCAAAACGGCACCAAGCAAGCCGCATCATTTCAAGTTCGCTGATCACTCACTCAATGACTAACGACTCACCTCCTGTGTGCTCGGCTTGCTGGGCGTCACCGGCTTCTTGATCTCTGTCTTCTTGGCTGCCACTGGTGGGGCCGCCTTGGCCAGCCGTGTCTTGTCGACCGTCGCGGCGACCGTCTGCTTGAGGGGCTTCGCAGGCGGTGCCTTGACCAGTGGCTTGGGCGCAGCAGTCGGGCCGCCACCGAACAGGCCGCTGAACAGGCCCCCAATGTCACTCGAGGGCGGCGCAGCGGCTGGCGATGGTTTCTTGGCGCTGGCAGCCACCGTTGCTGGCTTGGCTGGTGCCGCAGGGGTCTTCTTGGGTGCCGCGGTGGGTGTCGCGACGATGCGCGAGGCCTTGGGTGCTGCTGGCGCCTCCACCTTGACCTTGGGCAGTGTCCTGGGCACGGCGACTGCCGGTGAAGGGGCAGCAGCGGGCTTGGCTGCAGTTGCCTTGACTGCGGGCTTGGGCGGCGATGTGACGGCCGGCCGCGCGAGGCCCACCGGCTGAGATGAGCCCAGCTTGCGCACCTTGACTGGCGTGCTGCTCGCCTGGGTCCGTGGGATCACTCGCACAGGCGCAGCAGTGGGAGCCGGGGCCTTCCGAGCAGCCTGATATTGGTACCAACACCATCCACAACAGACACACAGACAAGGGATCATTCTCTTCACCAACCTTGGCCCATCCACTTCTCTGACTTACCGGTGCAGCAGGTGGCGGCTTGGCGATCGTCTTGGTGGCCATCACGGGCTTGCGGACCTCCTTCTTGGCCGCCGTCGTCGTACTTGGCGCCCCGCCAAACAGCCCGGCAAACATGCCACCAGCCGCCGATGGGGCAGCCGCGCTCGTCGCCTTCTTGGGTGCGGCAGTTGGCGCCGGTCTGCTTGGTGCGGCGGGCTTCTTGATCTCGGCCTTGACGGGGGTCGCAGGGGTCTTCTTGGGCGCAGCAGCGGCCGGGGGCGAGCCGAAGAGACCCGAGAACAGACCACCGAGGGGAGAGACCTGACAGAGGGAGTGTTGCAAAACGACACCAAGAAAGCCGCATCATTTCAACTTCTCTGATCATTCGTTGGATCGCCAACAACTCACCTCCTGTGTGCTCGGCTTGCTGGGCGTGACAACCTTCGTTGGTGGGGACGGTTTCTTGATTTCTGGCTTCTTCATCACTGGCTTCGGCGCGGCTGTCGGGGCTTTCACAATGGGCTTTGGTGCAGGTGTGGGACCGCCGCCAATGAGGGCCACCGTGGGACGCCCCTGTGTCTTTCGTCGCTTCGGTCCGATCTCCTACACCAAGCAGATACGTTAGTCGCATCTGTTGTGGTGTTCGCATCGCGTACCATCGGGGCAGCGTATGATGGTGGTGCAGCTGAGACAGCCGGCTTCTTGACCTCAAACTTCTCTGCCGGAGGAGCCTGTTTGACGGGCGCAGCAGCCGGGGCGCCGCCGAACAGGCCGGAGAACAGACCTGCCACTGGTGCCTCGGTCGGCGCTGCCTTGCCCTTCTCAGCTGCAGGAGGTGCAGTCGGCTTGGCAGCTACCTTGACTGCAGGCTTGGCAGCCACCGCCTTGGGCGCCTCAACCTTCGGAGCAGCAGACGGAGCCTGAAAACATCAAGAACAAATCCATCTCGTGACTTCGCGAAGATCGCGGACACAATGGTTTGACTCACCGCCACGATTGGTTTCGGAGGCGTGAGCGCTGCTGTAGTCCTCGACGGCGGCCGCGATGTCTGCCGTCTGACCTTGGGTCCCACCTCCTGGGGGGCAGCAAAGGATCCAGGCTGGGCCGGGGTGACCTTGCGGACCTCCTTCTGCACAGCAGCAGGCTTCTTGGCCTCAGTCACAGCGCCACCAAGGAGGCCACCAACGGAAGGAGCCGACGGTTTCGCAACAGGACGGGCAGACACCTGATAATGTGTTCAGAATGTGTCGCGATCGGTGTGACTGGTGATCCACCATCCTTACCTTCGGCGCTGGAGAGACAGCGGGCTTCACCGCAGCAGGCTTGGCTGGCTGCGCCTTGGGTGTCGTGGGAGCGGGCGGCTCCCCGCCGAAGAGCCCAGCGAAGATGCCCCCAGCAGGTGTGACATTCTCGACCTTGGTCACTTCCTTGGCCTTGGGAGCCGCAGGGGTTTTTGGCTTGGCAGCTGTCACTGCAGGTGGAGTTGGCGGCGCCTTCCTGACTGGTGCTGGCTCTGCCAGGATGGACCGCAGTGCGTCCTGCTTCTCCTGGAAGGTCTTGGGTCTCGGGGGAGCCTCAGTTGGCGCCTCGCCCACTGCAACAGCCTTGGCTAGTGCGGGACTTGGAGCGGGCTTCGGCTGCTCTTTCGGCTTGGAAACGGGGGCGGCCGGCGCACCGCCGAAGAGACCCGCGAAGAGTCCACCCTCCTCTTCCTTGGGCGCTTCCTTCTTCCCGACAGCTGGGGCCTGAGAATAGAGAAGGTAGATGGATGTGTTGACCTTCCCGCTGGTTCGTTGTCTTACTTTGGTCGGTGTCGGCGCCGCAGTGGGGGCAACCTTGGGCACAGGAGCCTGAAACAGACAGACACTTATCTTTCACACACCACTCTGTCACGAGGGTTTCTGCACACCTCTGTTGGCTTCACTTCTGCCGCTCGAGGTGGCTGGCCGGTGGGGGCCTTGCGTGCCTTCGGGGCTGAGATTATCTCCTCTTCAACTGCAGGCTTCACTGGAGTGACAGGCTTCTCTGCTGTAGTGGGTGCTCCCCCAAAGACGCCGGTGAAGAGGCCTCCGGTCACCGCCGGCTCGGGTGCCGGCCCCCTCTTGACCTCCTTCCTGGGCGGCGGCCTCGTCTCCTCTGCCACCGGAGTGACAGAGAGCTGCACACACAAGCAAGGGACACATCCACCGAGAAAGTACAACATCTTTCACGTGCGTCACTCACCTTTTTTGTGGTCTTGGCCGGCTTTGGCGGAGCAGCCGGCTTCCTTTTGGCTGCCTCAGGGCTCTTGACGATTATCACACCCTCTGGAGTCCGTTCGACGGCAACCTGCAAAGGCAGAACAGGCGAAGATGCGCAGGATTGACCCAGTCTCGACAGCCGAAGGCGGTGTATGCGTACCGGTTCCTTCTTGCCGTTCAGTCGAGGTTTCTCGTCCACTCTGGTCTTGACGGGCGTAGGTTTGGGCCCTTCCGGTGCGCCGCCGAAGACGCCACCGAACGCTGCCCCCACAGCAGGCGCCCCTACGTCAAGGGGCCTCCCTGGCGCCGCCGCCTTGGGGGCTGCAGGGGCCTTCGGCTTTGGCGCTGGCTTGGGAGCTTCCTCAATACCTGGCCAAACATTGGGAGGGCATGTCCGTTTGTGTACCGCCCGCTGCGTGTTAAGCCATGCCACACGTGGCCTACCGAGTGCGTCCTTGACTTGTTTGGTTACTCTGGTTGGTGTTTCGAGGACGTAGTCAACCGCATTGAAGAACCTGCAGGCAGGGAGGCAACCATGCATGACGGGAGGCAAATCAGATGTTGGCTGGCACATCCCCACCTGTCCTTGGTTTCCTCGGCGGCCTCAGTGGCCCGGCGCTTAGCCTCGTCGGCTGCATTCTGGGCAGCCTGCACACGTGGCCAACCAATACAGACACATTAGGATCCATCACATTGGCCATGGTGTTCATTGCAGCGTCATGCGGCATCTGTGACCGGTGCTTACCTTCTTGGTTGCGCCTGCCGTCGCTGTGGCGACGTTGGTGACAGCCTCCGCTGTGCGGCCTGGGAGCGCCTGCGCCTCCTTGATGGCAGCCTGAGAGAAAGGCAGGACATATGGGGCACAGCAGGCAGGAGATGCAGCTTGCTTTTGTCCTCTCTCAGTGGAGTAGTTGGCCTACGTCGGCAGCCTCAGACGCCTTCTGCTGAACTTTCCCAGGAACAGCCCTGATGGCTTCAGAAGTTTCCTGGGCCTTCCTCTTGGCGGCTGACGCAGCGGCATCCTTGGCCCTCGTCGCCTGCTCCGCTGCGAAGCGGCCGAATCGCCTGCACACACAAAGGCGGGGAACTGACACTCAGCGGAGGTATTGCAGGTAAGAGCTGACCTTCCGGCTTACCCTGGTGCGGCTGCTAGCGCGAACGCTGCATCCTTGGCCTTGTCGGCCGCAAACCGTGAAGCCCGACTGACAGACACAGAGCGTTATGGTTCATCAGAGGGAGAATGGTCAGCTTCTTCCGTCATGCCCATTTCCTACCCAGGGATTTGCGCCGCATAGTCCCGTGTGTCGCCGAGCTTCCTCTTGGCTGCGTCCAGTGCTCGATCCTTTGCCCTGCTGGCCCCCCTCTTGACCGACTCACCAACTGCAGCCACACCGCCACCAATCTTCTCCCTCACGAACTCGCCAACAGGTCCCTTCTGAAGGCCTGAAACAGAGCACACACACAGCCCACGAATCAGCCAGTCGACTGAGTGTTTGTGCGCGTTGTTCGCCCGTACCTGCGTAGGTGGTGAGGCCTCCGGCCACAGCGGCACTGACGAAGGGCACCCACGGCAGCTCCCCGTTGGCAGCGATACCCTCATACAGACCGCCACCCGTGAAGCCAGTCACAGCACCCCCGAGACCAGCCAGCGCCTGAAGCAGACAGGCACATGCCACGCAAGATGAATGAATGGGCAAACCAATCAGCCGTCGTTGGATCTCCTGTGTACACATACCGCCTGCATTTGCTTCTCGAAGGCTTCCTCCTTGACCTTCTCGCGAGCGGCCGAGACGATCTTCTGCACCTCCTTGTCGGTGATGGACCCAGTATCCAGCACATCCATCTCTGACACACAGACACAACCGACAGGGAATCCGATCAGTTAGGGTCATCGATCGAGTGGTTTCCCTTCTGGCACACCTGATTCGTCGGGTCCCTTCGCCGCATGCTGCAGGTCGTCCTTGCGGATGGACGCTGCCTTGGGGCGTTCCAGAACGGCTGTGTCTGCGCCCGCCCCCTCCGTCCCATTGCTGGCCGCAGACCGCCTTACGATGAGATCGCCCTCCGTGGTGACCATCGTTTCGTCGCCATTTGATGTCACCCGCGGCGTTGGCGTTTCATCGGTTGCCGCCGTCTTCCTCGGTGCCTGAGGTGTCTGTGCGTACCAGGCGCCCCGCCTCTTCTGGCGCTGCTTGCGCGAATATGGAGAAAGCGACCGCCTCGCGAAGAAGGGCTTGATGCGGCGGACGGGGTTGTCGGTGAAGCCGAGGCTTGCCTCCGATGTAATAATCAGCCGCAGCAGCTGCTTGAGCGCCGTGTCGGCCTCAACGCTCTCAGGGTCGGCGATTGCCTCGTATGAGACCACATCGACTTGCTCCTCCTCCTCGATGGCCGTCACTTCATTCGCTGACCAGAGATGTTCCGCTCGCGACAGATGCAGCAAGCCCAGCACCAGCAGCACGAGGGCCAAGAAAAATCCGTCGCGCCGACTCATCACCATCAGGGCAGTTGCTTCATCATCAGACAGAGGCGCAGACAGGTCCGCTCTGAGGGTGTCGACGTGTGGCTAATGCAGCTCTCTTTGATGCCACCAATCCGCTCAGGGCAGCGACACCAGAGCAGCGAGGGGCTGATAGCCAAGCAAATGGAGTGGCTGCTCTTGGAAGTGCTTTCGTCCCTTGAGGTGTGGCAGCCGCCGCTTCGGCTGCTTCACTGCTTCAGATCTGCACTCGCCAGATCTGCGAGCTTAGTGGCTTTTGCGAGCAAAAGGGCCAGAGCCGCTTGTTTGCTGCTCGTCGGAGCCTGGAGCAAAGGTCAGTGATGGCGAGTTGGAGTGACATGCTCAATGCGGCGGCGCTCGGCGGGGAGGACTCCGACGAGGATGACGAGGACTATGTCGATGATGGTGACGATGAGGACGAGGAGGAGGACGGCAAGAAGGGCAAGAAAGGCAAAGACGGGTGAGAAAGCCACAATGCTTTACTCACGTTGATTCTTGATCTGTGTCTGTGCGTTCGTACGCAGAGGAGCGGCTGCACACATAAAGGAGCACCGCAAGGCGGTCAAGAAGGAGCGCCAGGCGGCGAGGATAAACCAGGAGTTCCAAGAGATGAAGCTCGAGTCAATCAAGAAAGGCATCCACCCTCCCACTGTGAGCCAGCCAGATCTGTGCCCAGCGTCTGGCCTGTCAGTGCTCTCAGGTGTTGTTGTCAGGTTGACGCGAGCGACATCATGCTTCAGTTCCAGAGGCGCCATCCCAAGCCCGACAGGAAGCAGAACATCTACAAGAACGAACTGCAGCACTACATTGGGCTGGTCAACAATGCCGTCAAGGGAGAGCCAGACCACCTGGACGTCCGCTCACTCAAGCAGGTGCGAGAGCGTAAACAAACATTGCCGACGCATATGATGATGTGATGTGTTTCTGGTCTTTCAGGAGAGTCGGTCGACATCTCAGGGCATCGACACCGAGGCAGTCAGGCGGGCTCTCGGCGAAGGTGAGGCATGGTCGCCGACCTCAGACGCATTGACACACTTTCTTCTCTGTCTTAATGTGTGTCACGCAGTTGCTGATGCTGGGAAGATGACCGTGACGGAACAGGTGCGGTTTGCCGGTGAGTCCATCACGCTGCAGAGGAAGGTCGATAAGAGCTCGCGAGAGGCGCAGAAGTTCCAAAGGGTAAGGCAAGATCAAACACACATGTGCTGCATCTCACACGCTCACACTGTATTCATGCGGTTGCTGATGTGTGTGTGTGTCAGGGTCAGGACAGAAAGAGGAAGCAGGAGCTCGGCGGCAAATTTGGCGCCATCGAACAGATGCTCAAAGGTGAGTGACCACTGACAAACGACAGCCATGATTATGTTGTGACTGGCGTGGTGTGTGTGGTGTGTGTGTCAGGTTTGAGCGGCCAGAAGGCCGTCACATCGGTCCACAAGTCTGCAGTCGAGTGGTACACCTACACTCACAAGCAGACATAGAGATTCGTCATCCATCCATGCATTCGCTCACCACCACCAGGCAAAACTTCAAGGAGCAGGCGGGCATTGAGGAGGAGCTCAAACAAAAGACAAAGGACGGGTGGGATGGATGACGACACACACACGCAGGCAGACCACCAATCGCAAACTCTGCTTCTCTGCCTGTGTGTCGTGCATCCATCAGGTACCTGCAGAAGCAGAGCTTCCTGCTGCGGGCTGATTGGAGGCAGCACGAGATCGAACTGGCGAAACGTCGAAAGCTTGAGGCGGCGAAACCTCCTTGAGGGAGCCTTTAGCTTTGTAGCTAGAGCTGTTGGTGAATGTCGATCTGTACAGAGACGAACTTTTGTGTATTATATACGCGTGCACGTGTATCAGTGTTTTTTCCGTTGCGTTTATCGAGTGTTATAACTGTCGATCCATCCAGCTCACCGTATCTCCACGCCCTCATTCATCAAAAGAGAATCAATGAGAATGCTCCTCCGTCTCGCTGTCATCTTGCTTGTCTGCTGCTCTGCACTCTGTCAGTCCACGAACGACAATGTGCCTCTGGCTGAAGCCGATGACCCAGTAGGCCAGCTAATGACAATGTGCTGCTCATGCAGTCACCTACTCTTCCACCTCCCACTGTCCTTCCTCTTCCCCCTCTCCTTCTTTTCGCAGGTCGCGCTGTTCAAGAAGATGAGTGAGACGCTGTCGTCCCCCAACATGCTCACGGTGAGCATGACGGCAGGAGACAGACACATTCATCGTCATGTGCTGTCGATGGTTGCATTAAAGGGTCTGGTGCGCAGAGTTTCGCGTCTGAGCAAGGCCCGCAGAAATGGAGACACCGTTTTGGCGAACAGGCTCGTCGTGTCAACGGCAAGAGATCTCAGACAAGTTGTGGGAGAGCTGTCAAAGGGCATGTGCAACACATGTCCCCAGCCGGCCATCCTCGCACAAGTAATCACGCACTCAGCGCACCACAGTGCCTGCGTGTAATGTGGTGTGGTGCGATGTCATGACAGCTGTTCATGCGACAAGCTGGTTACTTGGACGACAAGGCCGGCGAGACGACCCACGATGGCCAAGGGGCATCGTCGATCAAAACACTCGCTGATCTGATGCGACGAGTGAGTCTGTGATGAAAGCACATCGCATTCATCCACGTACCGATCCTTGTTTTGTGTGTCTTGTGTGTCGTAGGTGGGTGTGCTCTACAATCAGGAAGCGAAGGCGGCTGCTCACAGATTCAAGCAACGCGTACACACACATGCGCTCCTTGTGAGCGTGTCTCTCTATCTCTGAGTGACGAATGTGTGTGTGCAGCATGGTGTGTCTCCTCTCTCGGTGTCTGGCGGCGTGTCGAGTGCTGTCGTTGGCCTGGCCCGACACATCCGAGCTGCGAAGACCGCACCCGATCAAGAGATAAAAGCAATCAACGACAACATCGACAAAATCAACGAGCTGCATGTCAGTAGAGATGGACACACAGAGAGACACGCACGGAGACAGGGAATGAAGCCATGTGGGTCGGTGTGCAGGAGGAGGGCACACTCAGGGCAGCTAACAAGACTACTGAGGCCACTCATACCAAGAGCGATGCTCACAGCAACGATCTCGACGAAATCGACTCCCAGGTCAACACACAGACCAACGCGATATGATCTGTGTGCGCCTGTGATATCTGATGCTGTGTGTTTCAGAAAACACTTCAGGAGGCTGAGGACAAGATCCACGAGAAAGTGAAGTGAAGGAATGAATGAGACAGACAGACAGATGGATGAATGAATGAATCAATGAATGACAGGGAGCTGAGTATGACTGGAAACGATGCAATGTCACGTAATCAATGTTCATTCACATCATCCTCGCATGTATCGACTTGGCATGAGATTCTTCCACCCGGCGTCCGCATGAAATGTACGTGAAACCATCCATCCATCCATCCATTCACCCACCCGCACTCCCTCCCCTCGTAGTGTACCCCCTGTACATCAGCCATCACATCAGCCCTCCCGCCAGGTAGGCGCTGAAACACTCTTGGGCGACATGTCGATGTTGCGGCCGCCTCCGCCGATCAGCATATCCGCCAACTCACACAGCCGCGCCTCATCGCCGCTCTCACACGCCTGACACACACGACACGACACGACATGAACACGCACACAAATGGACACGTGTTCACTGCGTGTGTCCTGGCTGTGTGACCTGTTGTGCCTCCGACTGCATGAAGTTGAGGAAGTCTATCTGGTCGACGAACAAGGCGTCCAGCTGCGCCCTCAACACATCGAACACCTGCACTGCCACAGCCTGCACACTAACACACAACACAGCCCCTGTGTGTGCACAAGGCCCGCCGTGGCGTGTCATACGTGTACCATTGAGTGCCTGTCGTCTCTGCAGAAGAACGATTTCCACTGGTCGAGCTCCTCGGGCATGCTTTTCATCCACTGGTACACGGATCGTCTGCTGCTGGCGCCGGACAGCCACGGGCATGCGACGATGGGGCTGGCAGCAGACGACGAGGACGACGAGGACGATGCAGCAGACGGAAGATCCGAGGGGGACTTGCGGATGGTGGGGCGGTGGTTCAGGCACACGATCTGAACCTGCTACACACAAAGGGTTTACCTGTGTATCTCTGTTGCAGCGAGTGGAGTAAGGGTGTGTGCGTACCCACCTGACTCTTGATGCGGAAGTTGGTGCGGAACAGCTTGAAGTGGGAGAAGAGCGGCAGCAGGTGAGACAGAATCATCATGGACTGAACCAAGGAAAGGACATAATGGGAAACAAGGATCCGCACAGACAGCCAATGCTCACACACACACATGGTTAGTTACATTGTAGAGAGGTCGGGTGAGCCACACCAGGTGTCCGCCCTGCTTGAGGCAGTAGACGGCGAGGCACAGCTGGCGCTTCATGAGCGTCTGCCGCTGCCGATATTTGGAGGCCGCGTCCTGGCTGCTGTCCGTCATGAACGACTGAACTGCACCCGCCACACACGTACAGCCACACTGCCGCGATGGTACGTGATGTGTATTTTCACATGGGCGGCTCGTCAAGTCAAGTAGCCACTTGACTTACCAACAGCCCCGCAGTGGATGATGTCGAACTCAAACGGCGCATGCTGGCCGAACTGACGCCGGAAGGCCCTCTGCACAGAATGCATTAATGGAGAGGGGGGCCAGGTGAGAGCGCCAGTGTGACGTTGGTTTTTGCTGGAATTGACCTGCACGTCGGCGATGAGATCGTCGAGGCTTCCAGCAGTGATGTCACGGAGCACCACATGCAGACGCTCGTGCTGAAGCGACCGACGGTTTAAACACACACACAGCATGATGACTAACTCGACGTGTGTCCCCCCTGGGACTTGCCTTGTACTGCATGGGGAAGCCCTGTCGACTGGTGGGCATGGCCACGCCCTGCATCCACACACACACACACACCAACACACCAACAGACACACAGACAGACAGGTGAGGACAACCGCTGTCGGTCCGATAGAGGTGACTGACCCACCACGAGCACCTACCACCACACCAGCAACGTTGCACTCCTCGATCCAGAACTTGCTCGTCCCACCTGCACCAAGTGCAAAGGAAGGCACCTGATGCAGCTGTCCAGCCCTCCCTCGTACCTACCATATGTCATCTCTAACTAACCTGGTGCGCATCCCATGTCCAGCACCTTAGCGCCAGCAATCTGGAAGCTGCCGCGTCGAGCCAGCATGGGCAGATGGTCGTAGAAGTTCTGGTGTATAGGTGAATGGATCTGACCAACTCGAAGCAAGTTCTGGTGATAGGCACTCACTATCGCTATGACCTGGTGATAGGCGCTGAAGGACCGCAGCGCACAGACGAACGAATGGGTTGTGAGTCGCCAACGCGTGAGTGTGTGTGTATCCGCTTACCCACCTGACAGAAGTGCTCGTCCCTCCCTCCCCTCTCTCCCTCGGTCGCCCATCGCCACTCCCACGCAGCCCTCTATTGCGGTACCGCAGATCTGTCCAGACACAGATAGGAAAGCCCAGCCACCATCGATGAGTGGTCCCCGTGCATAGCCGGCTGCCTACCGAACACCCTCTTGAGTTGCTCCGACTCCCAGCAGTCCCGCTTCAGCGTTGCGAGCGTCTTGTAGCAGTCGTTCCTTTCCTGCATCTGCTGGTCGAACTCCTGCTCGACGAGCGACTCATCGGTGACCTCCGACGCATCACCAGACTCCTCGCCCTGCCCCGGGCCGAACGAAAGAGAAGAACCTGAGAGGGAAGAGAGGACGGCAAGTCAGTCTTGGCGGTTTGTTGTACTTTCACATTGCATACGTACGGGTCCTGTCGGCAAGATCTGTGACGGCGGCGTCCTCAGCACCACCCTGTGACTCGCTCTGTGACGCCATCATGACCCCAAGCATTGTCACACGGTGACCGTGCCCTCGTCACATCGCGCCAGCAACTCTTTCAGCATCTTCTCTCTTCCCGAGCCGTTCCCTTGAATTCTGCGAGAAATGGAGGCTCAACGGTCAACGGCAAAAGAATCGCTACTCAAGGCCGCGCCGACGGTCAACGGTCAATCGGAGCTTTCCGCATCTTCCTCTCCCACAGCACGTCCCTTGTCGCCTCTTTCCTTACCCCGAGGGATGGATGGATGGATGGACGTACATTTCATGCGGACGCCGGGTGAAAGAATCTCATGCCAAGTCGATACATGCGTTCATTGATGTCACTTTCATGCACCATGCAGTCAGGTAACTTACATACGCCACGCCATAAACACATACACCGCACGGCCCCTTCGATCGCCCTCGTTTGGAGAGACACAACGAAGGAATGACAGACACGAATGCCATACAATCGTCGCGGCCACTGCCAAACAGCAAAACGACGCAACTAGCACTGACTGGCCCCTTCACTCATAAAAGTGCTGTGCTGCACTCGACCCCTCCCCCAGCACGCGACAAAAAGAGTCTCGTCTCGTGAGGTCACTTTTTCTTCTTGGCAGCGGCAGCCTCCATGGCCTGTTTCTGTCTGCTGAGCAGCCTCCATTTGTGGCTGTCCTTGCTCGACATCTTGCTGGCGTCACGGCAGCCCTTCCCACCCTGCAGACCAGACAACAACACGTGCACACGGCGTGTGTGCAGCCTCCCTTCAGCTGTTGCCTCGCTCTCGTACCTCCCAGTGTGTGGTGGTCTTGCGCGTCATGGAAGCGCCGCACACGCATGGCTTTTGCGAGTAGGGCTGAACAGAAGCGAACGTACACATGCTTCACACACACCCTGCAGCGGCCGCCCACCCACCCACCTGTTCCCTCGAGCAGAAGCCGCATATCATGCGTGTGGCCCACTCGCACTCATGGTCGGCCGCCTCGTTGTGGCACACGTCGCATGGGTATGCCTTACCACAGCAGGGGAACCTCAGCCACCTATAGGACTTCTTGTAGTGCTTGCACGTGCCGTTGTCGGGCAGCGGGGTGCCCACTCGGATGACGAACTCGTCGCCCTTTTTCTTCTTGCCTCCATCGATGTCCAGCTGCTTAAGCAGCGCGGCCAGGTCGGCCCCTGTGGCTGATGTGTCGGGCTGCATGCCGATGGCCACGGACGAGAAGGAGATCGCCATCTTGCTGTGGCAGTGCCGACAGACAGACGTTCGTGTGACACCTGCAAACACACAAAGTGGAGAGATCACACACATGATTTCCATAGATGAGATGAAATGGATGCACTCACTCACTCACCAGAGAAGACTTCCTTCATGCGCGATGACGCCGAGCAGTTGGTGCAGGTGAGGATGTAGTCTGATGGGAGGAGGTCCCTGACGACGCACGAGAGCGGCTGTGCGATGGCGATGAGGGAGCTGTTCTGGTGGGCCATCCGCGGATGCACCTTGACAATCAACCGAAGGTGACACTGAGGGCACTCCACACCCGTCCCTGAACACGCAGAAAGAAGGTCAGCAGATTGTCTGGCTGGGGATTGATGAGTCAGTCGGGTGACATACATACAGACATACCTGCTGGTGCGAGTGTTGTTCCGTCCTTTGGGAAGCTCATGTTGACGTCAGATGCCGTCTTGCAGCGACCACACGAGAGCTGCAGCCTAATGCAACCACACACACATACAGGCAGATGCAGGCTGTTACTCACACGGCCGGAAGCGTGCCCTCACTGACTCACCTGATGGCTGCCAGATGCACGACACTCACCCCCACCAGCTGCAGCCCCACGAGCGAGATGTCCACCCCGCCAGCCACGCGCTTGGCCGCCTCCCCTCCACCCCCTGCGCCAGCTGTACCTTCCCCCTCTTCCTCCCCTTCTCCAGCCCCGGCCTCATCGGCCCCCTCTGACACACCGTCCTCTGACGACTCCTCTAGCCCGCTCTTATCCTCCTCCTCTTGTTGGTCCTCCTGCTGCAGGTGTCGATGCTCGTTGGCGAGGATGGCCGCGCGGCACACCTTGAAGCGCTCCGCACACTGGCGGGCGGTCCGGCCACCGCCCACACGCTGACTGATTTGACGCCACTTGTCGATGGGGTTGTCGATGGATCGAAACTCGGTCAATGCCTCCTCCAACCTGATGGACGGACGGACGGATGGGTAGGTGGATCGATGGATGGGAACACACACATGTGATGTGATGATGGGAGGTGGGTGTACTCTGTCCTGTCCTCCTCTCACCTTCGTTGTTCGTCAGGGCTCCATCTTGCCGGGTCTGCTGGAGCAGCTGCTGCCTCCACATGCTCAGTCGGGGCCGGCTCAGACTCAGGCGGCGGTGGTGGAGGCCGTGGGGCGAAGACCTCTCCCAGAAAGCGATCCACGTACTTCAAGCCCTCATACACGAAGTCGATGCAGCTGCCCTTCTTCTTCTCGTAAAACTCAGCAAACAGCTTCGAGATGACCGCACGCGCCTCGTCAGGCACCTCTGCATCGGTCACTTGGAGCATGGCAGCCGATTCCGGGTACTTGGATGGCACGACAACCCTGAAACCCAGGCCGTCTGGCGGTATCCTCTCCCAGTCAGTCCGCGGATCTGTGGGCATGTGTCGAAGCTGGAAGCAGTGCTCGCTCTCCCACTGAATCGATGAACGGTATCGCCTGCAGACAGCAGATCGGATCAGCACACGTCAGACGAGAACCAAGACGCACGTCGCTGTCGCCGTGTCAGCGCACCTCGTGATCTTGTCGCTTTCTACTGTCCAGTCGGTCTTCCTGGTAGGCACGACAGGTCGCCTGGCGCCTGCAGGAGGCTGTTGTCGTGACGGCGCTGCGATGAAGTCAGAGAGCGAAGGCGGAGGAGGCGGACGGCGGCTCGGCGGATACATGGCACCTCAGAGATGGTATCGAAGCTTGCCTTCACCTCTTTCTGGTTCTTGGTCTTACGCAGATCTCCGAGTCTGCGCGACAGAACGCGCTGATCGCCAACCCGCCCCAGTCTTGGCCCCCACCCGCGATGATGGAGTCCAATGACGTCAACCATGCTGCATCTCCGCCCGCAAACGACATCACCATCAGCACCGAAGACATCGGCATCGCCCCACGAGCATGCAGTCACTCCGGCAATGAGGTGGCCACGAGTACAACCTCTCCGCATCGCCAGCACCAGCACGTCACGCCACTCAGCGACGACAGCACGGGCGCCATTGGAGGCTGTGCCCTGCCTGCAGCAGATGGATATGACGACGGGGCGACGGGAGAAGAAGACGGAAGAGCTTTGCGGAGGGAGGAGCGGGAGTTGGCGGCACAGGTGGCTGAGTTTCGACACTGTGCAGGCTCGAATGCGGCTTTTCAAGAGGTCGACACAACCGTGGTTTATGAGGGCGGATCCTTCATCGGTGTTGCCTTCAAGCCTCTGCCTTTTTCGAAGACCCTGAGAAGAGTTGCTCGCGTTCTGTTGTTCCAGGTCGGGATTGCTGCGGCCGTTGCATCGCTCTGGGCTTTGGTTTTCCTGGCATATTGGCGGGCGTGCGAGGGCATCACTGTTAAGGCAACGTGGATCGTTATTGATGTGGCTCGGCGGATGCTTGTAGGTATGTGTTATATCGCTATGATTCTCCTGGTGACAGAGGGCAGCATTGCTGGGGCTTTCCGGCGCTTGAGAACGTCGTGGTATTTCTTGGCTCCTGGCTTCGTTTATTATCTTGCCGTATCTCTGGTTCACCACCTGGAAGTCCCACCGCCCTATCGCCATGTTTTCGGTTTTGTCATGATCTCCTTTGTTGGGTTTCTGCTGCCCTTGCTGTAGGCAAAATACGTAGCCGCTGCTCAGTATTCAACTTATCTCTAATCGCTTCAGGCTCTTTCGTCAAGTCGCTCTGACATCGACTATGGTCAAGAGGAAGCGGCTTTATGTGCTCCAGATTTGTGTTATTACTTCTGTAATGGCCTTCGCTCATGTCATATCACGTCTCTACTTGTCGGTGATTGCGCACTGAGCATCAGTCATTCATCATGAGAAGTTTTTTATGGGCTTGCTGTGTATGCATGTTTTACAGTATGCCTGCTGCCGCAAGAGCGGCAGAGTCAGGGACGGATCGCGAGAAGACGCGTATCGCTTTTAGCTTTTTGATCGGACTGTGGCCGGTCATCGCACTAGGTAAACCGTCGCAGTGCTGTTTACGTATTTAAAGAGTTTTTCTTTTTTCAGTCACTGCGACAGTCCGTGGGCTTCAAGATGGTCCTGCACTACAGACGGCTCCAGCAATGGCCTATCTGGCCGTGAGCTACGTGTTTTTCCCCGTAAGCTGCGAAACCTCTCCTGGCACAGACAAGGGGATGCACAATCACGCCGCTCTCCACTGTGTGTGCTGGCAGCGCATGGTCCAAGCCAAAATGCAAAACCTATCCTCTCAGGTGCCCCCGCGCTGCCAAAAATAAAGAGCTGATGTTCACTTTCTTGAGTGGAAGAGACACATCGATATATTGCCATGTCTTCTAGGTCCTGTCCTCGCTGTTCTTTGCGCTTTTCGATTTGGTGACCGACTTGATGATACCTTATGGTGACAAGTCAGTTGAGAGACGTTAATCTCCGAATGTTGTCTGCATCTGTCTTTTCGCAGGGCTTCTGATCGGCATCAATGTCAAGAGAGTCGTGATACGATTCTTGGCCTCATGTAAAGCGCGCAGGAGAGGGCGAGACCAGCACTCTCATCGTATGTCTTCTACAATCACTACCGAGGACACCCAGGCAACGACCAACGACAAACAGCCGGCCGAACCACCTAGCCACCGCTCTATTCGAGCATCAATGAATCAGAGTCGCGGCAGCTCCGGCAGTTTTTGGAGCCGGGCATCGCTCAGGAGGTCTCTGAGTACAATTCTAGACCTACAAACGCAGATCGTACAATTTCAATACCACCCGACGAGTGTGCGGCGGCTCAGTGACGTGAGTGAAAGAGACCAGAGGACCTGCGTCTCCTCATCTTTTCTTTTTCTTTTTTTTCTGGGGCTCGTTGATGATGCAGCAGGTTTACCTGTATGGGTTGGTCGAACTGACAAGTTTGATGCTCTCAAACCTGTTCAAGACCACTCTCAGCCAAATTCTATCGCCCTCGGTCGATCACCTTATTGAGAGGTTGGTCGGCTTGCTGGTGATGGTTCTGGTCGAAGTGTCGTTAGAGGGGGTGCTTTTTCTGTGTTCGTTCGCGTCTTCAACTTGCCTGTTTGCCGGGTCAGTCAAAGCATCAAAATAAATCACTCCCCACACTGAAAGAAGCCACATACCATATAGAAGGCAGACAGAGAGACAGACAGAGAGACGAATGGATCGAGACAAAGAGACATGGAATCATGTGCTCCTCTTTCTTAGGCAACGGAGGAGCCCGGCGTTATCAAGATGCACTTACTAGCCTTGCTCCTTGGAGGCGGAATCATCGTTCTTCGCGCTGCGCCATATGCGGTGCTCTTTTTGTTGAATGCAGTCGATAGTGAGAGGTACGGGCAGATCAACACGCGAGAGTGGTGCCCACATCATTCGATACTGCTCGACTTGTGGTGAGCTGAGCGAGGAAGATTGCGCTGTGCCGCTGTATGGATGATGTGTATCTGATTGGTTGAGATACGCATAGGTGATGGCAATGCATGCATTTGAATATATAGGGGGCAATGCCGACGGTTGCAACATAAGTCAATACACAGTCTGGTCGTCTTCCCTACTCTGTATCCCTTACGCATGGACGGATGGATGGTTGGCTGGTTGGTTGGTTGGATCATTCATTCATTCATTCATTTGTCGGCTTGCTGATAATGGTTCTCATTGAAGTATTCTTCGAGACCGGGGGGGCTCTTTGTCTTCTTCGTTTGTCTTTGTCTACGTGACGTGTGAGCGTTTGTTATGGCAGCTGAGATAAGCGGCACTTTTTGCCAATGGACACACGCCATCGATCCTCCCATGCGCAGCACCTCAATTCACATTTGCATCGGTCCATGCTATTCATTCTCACATGTCGGCCAGCCACGTCAAGTCAATGTGGTCTGTTGCATCATCTCACCCGCTGTCCCTGTCCCCACACTGCCCGATGCATCGCCCACACATCCCCCATCATCCCCTCACAGCCGCCATCACTTGCACAACAAGCCACACTATCAACAAGGGCTGCTGGCGACTCGGCCACGAGGAGCGGCAGGTAGGGGGCAAAAGGCAAAGAAAACAGCTGTTGCTCGGACGGAGGTTCCGATGCGTCATTGTTGCTGGCGACGGTGTGGCTTTGCATGCCCAGCTGCCTCTCGAAATATAGCAGGCTGGCCGCCTCGTCGGGCGTTATCAGAGACACGCATTTGCCGCCACGACCTGCACGACACACAGGTGTCACACAGACGCACAAGGGCAATGATCGAAGCGAGACAGCACGGCAGACGGTACCGAATCGGCCAGCGCGTCCGGAGCGGTGCAGGAAGATCTCCTTGCTCTGCGGACAGACAGACAGACAGACAGACAGCCAGACATACAGACAGCAGGATGTCCATCCATTCGTGTGTGCCTGGCAAATACATGCACACCTCTGGCAGGTCCAGGTTGACGACGAGATCAACAGCCTCGAAGTCAAGGCCACGAGCCAACTGAACGAACGCACGACACGCAATCCCTCAGCCGCACCCAGACAGGAGCGGGAGGTGGTGTTGGGGCCACTCACCAAGTCAGAGCAGACCAGCACGCGGCACTCGCGGGTCTTGACTTTGCGGTAGGAGTGCATCCGCTCACGCTGCGTCAGACACTCACTGCGGACACCAACACATCACACATCTCCCATGCACTTTGCAACACGATGCAGGTCTGCGTCGGCTACCTCGAGTACGTTGTTTGCAGCCCTAGCTTCGACAGCTCGTTGGTCACGAGAGATGCGCTGACCAAGGGAGACAGAGAGCAAGACAGGAAATGTGACCAGGTCACCAGTGTGTATGCCTTATGTGGGGTGAGCCGCATACAGTGCGTGGTCGTTGCAGAATATGAGTGCCTGCACGAAGGGCCAGCGGGAGACCAGGTCGATCAGCACAGCCACCTTGCCGTAGTCGTCCTCGGCGTCTTCACACACGCACCTGTAATACTTGACACCTGCATCACACAGACACACAGAGACGAACATGCACGCGCGTGTATGTGAGCGTGTTTCCAATGTGTTTTCCTCACCTTGAGGGACCCCGATGGACAGGCCAACGCTCGCCGGCGCTCTCCGATTGCCGCCATCGTCACTCACACTCCACTCACTGACGGCCAAGGGGCACTCGTCGCTGGTATCCTCTGCTCGTCTCGTCCCGTTGAGCAGATAGGGAGAGCACACGACCGTCCGACTGTCATCGGGTACAGTGGTGAGGGCGGCATCTTCGATCTGGGTGGGTCCGATGGAGCAGTCGAGGACTCGCGTGAACTCGATGCTGAAGTGCTCTGGCGGGATGCCTCGCAGGGCGGCGACGCCTTCGATGATCCTCTCGAGGACAGTCACTGTCGGCGCGTGGAGTGTCGCTGAGGCGATGAGGATCTGAAGGGACTCGTCCCGCCAGCAGTGCTCCAGCAAATGACTGGGTGGTATGCAGACAGATGGGCACGGGGGAAGAAGGCATCTATCAGAGATGATCGGTGTTCTTCGTTGGTTTGTATGTCACCGTATGTGTGCTCTCATCTCGTGGTCCAACAGCCTGTCCGCCTCATCCAACACCAGCACCCTCAGCTCGTCAAAGCGCAGCATGTCACGACCAAGGACCTCCAGCAACTTGCCTGATGAACCGAACCAAAACATTGGAGGAGGTCTGAGGCCCGCCTGTCCAGCGCTGCTCACCTGGTGTCGCCACGACAAAATCCACAGGTCCGTCTGTGGGCATTTTCGCAGCCTCCAGGTGGAGAGGCACGCCGCCCAACAATCCAACAACCACAGGGCGCTGAACAACAAAACATCCCCGCCTCATGCACAGCCTGCCTCATCAGCCTTGTAGCCAGCCAGCCACTGACCGGTTTGATGAGCCATGTGAGCCTCTGCATGATGTCAGATAACTGTAGCGCCACTTCACGCGTCGGACCAACTATCGCACCGAAGGGGCGGGAGGGGGAGGGGGAGGTGAGGGCGGGGTCGGTGCTCCTGTCATTGAGGAAGTTCTGCAGGGCCACCAGAAGGAAGGCAATCGTCTTGCCGCTGCCAGAATCTGCTTGGATGATCAGATCTTGATAGATCAACACGGCATACACAGCCTATGATAGGATGGGTTCATTCACCCATGCCGTGGCTTACGCTCACTCTTGCGTCTGAGGCCTTCGGGAACTGCTCGCCGCTGTATGGCTGCCGGCAGTGTCACATCGAGGTGGCGAAGGCCCTCCTGGAGCTCACCGCTGATGGACAGATCATCGAAGGACGGCAAACCCGTAGCTGCAGCATCTCTAGCTGCAGCATCTTCAATGGATCCATTCACATCTTGATTCGTCTCCATTCTCCCTAGGCGCTGATGCTGAAACGCTCAAAAGGTACGCCTTCTTCTTTGCGAGCTCAAAGGAAAGGGAAGAGGGGAGAAGGGAAGCGGAAGAGAAATTCAAAGACCACAATCATCAAGGGAAAGGGAGCTTAAGCTGGCAGCAAGGTTGCTCTCTTGAGCAAGTCCTGGTTGCAGCGTTTCAGAAAGCCGTCGCTGCGATGGGCCAGTGCATCAGCTGCTGCTACACGAGCTGGTTCGTGGGTCAGTGCTGCTGCTACTTCGTATCCCTGCGGCTCCCCGTGGTGCTCTCCATCATCGACCTCATCCTGACGGTGTCGGTCCTGACACGGGCATCCGTTCTCTTCCCGGCCTGGGAAATAAGCTCTAAGACTGGTCAGGGGCATGGGCAGGGCATCAAAGGGGCCGTTCAGGCGCACAGCATAAGCATTATGTTGTGTGTGTGTGCGTGTGTCAGTGTTGGATTTGCTGATCATGTCGGTCGTTCGCATCATGGTCTTGAACATCGCCTTCCACTACCGCCGCAGCCAGGGGATAGCCGTGGAGCTGTCGGTGGGCATCGTGACGATTTTGTCCCTGGTAACACACCGACCAACACATCCCTCTCACTGTCTCGTACTTGTGTGGAATCACCGGGTGGTGCCCGGGGTCAGGTGGTGGCGATCTTCAAGTACGTCTTCAACTACACCGACGCCATGTACATGGTCTTCCTCACCTGCCAGACACTCCTCATCTGCCTCGAGTTCGGCGCCATCTGGGTCTCCGAGGAGCGCAGGAGGAAGCGCAAACTCTGGTGGCACGACCGGACCTTCCTGCTGCACGCACACGCAAGGGATGTCGCCGGCACCGAATCATCATTCAGGGTCCGTTAAGGCGCTGAGCGAGAGAGGGCATGATCACTCCACATGGTGTGGTGAATGCGGGCGTGGTTGGGTCTGTGGTGTTCTGTCAGACGTCCCTTTTTCACGACCAGGAGGGTGCTGCGTCAGAGCCTTTGCAGGCCGCGTCCGCCACCGCCCAGGTGGACCAGCCCCTGCTGGCGAAGGCGCCGTATGACGATCGCAGGAATGGCTTCCCGGTCCCCGCACAGCCGCCCTTCCCATCGCTAGCACCTGCCATTCGTGTCGACGCGGCCTCTGAGGGCTCGGCGCCCGAGACGGCCGTCCCACAGCCGCCACCCCCAGCAGCAGCGACTCCCAACTCGCATCAGGGGTCCGTGTCGGGTGCGCCCAACTACCCTGACCCAGACTCACACTACCTGAAGATCGGACAGGTAGGGAGAAAGAGAGAGAGAGAAAGAGAATGCGGTTGTTTGCACATCCATTTGGTGTGTGTGTGTGTGCCAGGTGAAGGTGCATTACAAGATATGTGAGGGTGAGGTGGGCGGTGCTAGTGCTGGGGGCGGGGAGTCCGCCACGTACCCGCCAAGGACACCTCCAACGGCGGACAAGTTCCTCATCCTGCTGCTGCATCACTTCGGCGCGTCCACATTCACCTGGCGCCACGTCTTGCAGCCGCTGTCGGAGTTCGGACGAGTCGTCGCCTTCGATCGGTAGGTGATACAACGAACCTCAGCCCTCTTGCTGGTGGTTGTGTGACCCTCTATCTACCTCACCCCTAACCGTTGCCTGCTGTATGTTTCAGTGTAGCGCACGGGTTCACGTCCCGGCCGCCCGCAGACACCACGACGACACTGCCGCACAAGCCAGAGGTACACACCGTGGGCTGACAACTGCACCAGCACTCATCTCATGCGTGTCTTCGTTCCCTCCCCCCTTGATTGCGTCTGTGTGCAGCAAGAGTACAGCCCGTACACCGAGCAGTACGCCGTCGAGCTGACGATCGCCCTGGCCCACCTCTTCAGTCAGGAGACCCTGCCAAACATCAGTGCCATGTCCCCCTCCCCGCTCGACTCCCCACGCAGCACATCCGGCGGCTCACCACCCCCACCCGCCACAACCACCACGGCCACCGCACCGCCGTCCGCCCGGCCAGCAGCCAATGACACGTCCCCTGCCGCAGTAGCAGTGCCGCCCCAGAGCTACCCGCCCTACGACGAGAGGGGCAATGGGGGAGAGGGAGAGGGAGGGGGGAAGCAGATGCCTGTGATACTGGTGGGGTGTTCGGCCGGTGCTGCGATAGCGTTGGAGTGTCTGCTGCGGTGCCCCGAGCGCATCAAGGGGCTCATCCTGATATCGCCGGCCGTGTACACCGAGGGCGTGCCGCAGTTTGTCAAGAGCGTGTTCAACACGAAGATAGGGCGGTCGCTGACGATGAGCATGCTGCGTAGCGAGTTGGGCGACTTCATGCTCAAGAAGGCCTGGAGCGACCTCAAACACCTCACCCCGGCCATACAAGAGGGATACAAGCGACCCATGCAGGTCAGGTCGGCCCAACCAGCCACATGCACTCTGTGGGTGGATGGATGGGGCAGAGGTGTGTGTGTGTGTGTGTGTGGTGCAGCTGAAGGATTGGGGAACGGCGCTGTTTGAGCTGAATCGTCAGTCTAAGCCGCTCAAGGTCTTCGAGCGCATACACTCACTCACGGTATGTCTACGCACACACAGCAGACTCTCTGGCTGAATGACTCTCTTTTTCTCTGAGTGACTCTGTATGTGTCTCATGACGTGGTACGTCAGTCGATGGACGTGCCCCTGATGATAGTGCACGGCGAGGCGGACCGCATCGTGCCCAGGGGCGAGGTCATGACACTATCAGCTGAGCTAGCCAAACACCAGGTATCATGCTAGCAGCCCCCGCCCCTATGGATCAGGGCATGACGGACGCGCGAGTGCCCCTCGTTTCTCCGTGCTTTCTTTTTTGTAGGTTCGCCACCACTTGGTGTTTGTGGGTCGGTGTGGCCATCTGCCGCACGAGGAAGCGCCCCAGGATTTCGTAGAAAATGTCACGTGAGCACAGCACAGCACAGCACAGCAGGGCAGCGCAACGGAGAACCACAACATAACATCCTTTTCCTGTCCTAACGCACCCACCCCCCTGTTTTTGTGCAGGCCGTTTTTTCCTTGGGTGACGCGCCACTGGGCCCGGAAGGATCTCATGCTGGCGACCACCAGCCCCCCTCCCCCATCCATCCGACCCGCCAGCCGACAGAGCCCCGCGCCGTCGCCATACACCAGCCGATCGTCGCCCGCCGACCGGGCGCAGTTCGAGAGCACCAACGGACCCGCACCGCCGTTCCTGCGGACGCCGCTGTCCAGTTCGGCTGAGTCACAGGGGGGCTGATAGATAGATGGGCAGACAGCGATGGATGTTGTAGGTTGAACCCCTCGTTTGAGTTGAGGGGATTTTGTTCGGTTGGCTATGCTGATGATTGATTGACTGATGCGATAAGAGAGAGGAGGTGGTTGTGCATACGGCTAGAGCTGACGAGCTGACTGACTATGTGAAGAAGAAGTGTCTCCATGGTTTGGCTTGGCTTGACACATCAGTGCAGCGAATGTGCGCTAGATGCGTCAGAAATCGTTTGTTGAACGGCCATGCAACGAAAGGTGTCATGCTCAATTGACGCACCTCAGACCAGTCTCTTTTCCCCCGCTCCGGGGTCACCATTCACACGTCGATGGCTAGATAGGTGCCGACAGAACGGACTCACGGCTGGCAAGGTGAGCAGCGAGCGCGCCGAAGCAACCGCAAGCACCCATCCATCGAGGGAGGAAGCCGCTTCGGGGTAGTGGAATTCATCCGAAGCATCGTCCCGGATTTGTGGGCTGGGGGCAGGTTCCCCGTCTCGATTGGGCTGCCCCCAGCTCGATTGTTCGGGTTGAGCCGCCCGTCGCATTGCCACAATCATAATGGCTGCGCTTCTCGTCTTCGTTGTCATTGCGACGGCCTCCATTGGTGAGGCGACACGACGCAGGGTCACTCAAACTTGCTCTCCACGGGGTGACATATATGTAAGGGAAAGGAGACATAACACTTGGGTGCAATATCAAGTGCATAGCGGAGCGCGAGATCTCTCAGCCTCTTAAGCGCATCCTGCAACGAGCAAACAACACGTGACACCCAGATGAAGACATGCATTGATCAGTGTAGTTTCCCCTCTTACCGGCCGAGATCGAGGCACCAGAACGAGTGCGCCCACGCGCAACCCACGCGCGTGATTCCCTGCGCCGCTGCAGATACATTCTCACACTATGAGTCACACATTGTCGCGTGTTTGCCCGGTAGGGACCACTGCCGTGGTGTCTGCCGCCTTCTTCTACCCGCACAGACATGAAGACTTGGTGTGTACACTTTTGTATGAGGCAGCAGATCTCATTCGTGTAAGCTCTTCTCTATGTGTGCATTGATTAATGTCCGTCTTCTGTCGCTTTCTGACCACACATGCCCTGCTCGTAAAGCTCTTTGTGCACTTATAAGGCCTGACACCCTTCAATGAAATGGCCTCTATCCGGGCCTTGCATGATGGTCCTGCTCAATCGCATCTCCGCGTCCGTCGGTCAGTCAGACAGAGTAGGCGAAACTATGTGGACACAGCTTTGCAGTGGTCAAGTCCCTGTATTGGCCGGGCTTCGCCGCCCTTAAGGTGAACAGCAAGACCGATGGCAGAAATCCGAGTAACAAAGCCACGGAGGCACTGAGAGGGACAGGCAGGATGGCAGTGTGTGTGTGTGTGTATATGTGCCTGACGTGACTGGGCGTGTTGTTTGGTGTGCGTGCGTACGCACCAGAGCAAAGACACCAGCCTGAACGCCAGGGCGCCAGGCTCATGCTCACTGCGGACGATGGGCAAGTTGTGCAGCCGCACAGAGATCTTGAGACACGCACGATACACACAGACAGAGTGACACAGAGACACGAAGCCGCTTTCCTTGCTTGGTCTGCTTTTGGTGTTACCATGAAGAGGACTATCTCGCATGCCATCTCGATGGCGACCAGCAGACACCAGCCCCCGAGTCTCTCAGCCAAGCCAGACAAGGAAGGGTCCACAAACTGGTCCACGGCGATCAGCGAGAGGTTGATGAAGAGCAGTATCAGGCTCTCGGCCAAATTGTAGGCGTGGATCTGGTCGGACAAGGCGCGTAGGTATCTGGGTCGGTAGTCGTAGGCGACGAACGTGGAGTGCAGGTCGAGGACTGACGTCAAAGAGGAGAGGGTCTTCAGGCTTCTCTGAGAGAGTCCCTGCTGAAAACTGGGGGATACGCTTGCCTCCTCCTTGCTCGCCACACGTGCTGCTGCGCGACTGCGAGACATGTAGGGGGACGCGGGTACTGTCCATATGGGGCTTCTTAGTACTGCTCCCTGTCGGTGTCTCTTGAGTTCTCCTCGTTGATCGGTGCCGGGTGGATGAGCGACGGAGAAACGCAAATGAGCGACGGAGGTTGAATCGAAGGGCATCGACGTAGGGCACTGCCAGGTCGCCGAGGAGATCGTAGAGGGCGAATACCAGAGAGGACGCGATCTTGCTGCTGAGGCTCACCATCTCGGCCTGTCAATGACACACACGGTGTGTGTCTGTCCGTCTGTTTCGGCTGTGTGTCTGTCTTGGTTGGTTGGTGTGCGTGTCTCCTATATCTGTGCCTGCATGATACGGGGCACGAGAAGGCAGCCTAGTGCGGCGAAGTAGATAACAGGATAGTTCGCAGTGGGTGACCGTCTGTCATCCTTCTTGTAGTTCCTGTGGCCAAGGCCATCAAGGGCAGACAGCATAACAGACACGCGAATGCCACCTGTGCCCTCTCGCTGTCTGTTGAGGCTTTCTCCCCTCTGAACAGACACCGCAAAGAAGACACTCTTCCTTTCCTTTCATCGGGGCATCCATGTCATCCCTCACCAAACGCTTACAGCGGGAAGAAGTGGAGGACCCAAAGGCTTACAGCAGCCACAGTTACGAGTAGGATGAAGACCATCTGGGCAGTGTACATGACTCTTCTCTTGCTCTTCTCAGATGCCGCCCAAAACACCCCCATAGGAGTGATCGTCGCCCAACAGATCAGGTCGAAGCTCACGAGGATCCTAGTGTACTTCTCCAGCTTCGCAATGTGCATTATTGGATAGAGAAAGGTGGTGGTTGCCAATGGTAAAGCAAAGTATGCCCACACAGAGCGGAACAGCCGAAGCATTTTGCTGAGAGACATGCCTTCCGCAATGAGGAGAAACCACATCACCAGCCCAACACCATTGGCCGCGTATCTCACAATGTCGGAGGCGACCCCCACTGCCGCATCGTCAGACTCGCACACCAGCCAGTATAGCCAGAGGATCCCGACCCACAGAAGAGCCAGAACGAGAGCAGACAGGAGCTGGCAAAGGACGACTCTGGTGACCCGCTTTAAAGAGCGCGCGAAGGGCTCAGGGGAGAACCGGGCCCCCACCAGACGCTACCCCTTCCCCGTCGGGTATACAGGGGTGGATGGGGCCTCCTCGAAGGCCGCCGCATAGCCTGCAAGACACAGGAGAGAGACATGGGGGTCAACAAACCAATCCTTTTCTTTGCTGCCCTTTTCTGTGCTTCGTGGCTACCGGCGGCCATTCCGAATTCCCGCTTCATTTCGCGAATCTTCATCTCCTCCGGCCTCAGTGACGGCTCCTCGCCCATGTCCTGAAGGGTTGTCGAATGTGCTGTGTGTCCTGATTGCTGCTTGGCTCGCTCCGTGACGGTGCTTTGGTGGCTCAATAGCGCATCGTTGCTGTGTGTCTCGACCTTATTGAGATGCGGCACTGCGGAATGTTCGTCCCCTCTACTGAGCTCTTTTGGCTGTATCCCCTGGTTGCATGGCGGGGGCGTGCAAATGTCTTGGTTGCTGAAGTCAATGAAGATCTGCGTGTCCGTTCTGAGAGCAGATTCATGGTGGCCCTCAGCTCCGTCAGATAGTTGTGGCTGCACATCCTCTTCTTTCGTGTTGCCGGGGCTGATCGTGTCGCCGGACGGCCTCTTGATCATGTGTTCAAGCGCTTCGTCGCCAGCTGTGTGAGCAGGAGTGTCAGCTCGATGCATATCATGCGGATAGTCTTGGGCGGGCGAACCAACCACAGATGGTGTGGCGTACCTGCAAGAGAGAGAGAGAGAGAGAGAGAGAAGAGTCAGGCAGAGCTCCGTGTTAACGTTTGTGAGCGAATTGTGGGGTTTTGGCTTCTTGCCTTTGCGATGCATGTTTGGTGGGAGGAACTCCAGTGGCTCGCAAAGCTCGCCTTTTTTCGCTCGCAGATGTCTTTGGAAGCTCATGCTCCCGCCCAGCCCACCCGTCCACACTACAAGCGGAATAGAGGGCACAGAAAAAGGGAATGGGCACGAAAACTGGGTTGACTGTCTTTACCAGAAGTGAGGGTTTGCACTGAGTGAGGCCCTACCTAGCCACTCTGCACCAACACGCACACACAGACATACAGACAGGAACAGACACACATTGTCCAAACGCCTTGTTTGAGTGTCTCCTTCTTTCTTCTGCACACAAGCATGCAGCGCAGCACAGCACAGCAGAGAGAGAGGAGACATGTGAAATGACCATCTTCCATCTTGTTCCCTCTCCATGGCTGGACGCACCGCACGGTTACTTGCCGTTGCCACCAGTCCACTCTGGCCGGCTGCTGCTTCCGGTGGTCTCGTGTTAGCAGCCGCTCGCCTGAGAGCCGCCCTGCTGGTGGCGACTGACGTGCCGACCGAAGCACGCTTTCATTCCATGCACTGCCTGCACGCATCACGACCTCCAAGTATTTCTGAGTGCCTGCACGCCTACATATCGACCCGACGGCATTCAGTCCCTGAACACAAAGACGGAGCTAAGGTATGCCATCGAGCCACCAGCTGTGGCTGGGATGGATGGCAGGCAGCAGCAGCATCTTAATTAAATGAATGTGCGTATGTGGCCATGGGTGGGGTGGGTCCACAGTCGGGGCGGTTGACAAACAAACAGCAAACAGCAAACCACAAAAGGGATACCAATCGCTATGGCACAGACAGACAGACAGGCGGACGCACACAGGTCTAGCTAACAGCATTCACTGAAGACCGACATTCAGCCGCCTGCTGCCTCCCTCCCCGTCTGTCTATCTATCTATCTATCTATCTATCTCCGTCTTGGTTTGTAATGGCCCAGTAGATGTATCCGACGCACCCGATGAGCACCACCACCAAGATAATGCGGCAAAAGAACGTTGAGTTGCGTTGCGTCTCCTGCACACACACACACGCACACACACGGTGCTTGTGTGTGAGACGAGAGTGAGAGTGAGAGTGAGGGGGGCTGACCATGACTTTCTTCATCTTCAGCGACAGGGTTTGGAGGTTGCTGTGGGCCTTGTCGGCCGACCTGGCGATCTCCTGGGCCATCACCGTGTGGCGGTCGGCCGTCTGCTCGCCAACACGCACAACAAAACAAGGCTCACACGGAGATGCAATCAATCGTGTGCATGTGTGTCTGTCGGTGTGCATACCGCGTTGATGTTTTGCGCGATGTCTCCAAGGCGCTCGACGCCCTCCCCGATCTCGTCAAGCTGACGGTCCTGGATGAAAGCCGCACATAACACACACACGCAAGACAGTTGCAGGAATGCACTCACGCACAGCCACCTTCCTTCCCCGCTCCCACCCACCATGGCTTGGTCGCGCCTTTTCCACCTGTCCATGGCCTGCCGCTCGGCCTCGGTCGGCTCACGCGCCCCACCACCAGGCGATGACAGACCCAACGCCCGCCTGACATGAACACACAGCACACACAGAGATCACAGCATGCAAAAGACCCTCCCTCCCTCCCTCCCCGCCCGCCTCCTCCTCTCGCTGACCGTTCCTCTGCAATGTCGAGTGCCACCTCGCCCCCTCCCTCTCTGGCAGTGGGTGCGCCGATGGTCCTTGGCGGTACGACGTGGTCGGCGGTGGTGGTGCGAGTCGACAGGGGGGAGGCACCTGACATGGACGTCAGCTTGTCAGTGCTGATGGCACGGTTGTTGCGAAAGGCCGTCCTGGCCTCCTCGATCTGCTGCTTGAGCAGGTTCAGGTCCGACAGCCGGTTGTCCAGCTCTTCGTCGGTCAGACCGAGGCTCTGCAGACACAAATATCTCATTTATGAGTTTGCCTGCCACGGTGTGGCTGGGCGTGGCGTCCTCCCTCCCACCGACCGCCCCGCCCCGCACCCACCCGTCTGCGTGCAAAGCCCCGCTGCTTCTTGTGGATGTCCTGGATCTTTTTGAAGTCGACATCGATCTGCTTGAGCTGCTCCGATATCTCCGCGCCCTTCCGAATCGTCTCGTAGGTGTTGCCTGACCCAGACAGACACAACACAACCCACGCAGGGCAGGTGGAGGGTGGGCGTAGATACGTAAGTGCCTCCCCCCACCCCACCCCACTCCCTCACCGTTCCGCCTCTGCAGCGTGTGCCTCTCCCGGATGTTTTCCTTAACCTCGTAGAGCAGCTGGTAGAGGCCGCTCTTGGCTGCCAAAAAGTCGTCCTTCTGCTTCCCGCCGGCACCGCTGGCGTCCTTCTTGCCGTCCTTGGTGCACTCGGTGGCAATGCGATCCACTCGAACCATTAACTCGTCCATACCTGACATACATGGCACCATAGCGAACGAAGCACCACACGCACACACACACGCACACAAGCAATCAACCACGCCATCACTGCATTGTGACAGTCAGTGTCCAGGCTGCTGGACGGCAGTCGTCCGCCACGCTGGTCTACCTCTGAGGGTCGTCATGGTCGGCTGTCGGAAGGCCGATGGACACCCCTCTCTGCCGAGAACCCCTGGACTCAAGAAGTGAACGTCAAGTCAGCAAAGTGCAAGAGATCTCCAAGTCGATGAGCACCAGATCCCCACTTCACCTTCTGACAGCCTCCACTGTCTTCCGCAGCACTCGCGTATGCGTCTGCGTTTTCTGGGGTGCGATCTTCCAGAGAAGCTCGCAGACTCTCCTTTGCCCCGAGCTCTCTCCTTCCCTCCCTTCCATCCGTCCATCCCATGACGTCTGCCTCTTCTACTTCTGTGGGTTTCTTGCGTATCTTATCTATCGGTGCGTGTCGCCGGACAGGGCCTGGACTGCGTCGCCAGCAGCAGAATCGTCACGGCTGTGCCTTAAGGCACCATAATGATGATGGGCGAATCGAGATCTCCAACGGGCGAAGATCCCCGACAGCTGAGGGAGGCGAGAGCCCTGCGGCCAGGAGTCGTGACCTGGGGGCGAGACTGACAGCCCCCACCGTCTCCCCAAATGAGCCATTCATCTAACCTGTACAAGGTTCTGCGGCGCGCCAGCCACAGCTACAACCACTCTGCTAGCGCTGACCCGCCGCCCAATGCTCATCCTCATGCTCAAGCGGCAGAACACAACGTTCCATGTTTCGGGCCATCTACCGGGATGAGGCAGAACCAAGGCGAGACTGTGATGCGAGATGACGAGAATATGGGGGAGAGGCGGGGGAAGGCGTTCAGCTTCCGGTTCCTGAGGCGGAGGACTGCCCGCAAGGCCTCTCCGCCGAAGTGGTCCCGACTGCTGCAGCAGGGGGAGGCTGAGCAGAAGCAGCCCAGCGGGGATGAGGAGAAAGATGGACGCGATGCGGATCAGTCGCCGCCCCACTCGTCTTCTTCATTGCCTGATCATGACAGACGCGCGGGGCAGCCACAGCCTGTCAGTGAGGGCGAAGACGACGCCGGCCTCTCTTCTCTCTCTCTTTCCCCTTCCCTCCATGGACCTGAGGCCGCCCAGGGCTCAGCATACGCTTCCGCATCAGAGTCTGATGGCGGGAACAGCGAATCGGATCATCATGGTGATGGTGATGATGAAAATGCCCCGATGGCGCGCGTCGGTTCGCGAGCGTCATCTTCCCATTCCCTGCCGCCCTCAAGTTGCCATCCTCCTGTCACCATGGTGGATCATCAGCGCGGCAGCACGATGAGCGACACGTGCCCAGCCGCCGACGACAGCGAGCTGCCCTTCCCCCACTCAGCCCCTTTCGTCCGTGAGCCGTTGTTCACCATGCAGCTGCCCTCCCCTCCCCCACCAAGAGGACCGCCGCCAAAGCGGGACAGGAAAGAAGCGGCCAAGGGAGAAGCAAGGGAAGACACGCCTGCACGAGAGCCAGTGGAGGTGCCTTCACGAGCTGTCGGTGTGGGCGTGCGGCCGAGGAGGGGGGAAGTTCAAAGAGAGAAGGACTCGGAGAAAGCTATAGGTGTGGAGGAAAAGAGAGAGGAGACGGTGCTGCGGAATGTTGCGAGGACGGCCGCCGCTGCCGCGAGTGATGAGGGTGGCTTGGCTGGGTATGTTGAGGATCAGTTCAAGAGTGTGGCTGAGGAGATGGTGCGGCAGCGGAATTCTATAGGCGGGATGCAGGGACAACTGGAAGCACTCAAGCAAGACGGAGGCAAGACCAAACAGGACCTGGAAGGTACGCACCGCACTTACAGAGAGAAGCCGACCCCTTGGGCTTTTGAACCACTTGCTCCTTTTTTGCTTTTGTAGGCCTGCAAGCACGGTCCATGAGTGCTTTCAGCAGGCTCGTTGAGCGTCTGGATCGACTTGACGCCGCCCTCGCCCAGCAACCAATACCCGCCGAGACCACCGACGTCATCACACAGCTGGCCCCCCTCATGCAGCAGGTCTCAGAGCTGGACAAGCGCCTCGCCGCCCACGACAGTGTGGATTCGTCCATCCGGGAAATCGCCGCCAAACTCTCTGACATGGAGACCACATCAGCCCAGATGATGACCGAGGCTTATCAGCTGGGGAGAAGGGTCACGCGTCTCGAGGAGGGCGGGACGGGCATCGAGACCAAGCTCTCGCACTTGGAGAGGCGGCGTGCGAATGATGGCTCCCTGGAGACGGCTGTCGAGGCCACACAAAACCAGCTCGAGACGCAGGGGGGGGGGGAAGCTCATCCAGCAGCTGCTGCGGCAGACAGACGGGGGGGACTCGGAGGCTCTCTTGAGAAGGCGGGTCTTCCAGCGGGAAATAGAGGAGACGCCATCTCCTCGGCGTCGGTCTCAGAGGCTCGTCCATTCGGCTGTCCACTCGTCCGCGAGACCGTCTGTCTATGCTGCTGCTGGTGGGTGCGGAAAACCCAAACGACAGACGTGACTCAGTGACACAGGCAAGTGCCATCCTGCGTATGTGTGTATGTGCAGGTGCTGAGCGGGCGACTGTTCGGACGCCCTTGCAGCTGCCGCAGGCCGTCCTCCATGTGGAGAGCTTGACGCTCAAGTAAGAGAGCAAGCGACGAGCCTTTGCCACCGTTCCGTTGATTGATGTCTTGTCCTCTTTTCCTCGCTCCTCAAGCATGGCCCTGTTTTCGGCTGTCACGTCGGTACCTGCGGCTCCCACAGCGGCCGACACGTCTGCAGCACCGAGAGAAGTCTACGGGCTGATCAAATGGGCCAAGGAGGCGAGCTCCTTGACCCGTGTGGGCAAGCCCCGGAGGAGCCAGACTTTGGCGGCCACACAGACGTACCTCGTGCCGCACCTCGATGAGACCTTTGCCGTAGCACACATCGACGTCGATGAAACGGTCGGTGGCGGACAATCCTCATGACATGTGAATGTATGGTGTTGTGTGCTGTGTGTTGGTTGCGTAGATATGTTGGCCGGTGTTTGATGACATCCGTGGCTTGTGGGTGGAGGTCTGGCTCGCAGGGCCGAATGTCCGACTTGGTCAGTCGGTCAGCTTCTGAGTTAGGCCACTAAGATGCGCTCTCTCATCCGCTGTCCTGTCTGCAGGCAGCACCCCCCGCTTTGCGTGCGAGTCGCTTGCCAACCAGTCGTTCCCTCTCCACTCACACACATCAGCCACGAGGGCCGCCAAGAAGGCCTCAAAGACCAAAGGTGACCAATGCAATGTCCTGTGTGATGGCAAACCAACCCACACATGCACTCCTCTCCTCTGGTCGATGTCTGGTCTGGTCTGACCTGGCAGGTTTGGTGACATTATCGCTGGAGATCCCTCCCCCCCCTCTCGACGATGAGCGCGAGGCCTCTTCGCCGCCGCCATCCCTATCAGAGTCAGACCATGACATGGCTCCCTTGCCCACCGGTGCCCCCAGGAGACACCGCAGGATCTCCCACGAGTATAGGACAAGCCGTATCGGCAGCCTGCTGTGGGACAGACCACCATCGCCGCCAACACAAGAGGCCGGCAAAGCTTCCCGGCCAGACCTGACACAGACAGAGCCTCAGGCTCGTTCACGGATGCAGCTGCGGTCGGAGGGCGAGGCACGTCCTGGCAGCGATCCATCGGCTGTGGCTGAGAGGCTCGAGGGGCTGCTCGGCGAGATGTGGGAGCGCGTTGAGCGGCGGATGGCTGTCACCGAGACGGAGGCTAAGAGGGAGCGGGAGAGAAGTCGCGACATGCAGGAGGCAATCGACAGGCGAATGGCAAAGACGGAGGTCAGTAATGTCACAAAAACTTTCAACACACACACACAAACCCTTCATCCATCCATCCATCCATGCGACCGTCTGCAGGATCGTTTGGCCGCCATCAGCAGCCGGCAGGAGGACGTCCTCACCTCCCTCAAACCCCCCCACAGCCCCCTCACAGAGAGCCCAAGCCCCCAGTCGTCCGCCTACACCTTCAGAGCATCAGCAGCAGCAGCAGCAGCAGGAGGAGGAGGAGACACCGGGACCACCGACGCAAAAGGGAGACACTATCGCAAGGAGTCGGTTGTCCGGACGTCCACACACCCACCGCCGATTCGGTCTGTGTTGCGGGGGCCGCATGTGTTTGAGTGGCTGATAACGGACATCATCCAGTGCCTACGGGAGTTCCCCGAGGGCGAGGTGCTGGCCAGCCCCGATTTCGACCTCGCGGGGCTGCCGGGGCTCAGACTGGTACACATGTGGGTGTGCAGGAGGTGTGTGTGTGTGTGTGTGTGAGTGTCGTCTTCTTGATTGTGAATATTTGTTTGTGTCATGTGTGTGTGTGTGCAGTTGTTCTTTCCCAACGGGCTGCGGGCGTCCCCCAGTGGCTTCTGCGCACTGGGGGTGACCGCACCGGTTCGTGCGGCCTTGCCGCCTGGCTAGCGATCCTGGCGGCTCAATCTCTTCCTCGGCGGCATCGTCAAGTGAGTGCCGACAACCCACCGACCATCCCATCTGTGTCTCTCTCTGATTTGTGTGTTTGCAGAGGCCCTCTCCCGCTGTGCGCACGAGACACAACCGCCGCTCCCCCTCCCCGTCCCTCGCCCTCGCCCCCCTCTGTGGATGTGTTGTCTGGCTCGTCATCATCGTTTTACGTGTGTGTGCCTGAGGAGATATGTGACTTGAGGACGACTGCGCCCCATGTGCATGCGCAGCACCCGGGACACGCCATCAGCCTGCGATTGGGGCTGGAGATCTCTACCTAGCTTAGCTGGTCGGTCGGTCGGTGATGAGACGACAGTGATGGGTGCGTCTGTGTGAGAGGGGAGTTTTCTCTCTATGACAAAGTGTGTGGTGTGTCGTTGTGTTGTGATTGTGTGCTGCTAAGACGTATGTATGTATGGATGTCATTCTTCCTGTGTGTCTTTCGTTGGCCGGTTGGTCTTTCTTTGCACGCACCATACCATGATGTGTCAGTCAGTGTATCTTTGTCGATGTCTGTCTTCATGAAATTGTCTGTCTTGTCTTGATTGCATCCTCTGTTTCGCCCATCTCCCTCCCCTCCCTCCCCTCCCTGCCCTCTGCCAGTCTCCTGGACCATCCGCTATACCCACCCACCCACACACACGCATGGGCGCCCCACAAGCCCCCCCCCCACAAGCCCCCACTCACGGATGGCTGGGCAAACCTCTCACCAGCCATCCGTGAGCGGCCCGCAGCGAATTCAAACGGATCGACCAAACAAAGAAACAAAGAGCGACACGTCCGACGCACATCGATCGACACCCAGCCAGCCATCATACGCACACCAAAAAAAGGGCGCGGCGACAAATCGCTCCACACACACACACACACACACATACCCACGGATGGACCAGACCGTTGGACGGACCAAAAAAAGCTTGCTTGTCTCGACATAAACAAACAAGCACACGAGACGAGAACAGAAATGAATCGGCCTGTCGGGTAGTCGTCCTGTCGTCGTCACTTGTCGTCGTCACTTCAGTCTCTTCAGTCTCTTCACTTCCTCCCGCCGTTGTCGATCTGCGGGCTGAGGTGCAGCTGCGAAGCTGGCGTGGCCGGGTCGTCGTCCTGACCGGTGTGTGGGTGGGAGTGGGCGTGGGAGTCCGTATGTGAGTTGATGGAGATGGCCGGCATCGATGCAGCAGATGGAGGGAAAAGTGGGGGGTGGAAGGTGCCGCTTCCCGTGTGCGAGCCGCGCCAAGTGGGGGAGCCGCCGCCATCTTCGCGGGAGCCGTTCTGGGTCGACAGCAAGGGCTCGTCGAAATCATAGTCCCCAATATACTGACGCAGACACACAGAGAGACAGAGGGAGAGAGAGAAGGGGGGGGGGGGGGGG